AAGACCTGGTGGGGGTCCCGCACCCACTCGAAAGCGTCCATGGAAAAGTAAGGTATTGTAACTTGAGCCAGGGTGGAGTTGGTAGAGATGTATCGCGCTCCTTGGATAGCACGCCGGAAGGTTGTGGAGGGTTCTGTGATATTCAAGATGGAGTTGGACTGAGGTGTTCCCCATGCGAAGCTTGCATGAGCTGAAGCCCATGACGAAACGTAAGACTACCAATCGTCACTAGACAAAAGAAAATAAAATGCGGCTTCGCTTGAGATTGTGAGTGGTATCCTTCCGGGTATTTTCGTGTCTGCAGCCTCCCAAATGAATGAGCCTGTTAGAGCTGCGGAGAAATAATCGAAAGCGAAAGTGGCGAAAAGGGTGATGTATATGATGACCATGTTACTTTTCCGAGTAGAGTGGTGAAGTACAGGCAGCGAACTTGAGATTGCCTGCGATACACCTTTTGCGGAGATTCCCCCTCGCTCCATGGCCACAAAAATGCAGCGCCAAATGTAGCCTGTCGCCCACCATCCACCTGCAACACGTGTTGCTGAGGCTGCCAACGAGACAGCAGTTGTGATGTCGGATTGGAGGGGAGTGTAAGATGTTGAATAGGAAAGGGAGCCATCGGCTTCTTGATATTGAGGTCGACGGGAGTTGGCGTTGAAAGTACGCCCGTCAAGATAACCCAAACAGACTGTGGCTACAACAACTGTCATAACGAAGTGCACGGCAAAAGGCCTGTACTTGTAAATTTTGATGCTGTGTATCATGGTTAGTGCGATATTCCAGTGAATATTTATATAGGGGTCTATCTTACCGCCATTTTGCATGCGGGGGAGAGGGGTCACTACTTTTTTCAATGTCCAGCTCCAAGCTGATGCTGCCTACAGGCATGGAGGGATGATTGGCGTTGACATGAGACATCGAGGATTGTTGGTCATCCTTCATTCTGAATCTTAAGCGGCCTTTGTTAAGAGACTTTTCCTTTAAGCAGTCCGATTCGGTCCTTATCGCGTAATGCTGGCTGTGCTCAACATCAGACGCTGTACTTCAAATCAGGACCCCCGACACTAAACCAAATGTTTGATCCAAAATTTTCGAGGACGTCATTCCAATGGGAAATCCGGGAAGAGTCTTCAGAGTATGGATCCGTTTGACGAGACTAAGACACCATCCTGAGGACCTTGACAAGGAGGCTTTCGAAATCGCATTGTCTATTAGCGCTTTAAGACTACCCAATAAAGGTAAGTACTTGACCTCCCTATAACTTTCCCCGACGATTGGAAACTATTAGACCTCTCCTTGAGCCTGCCGTCATCAGAGCCAAAGATGGGCATACGTATGCGTGATCCTTATCAATAGACGGAGAAACTTCGCGCACGAGCTGTACCGCGAGTATTAAGAAGTCTGTTTCTTTAGCATAGTTCGCAGACTAGATCAACGCACTGCACGATGATGCATTCGAGAAGGCATGTGTATTGCACTGTTTATCAGAGGCGGCCGAAAAGTTTTCCTCATAGAGCTGACCGGTGCTGGTACGTGCTGTTGTGATTACGCGGAGGTAGTCGAGGGAGACCGGGCGGTGGATGCCAAGCCTGGGTGATAAGCGAAAGACATCAGCAGTGGAATTGAAATATGTGAACAGAAGATGAGAAGAAGTCAAAGACCATGGAGGAGCCACACCGGAGAAACTGCGCACTTCGCTCTACAATTGTCAACGGCATCCTTCTTAACCAACGGCGCCAAATAATGGACGAACAATGCGCTTGAAATGCACCCGCCTTTGCTTCGTTCTTCAATAACCTCCATGATGGTTGCAATTGCTTTTCAGGATCGGTTTCCTTTTCAATGTAGTAATGCGAAACCTGTGACTCATTCCGCACTCTTCAGGAAAAGAAAGGACATGGAAACATACATTCTCGCTACGTCAACGCCTTCATCCTCCCGTCCCATACCCGTACAACATCCACACAAAAACCTTTGTAGATCTTCTGAGGGAATGGCACATGCTGGGTGATATCAAACTTACCTCAGGCTTGATCCAGAACTTGATATGTTCCTGCCCCAGATCGATTTCCGCGAAGGCATTTGCCTTACCTGTTGGGTTTAGCAACCAATTTCGAAGGATGTCATGTGCCTTCAGAGGCAGGCGAGGTAGATGGCGGGTCCGAGCATGATTTGAGGCGATCTCATACTAAGAAAGGGATGTTGGTACTTCAGAGAAGGAAACAGAGTGAGCTGTGGGTACGGACATCTAGTTGTCTTCCAGTCATATTTGACCTTTTGGACATCGATTAAGATGTGGCCTGATCGGACGAGACGAGCGCGAACCTGGAACTCCTGTCGTTTGTCAAACTAATTTTGCGGGTATGTAGGGAAGACGTGAATAAGTCCGGGCGCACATGAGCTATTTGGTAGATGGATGGTTCAAGGCTTTGCAAGTTGCAAGGAGAGGAGAAGGGAGAGCGGGGTTGGAAGTACGCTTTTTTATCTCATCCGGCATGTCTTCGTCGTATTCGGCCTTTTGGACGTCGATTAAGGTGTGGCCTGATCGGACGAGACGAGCGCGGCCACTGACTCCATGTTGTTTAACAGGATTCCACGGAGGCTCGCAGGGTTCTTCTGTACCTCATCTCTCGTTGGGTCTGGAAGAACTTTGACCTCAGAATAAGAATGAGTATGTGCTGTTCCCAGCACGTCAGTCAACATCACAGGGCATGGTAGATAGATACGTACGGAATGTACAGAACCAATGTCTTTCTCTTTGTGTTGTATTCTCCAACGACTTTCTTGACGTCCGCGGAGTTCACGATGAAAACTGTTCAATTGAGGCATAAGGGCCAGTTGTCGTCGAAAGAGCCGACGGGACATGTTTGCAGTGGTGTTGATCATCGTAAGAAAGAACGGTGGAAGCGGGACAGACTGATAACTTGACTTTTGACGAATTAGAGCCCATATCGACTTCCACGTTGCTTTAAGGATGGATGGTCAGCGTTCCTCATTTCAAAGTAGCCGACCAAACCCACCTGACACATCCGCTTCCCAAACAACGAATCCACCAACTCTTTCCGACATATCCGAGGACATTTGGGTATCTCATCCTGGCTCTCGGATGGCCGAAAAGGTTAGCTAGTCGCCAGAGTGATGGCGAAAGAATGCGAGGTCGTTAAGAAAACTAATGTTCTTCGACCGTTAATGAAGGAAATGGCGTATGAATTGCGCAAACGTACCTGAATCATCGCACATATTCTCCCACTGGGTTCCATTTGCTTTCAATAATGTTGTAGTCGGCTGCCCGCTGGATTGAGTTGGAACCGGGGCTGCGGAGGATGTCCTGTAAACTGCGGTTGGTGTGACTGAAAGGTCGAACAAAGGCCTCTCAATTGTCCATAGATCCACATAGCCAGATGGTTGACCAACTGAGGTGAAGCAAACGTAAGAGAACGGGCCCGTGTAGTCAAAATTCCGGACATACTACCATCGTATCTGCCTCCAGAATTCCTCATGCAGCTGAACGCAGCGAGCTCCTCCTCGGGCGCCTCTGTATCGTCGTGTGCCATGGCATCCAGTGGTGGTTCGCGCACCTCTGGCGAGTGAGAGATAAAATGCGTTATGATGAGCATCAATGTAGGCTGGGTGTTTGCACCAGTTGACCGCTCATTTCAAAAGTTCCAAACGGCACCTCGAACAATTCAAGCAACGGAAGCCTCGGTTCCAAGGATATCACCGACGGTCCTCACTTCTATCATAGGCATTCGATTTCAATACGTATTCTACCACGGAGGATCCGACACGTTAAACCTTGGTCGTGCATGTGGCCTTACCTTACGTTTTCTACGGACGCCTCTTGAGCCGTTCGACAGGGAGACGGGCAACATCGACGCGAGCGGAATCATTGGGCACGAGCGACGACGAGGGATTTGGGTTACAAGAATGACCGGTAGGCGAGGAGGTCAACAATTGGCCAAGAGGATGGCGAGGGATACGATGACATGTAAGCCAATATCTACCGCACAGGACGCGTCAATCGACCTCAACGTACCTTGTTTCATCTGAACCTTCACCTCCAACTATCAACCCTCATGCGCAACGCGTGTTCCGTACGATCCTGGCAGGCCTTTCGTCATTCTCGAGGCCAACGCGATCCGCAGGAAGAGAGTCTTTGTCAACGGAACCGAGCTGAAGGACAGGTAATTAAGTTGAGAGTGCTCATATACACGTTAATGTACCTCTTTTCAGGAGAACCAGCCCCTCAGCCATGGCGCCTAAACGTCGCCCACAACGTTGGAGTTGAGCAAGTCACCGTTGGGTAGTGAACGACAAGTGGTAGCACTCGATCCGCGGGCGCGTTCGTTGACGGTGACATGAGATCAAGGATATAAGAAGGTACATAATCTGGTATTTTCGCATACACGACAAGCAGAGTTGATGTATATTTTTTGTTCCCAGAACCCATACATACCCCAAGGCGCTCAACTCCGGTGTTTTGCCCTTGATGTGGATGTGGACGATCCGACAATCCGGATGATCTTCAAGCAATTGATCCCTCGGCTCGGAAGCAGAAGTTTGGCGGGCGTATGTTGGCCATGAGCTCAAGGTCAGCATCCCGGCTTCAAGTTTGTGGAGGAAGGGAGGATAAATTCACATTGAACAACTCAGCTCGCATATTTGTGACGAAGAACCCCGTTCCACCCCGTCAGCGAACCTGGACGACGCCATCCGATCCCTTAGTTCCGTCTTGCAGATTAGCAACGCGGATGTGGGACGTCAATGCGTAACGACGAGACAGGTGTTCGTGGTCAGTTGTTACGCGTCGTTTTGTATCCTGGACTCCGAGCGAGAGTTGCCTGGGATACTTACTTTGTGAGTTGTCGCCGTGGAATCGGACATAGGATTTACTAACGTACCGTTCTTCCTCAGCATCAACAATTACGTTAATCACCTTCCCTCGCAGCCTTCGCTCTTTTCATCGCGCAGAAAAGAGGCAAGGTGATTTGAGAAGAGGGATGCGAGGATCAAGAAGAGCGAAAGTGGACATGCAGATTGGCTTTCTTCCCCTTTCTGTCTTCCCTTTTCATGTCGCTCACGGAGGGTGTTCAGGGAAAACGCAGGTCATCCACAGGGTCATCCCTCAACAACTAAGTTGCTCCCTACTGAGGGGCGACCTTGGGGTCGGCAAGGGTCAGGACGAGACAGCTTACTGAATTCCTCGCCAACATGAACGGCATCTGAGCCACAATACGAAGGTTTGTTGACTTGTATTTTGAGTCTCGTTTCTGACCTCCAACTCGGAAGACAGATGCAGTCGTATACCTCAGAGGCGTCCCCTTTGTGTTGGTGGGTAAATAATCAAAACTTATAGCCACGCATGACTCATTGCGTGGATGTCAGACATGCATCGCGTTAATCGCATATCTACTGTTCAGGCAGACCTTCTGTGCGCAAGAGATGAAGATAAATGTAGAAATTTGGCGATTTATTCCCTACGTTCTGTCCATTCTGATATCTGAACTATGTCACTGCTGGAATTGTAAGGGAAAACACGATATCATGGTGTCCTAATGTCACAAAGCATACTTAATTATTCTGGAGAATTTTCGGGGATTGTGGTGGAATCCAACAAGCTGGTGTTCGGAACGATGAGCGTATCGACACTTTCTCTGCCTTCGGCTCCTAGTGTCGTGGAATTTGAAGGAGGCATCCTATACCGTAACGGTATTGAATCCGAATATCTGCGCTGACGCGAACCACTACTCCTCTTGACTTCCACTGAGTGCTGACCAGCTTCGTTTTGCTCGAGTATGAGTATTCCATCTTCGGGAATCTCTGTTCCGGGCCGCCATGGATCCCAAACGAGCTGGCGATCCGACTTGGTAAGAACCGCTCTCGTGTCCAGCCAGAAGACAGCCATGGTTGGGTCCTCAACCCACGGGTGATCACAATGACTTTGAATGTAGATGAAAAGCAAGCCTAGCGCTAACACCCAAAGATGCAGCGCCACCCAAAGGTATACTCTCCAGCGAATAATTTCGGCACGCAACGTCGGCAAGGCAATCTGAACAGTTGCAATATCGAAAACAACCCGGCCAAGGTCCGTCGATGATGCCCATGCGGCCTGATACGCTCGTGAAGTTAGCTCGATGGCCAAGTTTCTGCGTGTCCCATAGTTCAGGGGAATAGCATACGTAGATAACACAAGGTTGGTTACCAGTGCCGGTGTCAGTCCCAGTGCCCCCGAAGTGAATGGATTTCCGATGAGCGTAAAGGGTGGCTGTGCTTCCACGACATTCGGAGAAATGATTTTACAGTTTCGACCGCTGAATACTCCAGCCCGGTACGACACATTTGCAATGCCAAAACAGGGCAAGATGCTGAAGGAATTGTTCACGCTGCCAAACAAGTTGATTTGGATGCCCGGATCGATCGTATAATTCTGTGGGCACACTTGAACGTCGGAGTGAGGAAGGTCGGGCGGAGGAATAAAATAAATCACAAGGGCGAATAGTCGTGTTTCTGATATAGGCATGTCCTGACGTCCCGATATAGGAGTCTGTGGTCCTTCTCCCCATTGTACGTCGGGTAAGAACCCACCCGAGTCATTTGCCGTAGTCGTAAAAGGGTTAAACTCGCCCGCCGACGTCTGTTCCAGTAGGGATATCTGTGTGGCCGTCAAGACCTGGTGGGGGTCTTGCACCCACTCGAAGGCATCTACGGCAAAGTAAGGGATCATAACTTCAGACAGGGTAGAGTTGGTGGAGATGTACTGTGCTCCTCGGATAACACGGCGAAAAGTTGTGGAGGGTTCCGTGATGTTCGAAACGGAGTCTGAGGGGAGCATCCATGCGATGCTTGCAGAAGCCGAGGCCATTGACAGAACCGGAGGCTTCCAACTGTCACCCAAGTAAGGTTCGCCAACATAATCTGCGGTTCCGTTTGAGATGGCGAGTGGTATCCTTCCGGGTATTCGCCTGTCCGCAGCCTCCCAAATAAATGAGCCTGTTAAAGCTGCGGAAAAATAATCGATAGCGAAAGTGGCGAGAAGGGTGATGTATATGATGACCATGTTACTTTTTCGAGTAAAGTGGCGAGGTGCAGGGGGCCTACTCGAAATCGCCTGCGATAGTCCTTTTGCGGAGATTCCCCCTCGCTCCATGGCCACGAAAATGCAGCGCCACATGAAGCCTGTCGCCCACCATCCACCCGCAACACGTGTTACTGAAGCTGCCAACGAGACGGCAGTTGTGATGTCAGATTGGAGGGGAGCGTAAGATGTCGCATACGCAACAGAACCATCTACTTCTCGATATCGTGGTCGACGGGAGTTGACGTAGAAATCGCGACCGTCTAGACAGCGGAGACAGGCCAAGGATACGAAGGCGATTAGAGCGAGATGCGCTGCAAAGGGCCAGTACTTGGAAAGTTTGACGCTGTGTAAGGAATTATTAGTGTGATATTGCAGTTAAAATATTCAAGATTGGGAGTATACCGCCGTCTTGATGTTTTGGAAGGAGGAGGCATTTCAATATCCGTCTCGATGGGAAGATAATTGACATAGGACTGTGGGTTGTGTTCATCATTCATTCTGGGCCTGTGTTTGGGGCTTGACCTTCGTCGACATGCCTTACCCTTTAAATAGCTCTAATCTACGATTGACGTTGACAGAGCCCGTAGATTGCACCTCAAGGCTGTTCAGGGACTTGTGATCGATGGTGATACTGTAGCATTTCGTTCAATTCGACAGGGCCCGTGACGCGTGACAGGCCTGTCGAAATTTTGGTTTCGACAACCACACAAATTTGCCGTGACAAGCCGAAAATTTGGGCAAATTTTCGACCACTTAGCGCCGCAGGCCACGAAAAATTTTGACATTTATCACATGAGCGCCAGATGATTTCGACACCTTACAAAAATCTGCGTGACCACCGTGACATTTCAGCAATTTGAAGGGCACCGTGACGCGTGACCGTCGAATTGAATGAAATGCTACAGTAGCGTGAAGAGAGGGGACTTGAATTCCTTGAAAATGAGGTGGCAGATTAATGCAGTCTTCACTGCGATGCCAGATGGAAGGGCCCGTTCAAGTGCACCTAAGCGATGACACTGAGTGGTGATCGGCCTTCAAGCCCTCGTTCATGAGGCGAAGGCGCAGCGCCTCGTGCCTCTCACGCTGCTAATCTAAAAATAGGCGTTGGAAATACTGTACTAATACGACCAACTGCTCAGGCCTTGCGGTGTGACACCTTTTGACCATCTCTTCGTCGCTTCATTGTCCTGCGTGATGCGTGACGAAGAGTTTTTGCTCTTCGTCCACCACATATTTCTCAGACGGTTTGGCCCAGCAACCTGTCAATTTTTTGGCTGGAAGGTAAGCATGCATTCCTCAAGTATAACATGGTTCTAAATATGCCAAATGTAATGTTTAAAACAAGGCACCACAGGTCCGGAAAAAAATGACTATTTTCAATTCAAAAAAAAAACTCTTCAAAACTTGGTGTGATGCGTGACATCACGCCTACTTCACAACCCTTTGTGATGCGTGACGTGAAGACGTGGTCGTATTCGTATTAGTACAGTATTTCAAGGCGCTATGCCACGGGTACCTTAACTCCTCACCAACTCTATGCTGTCCTTCTGGTTGGTACTCTCGACACTCCAACGATGAACTGAGAAAGAGCCACCTGGACACGTGTCTGTGGTGTTGGGGATGAACGTTGGAAGGGGACAGACTGATAACATGACTCTAACGAACTAGAGCCCATATTGAGGTTGGGAAGACAAGATTCTGTTGCCTGACATGACTGCACACCAAAAACACATCCGGCACAAGCGAAGGCGGAAGGTAGGGTCGGGACATACCCGCTTCTGCATTGCTTTAACTTGGATGGATGCCAATCCGTTACAAAATAGCCGACCAAGCATCCGAGGACATTTGGCTACCTCATCCTGGCTCTCGAAAGGCCGAAAAAGCTACCCAGTCGTCAGAGCAATGGCGAAAGGAGGCGAGCTCATTAAGAAAACTAATGTTCGTCAACCGTGAATGGAGGGAATGACGTAGGAATTGCGCAAACCATTGTACTCTAAATCTCCCAATAACGAAATTGTAGTCGGCTGCCCGCCGGATTGAATTTGGAACCGGGGTTTCTGTCCTAAAAACTGCGGTTGGTGTGACTGAGGTGATAGAGCCTAGAGATCTCGATCAGGCGGTAACGAATGAAGCCCGCATTGCACATATCCGAGTCATACCCAAACGCGGGTCTTTGAAAGAGATATAGCCAAATGGTTGACCAACTGAAGTGAAGCAAACGTAAGAGAACGGGCCCGTGTAAGTCGAGATTGATGTCATACCTGGCATCGTTTCTACTACTCCGGACTCATTGAATTCCTAGAGAGATACCAGCAAATACGAGATAATTGAAGTATCGTACAAAAGTCACAAGGTACATAATTTATTCTGCAGAACTTTCGCGGGTCTTTGTGGAATCCAATGGGCTAGTCTTCAAAACGGAAGTCCCGATGAGTGTCTCAACACTTTCTCTGCCCTCCTCCCTTGGTGTCGCGAAACTTGAAGGACCCATCCTACGCCGTAACGGTATTGAATCCGAATATCTGTGCTGACGCGAACCACTATCCTTCCTGATCATGACTTGCACTGAGCGCTGACCGGCTTCGATGTGGTCGAGTACAAGCCTTCCATATTCATCTTCGCGAATTACTGTTCCAGGCTGCCATGGGTCTGAAACACGCTGTCCGCCTGGGTCGGGAAGGACTGCTCTTGTGTCCAGCCAGAAGACAGCCATGGTCGGGTCCTCCACCCACGGGTGATCGCAACGACTTTGAATGTATACAAAAAGCAATCCTAGCGCTAACACCCAAAGATGCAGCACTACCCAAAGGTATACTCTCCAGTGAATGATTTTGGCGCGCAACGTCGGCAAGGCAATCTGCACAGAAGTAGCTCGATAGTTCGTCGAGTGCAAGTCCGACAATGCTGCCCATACGGCCTGATATGCCCGCGAAGTTAACTGGATGGCGAAGTCTTCGACTGTCCTAAAGTTGACGGGAGTAGCATACGTAGATAACATAAGATTGGTTCCAAGGACTGGTGATAGTCCCAGTGCATACGAAGTAAATGGATTTCCGATGAGTGAAAAGGAGGCGGCCTCTGCTTCCACGACATTCGGAGAAATGATTTTACAGTTTCGGCATTTGAATACTCCAGCCCGGTACGACACATTTGCAATAGCAAAGCAGATCAAGGAGGGTTCCAAACCGTCACCGCCGCCCACTAAGGGTGCGCCAAACAAGTTGATTGGCGAGCCCCCACGGTCGATCGTGTAATTCTGTGGGCACTCCGGATCATGAATGTATTGGACCCTCTGGGCGAATAGTCGTGTTTCTGATATAGGCATGCCAATGTTGGGATCCTGATCACTCGGCACTGGAGGCTGTGGTCCTTCTCCCCACTGGACGTTGGGTAAGAACCCACCAACCATCGCGGTGATATCTTCAAGTGTCGCAAAAGGATTATACTCGCTCGTCTCACTAAGTAGGGAGATTTGTGTGTCTGTCAAGACCTGGGGGTCTTGCACCCACTCGAAAGCATCGACGGCAAAATAAGGCATCGTAACTTCGGCTAGGGTGGAATTGGTGGGGATGTAGGGCGCTTCTTGGATAACACGCCGAAACGTTGTATTGGGGAATGGTTTGTCTAAAGGGGAGTTTAACCGGGGTATCCATACGATGCCTGCAGAAGCCGAAGCCATTGACAGAACCGGAGACTGCCAATTATCACTCAACAAAATATTCATGGGATAACCTGCGGTTCCGTTTGAGATTCTGAGTGGTATCCTTCCAAGTATTTGCATGTCCGCAGCCTCCCAAATGAATGAGCCGGTTAAAACTGCGGAGAAATAATCGATGGCGAAGGTGGCAAAAAGGGCAATGTATATGATGACCATGTTACTTTTCCGAGTAGAGTGGCAAAGTACAGGATGCCAGCTTGAGATCGCCTGTGATACCCCTTTTGCGGAAATTCCCCCTCGCTCCATGGCCACAAAGATGCAGCGCCAAATGTAGCCTGTCGCCCACCATCCACTCACAACACGTGTAAATGTAGCTGCCAACGAGACAGCAGTTGTGATGTCGGATTGGAGGAGAGCGTAAGATGTCGCATTGGAAAGAAGGCCATCAATGTCTCGGTATTGAGGTCGACGGGAGTTGACGTTAAATGTACGCCCGTCAATAAAGCATAGACAGACCATGGATACGAGGGGGATTAGAGCAAGGTGCGCCACAAAAGCCCAATACTTGGAAAGTTTGATGCTATGTAAGGGTGATTAGTGTGATATTGCAATCAAGATTTTGACTGGGGTTATACCGCCATGTTGGTTTCGTTGACTGAGGAGGAGTCTTTTCATTGCCCGGCTCGAGGAGAGGGAGATAATTGGTGTCAACATGAGACTTTGGGCTGTGTTCATCGTCCATTCTGGGCCTGTGTTTGGGTCTTGCCCTCCGTCAGCATGTCTTGCCATTTAAATAGCTCTAATCCATGGTTAACGCTGACATAGCACTCAGGTTGCGCCTCAAGGCCTTGCCGTTGTGACCGGCGCTGTCATTCAAGGTTTGGTTCTTTTCAGGCACTCGGAAGCTATGGCGATAGCGTGAAGAGAATGACAAATCTGGTGGAGAGGAGACTTGGATTTCTTGGTAAATAGTTGGCAGTCTTCACTGCGACTGCTGGCAGATGCAGCTCGTACAAGTGAAAGACTTGTGGAAGCGGAATGGAAGGAGTAAAATAAATAATTTGTAAAGCAATCCAAGATATACACGTGCAAACACGCTAACTTTAAGCGCTCGCGACGACATCTCCCGGGCCGTAGATCTCAGTCAACTCTTGCCTCGTGCACGAAAAGTGTTCCTATGTATGTAGCACAGCGCCTACGCCCTGTACTCCTAAATTTTCGGTCACAGGCTCTATTGTTCTGTCTATGTCAACAACTCAGAGTCAGATCTAGAGAGTTGCTTTGGAGTTGCTCCGAGTCGTTGACCAACTTGCCGCACTGGAGACATCTAGTAAACTAGTTATGTCTGTTTAAGGCCTCTGGGCGCTCTGAGATTTGATGTCCGGTGAAGGTGCGAGGTAAAGAGTTTCAAGTTGACGTGGGACTCGCAGAGAGTCATATACATTCCGGAGGGGAAGGCAAGGATGCCGAGCCTTTTGGGGGGAGAAGAGAGAATTGCATGGTACCGGTGATCCCGAGGGAAGGCCCGTGCATGCTGCAGGTTCGCTTTCTTACTTTCTTTCTTCACCTCTCTTTTTATTCAATGTGTGTGGTCCACAAATCGTGATTAGGGCCACAATACGTTTACGGTAGGGTCATTTCTGATACACACTCAAGTGACGAAGCAGTCAAGAAGTGGTCTTGTATGAGGCAAGGCTTGGTAGGGGCCGTTCACCCTTGAGTAAAGACGTGTCGTATGAACAGCCTTCCCAGAAGATAGGAATGGCTCCGGAGTCTGGAAAGCAAGTGGGCCCCAAGCAGATATGGCATCACGGGTATACAGTCGTGGACAAGCAAAGCCCACTAATAAAAATGGAAATGTTTTGATGGCTACCAAAGTGCCCGGAAAACGTGCAGAAATGTTGAGGGAAGCTTCTGGCCAAATTTCAGCCAGGTCTCATGAGCCGTTTTGGAGAAAATGGCCATATACAGAAATAGACCCTAAAATTTTGGCCGGGACACCAAAAACTGCCAGGAAAAATATGAAAAATAGCGGAATCACTTCCTTTCACAGAGAACAATCTGCCCATCAAGTTTCGAAACAATTTATCGAGCGGTTCTTCTGGAAAAAATTGCCAAACATTGACCCAAATTGGGCACTTAATCACTTTTGATGTGACATCTATCACGGGACTAAGAAATTCCATCACACTAGGCTTTCGAAACGCAGGGAAATCCCTTTCTGATGGATTCTTTGCCCTTTCTGAGTAGCTTCCAGCCGAAGCCCAGCACAGGTACCAACTTTTGATAATTTCTGGGCAGGTTTGACCTGTTTTTCTCCTTAAATGTTGCAGTTTTTTGGTCGAAAATTTTGGCCACACCCAATTCCTCGTGGGAAAAACTTCGGAGGTGTGTTTTTCGATGTATTTCGCAAATCCGAGCCAGAATCTGGAAAAATCTCAGCTCTAGATACATTATTTACTGAGATACCAAATTAGTGGGCTTTGCTTGTCCACGACTGTAGTGAGAATAGAGAAAAGCTAATTTGACAATTCAAGTCGCGCATTTTATCAGGATCTGATGAACAAGGTAAGTTGTATTTGCCAGTGATTTGACCAGTTCAAACTTCAAGCGCGGTGGGAGGAGGTGACGACGTGGCGGCGTTCTTCCCAGTTGAAGTTAGTTTTGTTGGGCAGGGGTGTTTGGCGGGTGTTGGGGTTGGGAGTGTGCAGAGGATTGGGGAGGGGAGGAGGTGAAGTGGAGTGTGGATAAGCTTGTGGTTGCGGATGAGTATTTGGTTGTTTGAGAGTGGGCTTCTTTGCGGGTGAGGGTAGGTTGATGTTGGACCTTTGTATGGGCTCAGGTGTAGACTAGGAAATGTTGTTACAATGGATTGTAGCAGGTAGGGGCCAAGATGTGTAATCTCAGATGCTAATAGTGCATCCTTGTCAGCTGTCCTGTGGTTGAGGTGTTCAGAATGGGCGGCTTGCTTCCTCAAATAAACAATAGGGGTGCTCACGGTAACGTTTTTCAGCTGTTTTTCGGTTGTTTTTCAGTTTGTTTTTCAGCTGTTTTTACTGCCAAATCAAATATCTTCGCGGTAAAAACAGACGAAAAACAAAATGAAAAATAGACGAAAAACAGCTACCGTGAACTTCCGCCCCCGGGATTTTGGAAAAACAGCTTGAAAACAACTGAAAAACAAGTCTTACATGAGTTTGGCATGACGGCTTCTGTTCAACTCCGCCAGATCCTGCGTATCTACGCACTAAGTTGACAACACACTTTTATTTTTTTTGCAAGTCCTTCTGTATTGTTGTAAATGGCATTGTACTACAGTCTGTATTCCTTATCTAACTACATAGAAGTGGAAAGGGAGGAGCGAGGTAGAAACACCTCCCCTTCAATAACCCCTTACTAGTCAAAAGTTTGGGATCCCCGCACCCCAAGCTGAATGCCCTCTGCCCAATACTCAGTCCTCGACATCTCCGCACTGCGAGCGAGCCGTTAGCGCATGCGTCGTGGCTCGCTTCATGGACGTGGACTTGGTGGGGGTACTCGCGTTCAGGCTGGCGTTTGCGTTTGGTTCACGTCGCATTTGAGTTGGTGTCCGCGTTTAACATTTGTGCTTGTGTTTGCGCTCGAGTTCGGGTGGTCATTGGTGGCCGTCGTGGATATGGGGTTCGTCGTTGTGGTCGGTCGCGGGGATGGGCAACCAACGGATGATGGTGGTGATGATGAAAGAGGGATAGGTGACGTGTGACGTCGCACATATCGGAGACTGAATTCCTCGACGAAAAACAAGTTGAAAAAACGAAGGAAAAACGGAAAGTTTCTGAAAAACACCTCTCTGAGGTGTTTTTCAGTTTCATCTTGTTTTTGAGCTCTTTTTGAGTCGTTTTTGATGTTGTTTTTTGATTGAAAAACAAGACGAAAAACAAGCCAAAAAACGCTACTGTGAACTACCCTACAGTGCTTTGCACTGCCGTTTGCACAACGAGTTTTGGAAATCGTGTTTGTGTGTGTTGTACCGTGACTCTCAAATCGGGAAGTAAGAGACCGCTTACCAGACGCAACGTCCAACAAGGCCTGCAATCTCCTGCGGTGAAAGATGTTGCTCATCATGGCAAACAATGATTCGCGCGCGCATCTCATCCGATACCTGAGGCGCAACAAAAGTTGGGTTTAAGAAATACAAAATTCCCAAAGTGCTCAGATCTCGTCCTGATGCGTGACAATCTGTGACGAACATACAAAACCAAACATAATTTTTGCGATTTCGGTGTGCAAACGGCAATGCAAAGCACTGTAATGTGTACAATCTGTAAGGATTCATAAAAATTCAAACCCGCCCCGAATTTTTTTTTTCACTGTAATAAGTGAGCATGAAAAATAGGATCGGCTCTTCGCATGGGGGCACCACGGATCGAACGTGAAATCAATCGGCATTGCTATCTAACTTCAGTCTGTTACTCTGCCAGCTGAGCTACCTCCCCCTGTGATTATCCACCTTCGTGCTATGTGTGTATTTGGAGCGCCAGAAAGTAAGTTTCAAGGGTTACCTTTCCATTGGCCAGGGGGTGGTGCGCGCGCCATCGGAAATCCGCAAGATATCCCACCAACTTACGTTGTACCTTCTCGTCAAAGGGCAAACTCAGAAGACGAGTTTCGGTGAAATCAAGGGTCGGATGTGCTTACCTTTGTCTAGGAGACGTAAAGGGGCGGTCAGATGAATTCTGAAATCTGCCGGGGGAATGTGAAAGTCGCAGAACAATTAACCTGCAGAGTTGTCGGGACGCTCAGTGTGAACCATCTGAGGACGAGAGGTCAATCTTTCTGTATGATCGTTGAGGGTTCAGAAAACCTACATTGATCTGAATCACACATTGAAAAACGACCAGGACATCCTCGAGCTGTGTAGAGCACGAAACCTTGTTCGACGACTTGGCTTTTCGAGTTAGTTCGATTCGTAGGAAGAGGCAACTAGAGGCAAAGATGACGATCCTGTCACTGGTAAAGCTTCTCTTCCCCGCTTTCGGACCGAATTGGGCTCTAACGCGCGTCTGAGTAAGGTGTATACACTTCTTGGTAAGGTTTGCGATGGTCTGGGTAAAATGAGTAGGCATCAAGGAAAGACTTTCACTCCCCTGGGGTCATAGGGGATGTCAGCAGGTGTCTTGAAGACTTCTGAGTTCACTGTTACGGTCATCTTTGGTATGAAGGGTGTCATCCTTGCTTGGTATGGAAGAACAGGCCGTCAGGAGAGCGCACGTTCATTCTTGACGGTGATGATTCGGATCAAGCAGTGGCAAGTTCAATTCTGATGATCTTTTATTTATGTGCACCGTATGTCAACAACTTCGACCACTTCCTCTTGACCACCACAACCTCCTCATCGCGTCGCCGGTGTATCTCTCTCTCAGGGGTGGCGAACGACGCCGATCGGAAGCCGCGAAGCGTGGAAAAGGCGCTCATCTGCCACTTTGACTAGATTCTTGACAGCTGGAACTACCTCGAACGTCGCTTGGCGTCGAAAATCGGTCGAAAAGGCTGCTTGTCCGCTTCCTTGGCCTTTCATGATTCGGACTTGACACTCTAGTCTTGTTTATTCTTCTCTTACGACCCCACCAAGACCCTACTACTTGAAGACCACCCCACGAGTTACGTGACGAACACGACATAAGTATCAGTAATGGCGAGCGATTTCACGCTGGTCGACCCCAAGGGATGGGAGTATGATTTGCATTCGGTATGTCCTCCACTGGCTTTGAGTATCCTCACCGGAGTAACCGTTTCGTGGTTGTAGGTATACTCCGCGTACATGGGATATTTCCAGATCTACAATGTACCCTGGTACGTCGCCCACCTCTCTCCCGCTTCTCAATGTGTTTGACAAGGGAAGGGTAGGTACGAACGATCATGGGGACACCACTTCCAATCCTTCGAAGAGTTCCTCGCGTTCTCCTGGCCAGTCATCATCGTCACCGACGCATGGACAGGTCGCGCACACATCGTCACGCGGTTAAATTCCATTGGTGCTTTTCTCAAGATGATAAAAACAAGGTATTTTCCTTCCTCCACCCCTTCCCCTGCCTCTCCCTCCACCAAACTCACACGCTTGCTTCCTTCCAGATTCGGCGAAACCCTCCCACAAGCACCCAACATCCTCCAAGTCACCCCCTTCGAAAACACAAACCGGCACCTGCGCAACGTCTCCGACTATCCCTCCTACAAAAAGCTACACTCGACGCTCCCGGCTGCTGTGCTTGCCGCGTTGAAAACACGGGTACGCACGGGGGAACCCAAGGCTATTCAGGAGCTTTGGGATAGGCGGGACAAGACGTTTTTGGCGATTGATTTTGAGTGGAGTGAGAGGAATCAGAAGAGTTGTTTGGAGTGGGGGTATGCGGCTGTTAGGTGTGGGCATTTGGAGGCGTGCGTTTCTTTCTCTTTCTCTCTTTTTTTCAATGAGAATTGGGGAGCTGATTGGGGGTTGGATAGGGTTGGGCATTGGCCGCCGAATCCGGATACCAATTATCGGTGCGTTTGTGTTGTGTGTTTTCTTGGACGGAAAGATGCTGATGTGAAGTTTTTTGGACATTAGGAAAGGACATTATATCGTTGCTGAATACTTGGATAAAGTGACGAACAAACATTGTCCGAACCATCCATGGCAGGTCCGTTTTTCCTCTTTCCCTCCCTCCCATACCAAAACCTTCAACTAACCTCACTCTCTTCCCTGTCCATGCAGTACGCGGTACGCTTTCTCCCCTCTCTCACCCCTTCAAACTCATTAACTCATTGATACTTTTCTCAAGTTCGCGGAAAGTCAAGTTGCCTCAAAAGCCAAACTTCCGCAAATCATACAAGCCGTTATTAGCAGCCTTGCAAGCCCCGAATCGGAGATGACGCCTAATACGCTTGTGTTGGTCGCTCATGGGATTTCGGGGGATTTGAGGAGGTTGGAGGAGATGAAGATTAGTGAGTTGGATGGTGTTTTCTTTGTTTGATTCGTTTTCGTTTTCGTTTCGGTTTCGTTTTCTCCTTCCTGTCGCTTTCACTTTCACTTCTTTACATCCCCCTTCCTTTCCCCTCCCCCCTTCGTTCCCCCCCTCTCTTTTTTACTGTCTTTCTTTTCTCTTATTCCTCGTTTTCTCCATTTGCTTCGCTTTTTTATCCCCTCTTCCCCTTATTCCTTTGCTCTTCCCATTCTATTTTCCTTCTATCTTTCCTCTTTCACTAACACCAAACCGACGCCGAACCAACACTGATCCCTACCCCCCTAGAAATTCCAAACAACGTGCTCATAATTGACACATCCGTCTACGAACGCGTTCTCTACAAAATGGGACACAGAGGGCTCATGGCCGATCCTAAAACTGGGAAACCTCGGGATCAAGGGATGACGCTTTCGCTTGAGAATCTGCTAGTGTCGTTTACGATACCCACGCTGCGAGCTTCATCGCCCGCGCCTTCGTTGCCTTCCACGGGTACGGGCACGGAGGAACAAACACCACAGACGACGACGTCGACGCCTCCAGACGGTCCGCCTCAAATACAAACTCAACAAATGCAGCAAACACCGCAGCTGGCACAGCTCCCCATCGTCCTCCCTCAGTGTACTATGCACAACGCTGGGAATGATGCCATGCTTTGTCTTTTTGCGCTGCAAAAGTTGTTGGAACCTGCTGGGACGAGGGTGCCGAGTGTGAAGAAGGGGAGGGTTGGGAGGCCAGGTGCTGGTCAACAACAACAGCAGCAGCAGCAGCTAGGGAATACCCCGGGGATGTATGTTAATGGGATGGGTATGAACGGGATGGTTCCGATGAACGGGATGGTCGCGATGAATGGGATGAACGGCATGGCTATGAACGGTATGGGGATGGGAATGAACATGGGAATGGTCCCCATGCCTATGCTCAGCCCGACGCTGAGCCCCATGATGACTGGGAGCCCACTCATGCCTGTTGTTCCCATGTCTCCGGGTGGAAGCCACCACAAGCGGTCAGGCTCTGGGCCATATGATCTTGCGGGTGAGTTTGGGCAGATGGGGTTGGGTGCTGGGATGGGGATGACGAGGGCGTATACCACGGGCCAGTTCTTGACCGCTGGTGCGGCTGAGAACGGTGGGGAGAGGGAGAAGGAGAAAGGGGGAAGTTGGGGGAGGGCTGTGGGTGCTGGACGGGGAAGGAGGTGATGCGTTCGGTTGCCCCTCAAAGTTTCAGTTTCGAGCTTCTTTCGCTTTCGCTTCGAACATCCTTTCTTTCGCTTTCCTCTTTCAAGTTTTGGACTAATCATTGGTGGTATAATCCACCGCCCTCAGTTGGGCTTTTTACTCTTTCTTCCTCATTTGTCTTTCTGATGTATATTCCCCCACTCAGACCCCATATTCCCCAGACCGTTATTTGGACCCATCATCATCCATAATGCTCAGTAAAAACGAAAGTCAAGTAAAGTCGTCGATTTCTCGCAAGAAGGTCATGTGAAGTCACGTTGGTGAGTTCAAAGTCATGTGGCGCTCAAGAATGTATTCGCTATGTGTTCACGGCCTGACTGAAGTCGAGGGATAGTCAATTACATGCTTTGTTGTAGTCTAGTCCTCGTCAACCGAATCACTAGTATCCTCTGTTTGACCTTCGTCCTCTTCTCAACAAATGCAAGTCCCAATTTGTCGGAGTCCGTTGGAACTCCGACGACATCAGGTGATCATGTTACGAAAACTCCCTGTTCTTCCCAAGTTCTTTCCTTCCCACCACATCAACAAGAAGTCCAATCTATAAGTCGACAGACGGCCTCCTCACTCCTGCGAACAGCCTCCTCCCCCCTGCGAATGGCCTCCTCCCTCCCTCGACGAATGGCTTATTCTCTTGATGAACGGTCTTGCCATCAACGAACTGTCTTCTGAAGGGTATTTCCTGGATGAACTGTCTCCTCCCTCACTGGATAGAATCCCTTCAACAAACTGTCTCCTCCCTCGATGCCTGTCTCCTCTCTCGTTGGACTGTCTCCTCTCCCGTTGGACTGTCTCCTCCCTTGATGAATGGGGCTCCCCCCTACCTTGATGAATGGTCTCCTCGGCCTCCCCGGGCCAACTTCACGTTCTCCTCCCTTCTTCAACAAACGGCCCCCTCTCGACGCTCGAGGTTTACAATTAGGAGATGAGAGCTTGGACTTCAAGTGGTTGATTGAGCTATATACAGTATAGTCAGTATATTTGGGGAAATGATGATTTTACATTTACATGACCCGACATGGTGCTGAGATGAGAAATACATGACTAACATACATCAATCAAATGACCTGAGCATGACCGGAATGAGACTATCATACGACGGCAGCGTAACTGTGTTCCGACTTTCATTTGACTATGAAAGGACTAGGAGGAGAGAACTACATGACTACCGAATGACTGTATATATTTGGCATCACGAGAGGAGACCACACGACTTTACACGACTTGGTGAAGTCAACTCGAAGTCAAAATTTTGTAAAAAAGACTGCTTTTAGTCATGTCGTGCAATTTTGTGTAGTAGCGTGACTACCATACGACCGAGACATGACGAATCGTTTTTACTGAGCATAATGCATGCAGCTGCCAGCATACCCACCCACCAATCCATCTGATATGTCTCATGTATTTCTTTTACAAGATATCCACTGCACTCAATAATAATATTACAATGCTTTGATCGGCTGAGGCATTTGGCGAATAAAGTGCCTATAATTCGAGAAAATGGCACATCAGCTCAAATAACGAAACTCAACGCCGTAACATACTGGTACTGTGAATTCAAATCGGAGTAATGCTACTAAATATTTTTGGCAATTACGTAGACGACCAGCTACTCACTCCCCAATCCACCATTCTGAATCGTCGTTCTTTCGCATTTCCCATTCATAGAGTATTCCGTCCAGTAAAACATACAGACTTTCTCCTCTGGGATCCAGAAACAACGCCGCTGATTCTTCTTGGCGCCTGCTGTAACTGTAGTCGATGGGTAAGACGAAAATTTCCGTCGTCACGGTTGCAAATGACGTCGCATCGATGACGTGAATAATTTTATGGAGAAGTGCGTTCTGAAAGTCAGTATTCAAATATTCAAGAGGCACAAAGACTAGAGTGCAAAGTTAACTTACCTCCATGAACACCAAAACCTCTCTTCCTAAGATTCCTTTGCTAAATTTGAGAAAGGTTATGGGTTCATTCACAAATCTCTGCTTTTCCACTGCCAACACCAGTAAGGGAATTTGACTTCGAACATCATAAACGGACATGACGCCGTCAGATGTAGCCATAGCAAATTTAGACCCATCAGCGGAAAATTCAAGGACTACTACGGGCGGCCCCATCGGCGGAAGTTGACCATAGGCGTTGGCGAGTTTGGGAATCGACACATTAGTAACAAAAGAGAAGTCCTTATTGTTCGCATCACCAGAGTCGGAGTAGAAGATGTTAATCTTTTCGGCACCCAACTGGCCCGCGACGCTGAGAAGAATATTCCTGTCGGGTGATTGTGTAACGAACATGGCTGAAGATGTTAGAGCAGGTCGGTATTTTATGAAAAAATATGAAACGAACCACCATCAGCATAATTCATTCGCCCAACCTCAATTAGAGGATAGTCTCCCTCAATATCTATGTCAAACAACTCCATATGGTCTCTAGAACTCAGTCCAAATGTGATTCCCAAAGTGTTTGTGTTCGACTTCATCCAGTGCAATCCCGGGATACTTGAATGGCCGTCGCCGTGGTAAGTCCACAAAGCGGGACCAAAACGGTAGGAGCAGATTTCATGAATTGAGAGATGCAGACAGTACTGAGCTTTAAAATCCCCGGTTATGCCAGAGAAAGAGTTCCTGGCAAAGAGGAGCATCCGATTGCCGTTGATTGGAATGAACTCGAAATACCGCGACCCCCGGACGCCCAGTGACAATACAGCATCGCTGAGATGCTCAGTGTCATTGACAGTGGTCAAATCCTGAAAAGATGTCGCTTTAAATTGGTTTCTCGCGACGATTCGTGGCTAGAATGTGGGTCAGTAATCGGTTATGGCATTTTGTGGTGAATGAACCTCGCGTTTACTAGAAGAACGTATATTGTGCTCAAAGATGGTGTTCTTCCGACAATAATAAATGATGCCCTTCCGAAGGGGACAATGAGGGTTAAGATGCATTAGCTCCTCGAGTGGACAGCTAACACAAGAATAGTACTCAGTGGATCGTTTCCTAAAGTTGGCATGGAAGGTTCTTACCGTTTATCAAAGATAAAGGTCGTTCGGGGGTCCCTTGATTTGAGTAATGCGGAATCGAGCTTATCCATCGATAATTGTTGAGAGTGTGGAAGCAGCAACCTGTGACAAGCGCTCGACGATTCGTGTCAGCAACCCGACGGCCCGTAGATCGCGTGGTGTCCATTATTAGGCCAGTTAGACGTAGGTAACGGAGGTACAAGTGCCAGTGCTCTCGGAGCGAAGACAGAATTTCGTCATTCTTCGGTCCGAGTCACTTGCAATCCAATCTCCCACTGTCTCTGCAGCATAGCGATCCACCGGTGTCTGCAACTTCACAGGCTCATAAACTAGCACATCAAGAAACTAAAGTCCTTCCGTTTCCGTTGCGTTCTGAAGTGATTCGGAAGGCAGGAGTCCTATGGCAGCCGTTTGCATAAGTCATTGAACCTGGGTGAGGGCAGGGTGAGGGTGAAAAGGGCTTGTGGTCCATCGTGGTTAACATGAACAACTTCACCTTGTATCAGAGCGTGAAAACGATCGAACAAATCCGTATTGTAAGCCCACTATATTCAACTACTCCATGGGCTTAGATCTATGTTGTTTCTATGTTCTTTACATCACGATAGATAACGCTAGTTTTTCAACAGCTAGGCTTGACGTATCCTCATTTGGCACCATAGACGTCGGTGCGCAAGAATGAAGGATACTACGTTGACTATCCCCCCACTTGTAACATTCATAACAGCGGACCTCAATCCTATGGACACCATAAGGGTTAATGTGACGTGGCTTCAGGTTCCAGCGCAGGTACAGAACGCAAAATAGTCTCCACATGCGCGTAATCCGTCTTTGCCATTGGCACCCCAATGTCGTGCCTACATCGTCAAAAGGGGAGGTAGAAGCCTACATCTCAGCCCAAACGTCACCGAAAGCAAGGAACACCCACCAACGGCGTAAATGGCGACGTATACCCTTCATATTGTGCAGGTGCGAAACACAGTATGTACACCTATACTCTGCGGAAGGATCTTGTGGGAAGCCGGCTTGTCGGCGTGGGGTGCGATCGGTTCTTGTTATGAGGTAGAAGAAATCGTCGTTTTCAACTGGGGTAGAGATGTTGTGTCTTCATTTATTGGTTGTTAGCTTCGAGAAAACGAATGAGGTGGAAGTTTACGTACTTGACCTTAACGTGTCTTATGGCTTCCGTTCTTGGTACCATATTCTTGAAGTGCTCAGGGCAATGGACGCACGACCAAGAAGACTCGGTGGTATAGGGATCGTACTCCTCTCGACGTTTAACGTCGTACTCGGCCTCTATTGTGAGAAGACTCCACGTCGGGGATGTATGTGTTCCTTGTCCGTCGTGCGGCATCTTGATGTAGTGTAGAACCTAAACAGGTCAGATTATACATTGTTCAAGAAAAGAGAGCAACTTGGAACGCACAGCATCTCGCCAGTTATACGCATGCCTTCCCTTAAATCCAGTATACGTAGCAATAGGACAGGAAGTGCATATATACCTATAATCCAATCGATCCATATCAGCTGCAGTCGTCGTCCTCGGATCCAAACACGCAAGGTTCACAAGAACCGTAGCAGCATCGTGCCCCCGCTGACTGAAATGTAACCTCTTCTCCCAGTAGGTCTCCAGAGAGGTGCAACGCAGATGAGGACCGGCTGCCTCCCAGCCTATGAGGCATAGCCCCGCCTTACGTTGGGGGCTCACGTTGGAGCCGAGGCAGCAAAACACGGAGGTGGCGAGTTGGAGAGCCTCGAAATTGTCCTCCATTTCCTGTGATGGGCCAGAACGCTCCGAGCTGGGGCCAGCGTGCTGTGAAGTGGTGGTGCCACCGCTACCGCGCCCAGGTAAAAGCGACACGAGCTGCCTCTTCTTCGTCAATGTCCAATCCCGGATTTCCTTCGGTAAACACCACAGCGCTTCCTCGCAAGATGCCCTATCCAATTCATCGCTATGTGGTGCGTTGATCAAGTCCTCGAAGGGCTTGAATTGATAGACGGCATAGTGCGGAGGAAGGTATGCCCACGTCAACGGCGGCACTGACTTCTTGTATTCCCTATACAGCTCGTGGACAAACTCTTTCCGTTTATTGATGAGGATCCCGCGTTCCCGCGCCCAACGTTCTTCTTGAACTCTGATGACCGTAGGCTCAAAATACGTTTTGAGAGCTTCCCATTCTGTTTGCTAGTTGAGAAAAGGGCGATGGTTGTCGACTGGAACAGGGCTCACGTTTATTGGACAACCTCGGCCTATTGAGACTGTCGACATGAGGTGCAATTTCCGAAGTCGCGTTCCTAACGTCCTCGGGATGATATCCTAGTCGCTTGAAACGGCTCTGTACTCTGAAGACATGGTTCAAGCAGAAAAGGAAGATACAGTTGGAAAATACCTCTTGATGATGTTTGATTGTCTCCTTTCCAAATCACCGACGTAGCATTCCGTCAACTCTTCGGCCCAGCGTAGACAAGTCGCGGCATGCTGATGAATGACATCAGAACCAGAAGCATGGGAAGCATCAAAGGAAAATACCTCATTAATTGGATCCACTGAGGCTTTACGCTTTGCTTTGTAGGCATCAAACGCTTCCTTGGCTCCTGGTTCTTCCCTCGTAATCGCGTCCTCGTAGCCAGTAATGGTCCCATGGACAGCTTTCAGTTCTGCCTCACTGTATAGACACCACTCATCGATTGTATTTACGAGATCTCCCTCTTCTGACAAGTCTAGAAGGCCGTTGTGTCAGCTCAGATCATGCAGAAAACAAAACAAAGGCGCACGCAACAACTGACTCTTCCTTACTAAATTATACGCAATTGAATGCCCATCGATCGCCTGCAATTCATCCACGAGGCTAGAGATAAATTAAGCCAAAAACGTTATACGATGCATGGAACAATGTACCGATCGTTCACAAACATGCAGTCATTACATTGGAATCGGCGGAAAGGTATATTTGGAGGGGCACCCCCCTCTCCGCAATCCTGGACAGTATGTCAATTCCACCAAAGAGACAGCCGAAGCGTACTTGCCTGACAAACAAGCCTTCCGAATAACATCCCAGCCCACTCCAACCAAGACATCTTTGTTGGAAAATCCGGCGTCACTGGCGGACATTTTGGAAGGGTTGGATCGTTTTCAAAGGCGAGGTTCCACGCAGAGCTCGAATTTGGATGGCTGAGAAGTGCTTGGAAAGCCCGATTGGTTTGGCTGATGTGGTGGAGATCAATGGGGTGCAGGTGTTCAAAAATCTAAATCGCCACTGGCTCATTAGAAGAGCCCTCGGTCGAATTGGAAGACAAACCTCATAGAGGATGTCGACGTGCATGGAGCTTATCGGCTCTAGGTATCCATCAGGTGGCCGAAAAGCACCTTTCGGGATTGAACGTCTCCATCGACGCAAGACGTAGGTAGCCAAATGGTTAGCTAGAGAATCACTATCAGTGAGATGAACGATCCGGACACAATGCAAGTCATGGCCAACGTACTCGTGTCATGTCGATCCACCGCCCGTACCACAAGGTCATAGATAAGTTCACTCGGCAGTAGACAATCCTCCGCCTCCATCGTGTTCTGAGGTGATTTGACCGTCGCGTAGCGTGCCTGTGGTCGAGAGCGGAAATGGTACTTTGCGGGCGCTATTCACGGCATTCGGGTCGGAGTTTTTAATCATGGCAACATTGACATCTCCTTGTCAACATCTTGTCAGTGAGCCCTCCCGGCAAAAAGTTCTTGAAAAGGCAGCGTTATTGGCATTGACAAGGGCGAGCGTGGACGAGTGAAGCGTGAGTTGACTGTGACGAAAAACTATACTTGTATAAATAAACGTCAATGCCCAACCATCCTTCACTAAGCACTCAGAGTCCTCTGTTAAGAGTGTATGAAAAGAAAAGGCTTAGTTCTCATACAACCCGTAGTACTTAATCATTATTTTTTCGTGGTAGAAAATAAGACACTCTGATTTTGAACTCTTATGTTTACACGTCCTTCAGCCTCCTACCCATTCGTTGCGCCGTGGTTGAGTCATCTGAGGTGTGGGCGCGGTGTCTTATCCTAGTGATTTAGGTAGATTAGTAATACTGATAAGAATGATCCGACATAACACCGACAACTTTAATCTGCTCAACCACTGTGCAACGCCTGGCACAAAACATCTGTAAACAAATGGTGCCACAGCGCGGAGTCTCAAAACACGTCGCGTTCAACTTATGTCAGCACGCTTGGGCAGTGCGCTATCCAAGCGCTTACTCACCACCACCACAAAGCTCCCTCGTGAACACTCCAAGCATACCTAATAAATTTCATTTGACAATTTGAAAAACTCTGCAGGTTGAAATATTTTGGGTCGATGAAGAACTTCGTGCATATACTTGAAATTGGATGGGTGGCAAATGGGTGGCCAGATGTATTTGTGAATCTTGTCTGCAGTCAGCTCTTAGTAAAATAAATTCTTTCAAGTCAGTATAAAGAAACATGACCCCAGAAGTTGAGTTTATTGTCTTTCCTGCTACATAAATTGTCTTGAGTCATCAAGTCAGTTTTAGATGTACTACAATGATATGGACATCGGTTAAAATTCAAAGTAAAAACTTCTTATTCACAATATAATTTATTATCTATGTTAGAAGTGTTTTCGAGGGCATTTTGTGGTGGTGGTGAGTATAGCGCTTGGATACTACGCGCTGCCCAAGCGTGCTGACATAAGTTGAGCGCGACGTGTTTTGAGACTCCGCGCTGTGGCACCATTTGTTTACAAATGTTTTGTGCCAGGCGTTGCACTGTGGTTGAGCAGATTAAAGTTGTCGGTAAATTCTCGGATCATTGTAATCAACATTATTAATCTACCAAATCTAGGATAAGACACCGCGCCCACTCTCAGATATCTCAACCACGGCGCAACGAATGGGTAGGAGGCTGCACGTCCTTGTCGATTAGTGGTTAAATCATCTCGTTGTGGTGGCAGAAACAAATATTACTCCGAGAAGCCGGAAGTTCGAATCCTCCCTGGGACACTACTCTTTTGAAATCCACCCCAATCGCGCAATCCCCCCGTATGCGTTGTAGGGTTCCACATTCCCCATCGTGCATGTAAATGTAGTTGGTACAGTCTATGCCTGTCATCGCAACGCGAGCGCCTCAGCGCTCAGCCGATACCTTTCCGCATGTAACTCTGACAAGAATGATGTGACTTCGTCTCTCCTATAGAAATTTATGTAAACGCCTCAGGCAAAGAGAAATCCCGCGAGTGCTAATAGTCCTGGCGGGAGGGACCCACAATCTCCGCAGATGGTCAGCTGTAGAATAAAATCGGGGCTTTGTGGTCAACAAAAAAAATCAAGGGATGAAAATTCAACGGAACGGTACCGTTAGCGACGCAATTGAGCTGTAAGTCGGACTTACACTACGTGCAAGTGATTCAAGAGCTACTACAGGACGTCTTTGCTCCTGCCGGTGAGCCGTACATCGTCATTTTTAGAGGATCTCTGCGATGAGCCAGACTTGCTCCAAGTCCGTGATTTAGGCCATGCTCTCAATGATTCCGCTGTTTGTAGGAGACTGCCTATGTAAACGCGTTGCGTTGCCCTGTGTACTACCATCTGTGAGTTAACGAAAAGATAAAGAAAGTAAGAAAGCAAGAAAACGAACCTTTACAACCTTCAGGTTCGTTTTGGTCCCTTAAGTACATCGGTGCACATCTTGGCAAGCCTCTTCTCCGAGTGGTCTTCTATCTGAGTCAGCATCCTCTGCCCCAGCCTTCCCCTCCGCAGTGATCTCCCACGTTACACTCTCCATCCCCTTCGCAAACTCCTACGACCAGCAGGGAATGAATATGACCACGGGTACGGGCCAGATTTGTACCGCGCCTTGTAAGCTTTGTCACAATACAAAATACAGGTATCGAGACACTGTGCAGGAAGGCGGTAAACGAGCTCAAGAGAGAATCCGAATCTTCGGTGATCTGACTGCCTGAGTTAGACCAACACTGGAAGAACAGACACACAAACAGGCACACCAAAAACGCACCTTAACCAGCCATAAGTATGTGACATAGACAAGATAAAAAAGCTGAGGCTGGAGGCGTAACGCATCGTTCCGTGCACGACGTAGAGTCGAGGAAAATTTGTTTGTGCTTGTCTTTCGTGGAAACTTGTTTGCACTAAGTACCAGCTTGTGCTCATTCTCCCAAGATCAAGCAAACCGAAAGTCCAACGAAAGTCTTCTCAAGTTCATGATATCAACTACATTTCTATCGCTACCTTTGTGTTTTGGCATAGGCTGCTACCTATTCCTCGAGGAGTCAACGCCTCACCTCCAGTGGCCAACCAGTGGCATGCGCCAACGGCCCTTTGCAGTTTGACACCAGTCTCTTCACATCTATCAACTCCGGCTCGTCCCTGATCGTGCAATTAATTGAGTGACATTGCAGAGCAGGTATGTTTCATGAGACTGGCAGTGCACTCTAAGCGCTATCAGGCGCTTAGGGATTACTAGGGTCATTTAAAAGAATAAGCCACACGTTGAACGGGGTCAGAACCCAGAATGAATGATACACACAGCCTACAGTCTCGTGTCAACACCAATTATCTCCCCCTTGTCGAGACGGATATCGAAAAAAGTGGTGACCCCTCTCCTAGTACGCAATCAACAAGACGGTGGGGTCTCTCAAAATTTCACTGTAATCCCGCCCTAACCATGTTCCAGCATCAAATTTAACAAGTACTTGCCCTTCGCCGTGCACTTCGCTCTCACAGCTCTCGTATCCGTAGCCTGTCTACGCTTTCTTGATGGCCGCGATTTCAACGTCAACTCCCGTCGACCTCAATACCAAGAAGTCGATGGTACCGTTTCCCAAATGACTTCCTACGCCCCTCTACAATCCGACATCGCAACCGCTGTCTCGCTGGCAGCTACGGTGACACGTGTTGCCGGTGGGTGGTGGGCGGCCGGCTACATCTGGCGCTGCATTTTTGTAGCCATGGAACGTGGGGGTATTTCGCCGAAAGGTCTATCTCAGGCCATCTCAAGTTGGCCGCCTTCGCCTCGCCACTTTACTCGAAAAAGCGACGTGGTCGTCATATACCTCACCCTTTTTGCCACATTTTCCATCGACTACTTCTCCGCAGCTTTAACTGGTTCGATTGTTTGGGAAACAGGGGATAGGTTGATACCTGGGACGGTTCCTCTCACTAATATCACGAGAGGAATCGGTGGAAAGGACATATCAGGGTATTTCTTATACACCTTCAGCCAGGATTGGGTCATGGCAGCAGGTACTGCTTCTGCCAACGTTGCCTGGGGAGCACTCCAATCAAACACAAACTCGGATATGACAGAGCCCGCCACGCGTTACCGGCGTGTAATGAAAGGAGCGCAATACCTCTCTACTAATTCTACCTTGGCCAATGTCACAATGCCGTACTTTGCCCTGGACGCTTTCGAGTGGGTTCCGGAGCCTCTCAAGGTCTTGACGAAACAGCAGATGCTCCTGTTCAGTGATTACAATCAATCCAGTCCATATTTCTCATTTCTGGGAATTGGTGGGCCGTTACCTGATCGCGCGCCGTGGGGACCACCACATACACCAGTCCTGGGAGAACCTCACACCGTATCAGAAACACGACTTCTCTCTTTCCGGGTAAGCCGAAATTACTCGGCCACACCAAAATCATGTTCACAGAATTATACGATCGATCCTGGGTCGCAAGTCAAGTTACTCAGCGTGTCGTTCCGTGCGCTTGATAATTACACGGACTGTTTCGCGATTGCAAATATAACATATCGCGCAGGTGCGACCATGTGCCATAACTGTAAACTCATTTCCCCGACTGTCCTGGAAGCGCAGCCCCCCTTTTCACTCATTGGGGATTCCTTGACTTCGATGGCACTGGGATTGGCACCAGCGCTTGGGACCAATCTCTTCTTTTCTAATTACTCTATTCCGTTGAACTACGGGACGCGCAAAAACCTGGCCATTGAAATGACTTCGCGGGGGTACCAAGCCGCCTGGGCAGCATTTGCAGACGTGTATGCACCGGAGTGGGATAATACGACTGTTAAGATCGCCTTGCCCACATTGCGCGCCACGATTATTCGTTGGAGAGTAGACCTCTGGGTGTTGCTGCACCTTTGTGTGTTGGCGCTAGGCATTTTTTTCTTATCCTTTCAAAGCCGTTGTGATCACCCGTGGGTCGATGATACAACTATGGCCATTTTTTGGCTAGACACAAGGGCAGTTTTTACCAAGTCAGATGGTCGCCTCGTCTCGGACCCATGGCAGCCCGGAACAGAGATTCGCGACGATGGAATGCTTATACTGGAGCTTGACGAAGCTGGTCAACGCTCTGTGCAGGTTAAGAGGGAAAGTGGTTTATTACGGCACAAATTTGATTCGCTACCTGTGCAGCATAGGACGCCATGGACCCCTTGATGGACGAGATAACGGGAGGAACGGGGTTGACAGTGAGATCCTAGTCTGGATTAGGGACTTGTTGCTCAGCGAGAGTCATGCCAGGGAAGAGAACGTAACTCGGTCAAGTACCTATTGTAATGCTCGAATCAAGTATTGAAAAGTAAAAAGTCAGCGGTGACGTGGTAAGAGATGACCGGGGCCCTGTGGACACACAAGTACTTAAAATGAGATCGGCGACGTCCCCACGAAGACCACTGTAAAAAATCTATGGCCACGTAGTTTCAATTTCGAAGAAACTCGCGCCACATTCCGTCCACCAGAACGAAAATTCTGCAGAATAAATCAATGAAATACGATACTGTGATATATAAATGCAATACTTCAATTTCGTATGTTCCTCATACAAAGCCTTGTTTAGATTGTTTTCACAGAACTTGAATGCTGAAAGAATGATTCATAGTCAGTTTGCAGCATTCATGATTCATAACTTACTTACCAAATACAAACACAGCGGGTGCAGTCATCCATGAGACGGTAGAAAGCAGTTACGGCGACGCACAGAAGCTGGGTGATGAGTACGTACTGGCGCAATATCTTCCGATACTGCCCCCTCGCCTTAATCCGGCTGCAGCCATCGCTCCGGCCAATGGTAGTAATACGCAATGACGGTCATAGCCATTAAACGAGAAAGTACAACCTTCATTACAGTATTCACACAAAAGCAGGTAGCCGAAGAGCAAATTGAATCCTTAGCGAGAAATTTTCTGTGGTTGTAATGTCAGAAGTGCACGAGGGGAGAGAGATACACTTACAATTGGGGTTAAGATCAGCTGCCATCTTCTTAATTTCGGTAACAATTTCCATAAACCTCGCCTCTCCTTCTGATTCCATGACATCATAGTTCCATCTCTCCTGGGGCGCGGTGTCGGTGAGGATGAGAGGATGTGGAGGAATACGGTACGGGGTCAGCGACCGGGTTTCAGACGTGTATTCATAGACGGAGAACCGAGTACCGAAGGCGCTGATGCCGTACAATGTCGGAATCGCAACATTTCCTGTAAAATCCAGAAACCTGTCGCGTATTTGTTCATCTGCCTCTTTGCGTAAGGACGCGCGATCAAATGCTTGGTAGGTCTTGATTTCAACGAAGAGAATGGGCACTTTTCGCTTCATAACAATGTAAATCACACTAGAATCAATGGAACCAGTAATGCGCTTATTCTTAGGAGAAACCTGGTAGTTGTCGTGGGGAGGGAAAACTGTTGTGAGGAGGGTGTTGAACGGCCCGTAATACTCGCTCTCGTCAGTGGTGAACTGATTGACGAGTTTGAATTGTCGAACAACGAACTCGGGCCAAGGCATTTCTTGAACCAGTCATTAGTGAAGTAAGGAGTTTAGATATGCCAAAATCGTTTACCTTTTCAGAGTGTAGCGGGGAAGGAACTTTCAAGACGTGCGCGTGAGGACCGATAAGATAAAATCATTTCCCACGACTACAATTAGTACAAACGATCTTATCAAGATCAAAACGTCATGAAGACTGTCATGTGCACAAGCATATGAGGATTAGCTGGAAAAAAACGCCGGTCACTATTGGTTGAGAAGACGGAAGGCCAAGTTTACCCGTCCGCTCCGACATAACCCACTTTCACTTATATCGATCAATCGTGGAATTTACGCTCTCCCGTCATCTGCATAGTTGTAATGGCCACCAATATTACCTTACACCCAGGTATACTCGCTCTTCTCTAGTCACCTCTCTTCTCATTTTGTTGGGTTGGAAGGCTCCGTGACAAACTTGGAGCGGACGCAATTACTTGGCCAGACAGGCGTTACTGTGTGGCTTACGGGGCTAAGCGGCAGCGGAAAAGTAAGGTCTTTTTTAAAAAAAATCCATCATGGCTCAGATTTTCTCATTCTTTCGCAGTCAACCATTGCCTGTGCCCTTGAACAGCATCTACTGAACCTGCACAAGTTTACCTACCGTCTCGACGGTGACAATGTCAGATTTGGTCTTAATAAAGACCTTGGCTTCGACGAAAAGTCCAGAAATGAAAATATACGACGGATAGGCGAGGTAAGTAAGACGTCCCTACTGGCCTATTGGCTGCTGACATCTGTCCTGGCAGGTGTCCAAATTATTTGCGGACGCAGGATGCGTATCCATCACCGCCTTCATATCTCCTTATCTGGCAGACAGGGCGATAGCCAGGGAACTACATCAGAAGGCCTCCTTGCCATTTGTCGAGGTATACGTCGATGCCCCACTGGAGGTAGTTGAAAAACGGGATCCCAAAGGATTGTACAAAAAAGCAAGGGCTGGAGAAATCGAAGGTTAGATTGTCGGTTATGTTGTGGACTGAAAAACTTACGAACCAAAAGAATTTACTGGAATATCCGCACCATATGAGGCCCCAGAAGCTCCAGAAATTCATATCAAGACCCATGAAACTGAGGTCCTCGACGCGGTTCGCATTATTGCCGATTATCTTGCTTCCAAGGGATACCTTTCGACGTGATTACTTTCTGATCACGCCTGGAGCGACACTACATGTATACCTTTACCAGACATCTGTTGGACATAGATTGCTATGTTTTCTGGCCATTGCGTTTTCTCAAATATCCCTTGCCGTGAGATCCTGACGAAAACATGTACGTTGAGGTTGATTGACGCGTAGTATGCGGGCTGTTTTCACTTACCTGCTAGTTGTGGTATCGCAGGTTCTGTTGGTTACCACGAACGGAGCCTCCCCGTGGATCGCGTCCCGCCAAACTGAGGCTTCAGAATGGTCCAATGTATAGCTCGAGTAGCTGGTGGCGATTGAAGTCAGCCGGTGAAGATGGCGGTGGTAAGCGTGCAAGAGGCACTTAAATTGTCGGCGCGAATTGCTCACGAGGCGGTTGGATTTGAGTGATGTTAACGTTACAATGCTCTGTTTGCAAGAGGAATCGTTCCGACCACTGCCTGGATGACCCTATCCCATAGACTAGTACGTCTCCATTGGTAATACGGTCAGATTGCCCCATTCTGGGCTGGTTCTACGTTTGATTCTAGAATCAGCTCCCAACGCAGCTCAGCAGAAGCTCAGCAAGGAAATATGCCGTTTGCGAAGACTCGCAAGGACTGCGAACCAGTTCATAGAACAAAAAACATAGAAACCCTGCAGGTTTACTGTATCGATCGATACCTTAGGTATCTATCGCCTGCGACCGGCCGAGGGACATACGCTTTCATTATAAGTATGCTTGTTTTCCCCAGAGATAAACATACACTTTGATATGTTATCTGAACCATCATCACCGGGGAAATATACTCCGGAGAAACGAAAGAAAAGGAAGTCAAGTCTGATTGCGTGCGCCATAACATCAGGAGCTAGTTGCAAAAAATTAGTTTGAGGACCCATATATTAATAGGGGTTAGGTCTCCCGCGGCGCCCTGCGTTGAAGGGTTGCGGTTTCACACAATACGGGCTACGGGCTGCGTGGGCACTATTTCTATATTGGGGGTGCGGATTGAATGTCTAATTTAATGTGAGCGTCTCCGAGCTCACCGGGAAAGGGTCAATTTATCGTCCTGAATAACCCAAGAATTCGAACCTTAAAAGGAGCCAGTTTTAGGAATAGAGAAATAGTGACATTTGAGCAAGATATGTTTATAGTGAAAGGGCCTGTACACACCATCAAATCCGAGACTTTGGAGTGCAGGTCACAAATATGTTGTGAAGTTTACGGAAGCTTGCCCCCGGATCTTAGGTGCGAAATTGATTCCATGGGATACGATCAGCAAGCATTCAAGCCATAAAGCAGGACGGCCCTCGGAGTCCTGGAGTGTCGAGAAAGCTGCAGCAGCGTATCTGAGATCACAGAAGATAAATATACCATGAGCCGCAGAGCTGCGGCGAGATGAGCATGGCATTGGTGAGTTGAGTTGAAGTTCAGCTCATCTGGTGTATCTGAGATCATGTAGACTTATCTGCATACTTAGGAGTTGCGCAAGGAGGGTGAAAGAACGTGATGAGAGGTATGTACCTTAGAGACTCCAGAGTAGTTGACTTCAGTATGCGACGTGGCAAGCGCATCAGCTTCTGCCTCCTGATTCAAGACGTCCCAGGCGCGATTACAGAGCGGCGGAAATTTAGCATCATGGCCTGGCCTCCAACGAGCACGTACGGCCACAACTGCGAATCCCAGAATCGTATCAGGCTGGACTTGCTGGCAGGCGTGCGTTCCTCGCAACAAACCGACATGCGGAGAATTGTGCCCTGTCAAGTCTTTCGCTGAAAGTCCGATAGGTCGGGCACACCTGACGCCGTCGAATGCGCTTCGCATCAGCATCGGTGAATTATTCCGCTGCAAAAGTCGGCGAAGCGCTGCGCACGAGGAGATGGCCCAATTGGGTGGTGCAAGCAGTAATCAGATTATCAGAAGGCTAAGATACTTGGATGAACGATAGAATACAGCAGTTCGCTTGCTTATCAACTCAGTCCACTGTTACTCCACGCGTTCTCAAGTCGTTCTTGGCTTCGCCTATCTCCTATATTTAAGTGTAACGTCAGCGAAGGCATGGAGGACATTGTCAGGAGGAAAGAGTGAATGGGGAAAGGGACGCCGCAAAAAAATGTCGAGAGTAAGGGATAGAATAGAAGACTAGAGGAAAGCCAATGTACTTCAGAGAAGCCCGCAGATGGCCTAAGCAGTGGAACAAGCCGATAGAAGGATGATCTGGCTAGTTCCGACATTCACACCTGCCTATCAGGCGTGTATCGGGCGTATGTCTTGCAGCGGGAAGCCGAAAACAACGGCAAGTCGCGATATTCTTTGCTTCTCTAAAGAATAGGCAGCAGGCGACTTATCAACCGATTGCTTCTAACGCGCGGCATCGCACTTTTCAGGAGGAACGAAAAATCGTTTACAAGTAACCAACGGAAAGATAAACAAGGAAACGAAAAACCAGAGAAATCAAGAAGAATAAAACAAAAGCTCACCCGCAACAGCTCCGTATACGCTTCAGGGCAGTCTCTGAAGGTGAATAGCCCCCAGCCTAGTGACCAGAGAGAGTAAGACCCGAATGAAACCAACAGCCACCATGGGATCTAACGAACAAAAAAGTCGGCAACGAAAGAGCAGGCGAGTACATTTGTTTCAGACCAGAAGAAAAGAGTACGTGAGAGTGATTGGGGATTGAGATCAGTGAAATTACAAGGGGAGATAGTTGTAAGCGCTACTCACGACGGGCAGGATCTCATCCGCTATTCTCTCCTCCATGAATGGGACGCTGACGACTCGGAAGTATGCAAGGAGATAGAGAACCAAGCAAAACGTCGAGATCGCCGCTACACGGTGTGCACGAGCCATGCTGCTGTCGTTGACGTTGACGTCGTCGGTGGTGGTGGTGAGAGGTATGCAAACTTTGTTCAGGCAACGTGTCACGCTCACATCAAGAACCCAAACACTTAGATAAGATTAGATCTCCAAAACATGTAAAGGGGCCGGATAGGGCTACATTTCCAATGAGGAACCGGTAATGATACATATATATTTTGATATACTATACAGAAATTTCCGCTACGAAGGGTATCCAGCCCCCTCCATACATACACGTCGAATAACAAAGCAACTACTACTTTAAATGGGAGGATCGTAGAAAAATGGAGCGTGCGGCACATTGAATGAAGCTTTCATGGGCCTCACGATCGGACTCGAAGTAGTTGGGCGAGCTTTCCCGCTCTGAACAACGCCTGCGTATCGTCATTTCCTGCAGAATTTGAGTTCTACACTCTCCTGAAAAAACAAATTCAACATACCTCCTATGTGCTTGTGGGCTAAATTTGGGCGGGCACAGCGATAAGCACTCGCTTCTTCATCACTAAAAATGTGGATCACATACCGACGAACACATTGGGAACTGTTCGCTGCCCAGTTTTCTCCAATAAGTATGATTGAATCTCGGGCCCGTCCTTTCGCAGATTTAGCCTAGAGCGCCAATCGTAAATAAATCGGTCCTTGCAGGTTTTGGAGTGAGCAGTGCGTACTCAACAACCATAGGTTTGACTTTCGGGAATTCTTGATTGAAAAGGGCTTTCGTCTTTGAGCTGTGCGGGCAGCAGGTTTTTGAGAATATAACAACCTCGTTGACCGCGACGATGGACTACAATCCAGCCCAGTTAATTACTTCTTTTGCTGACCCGCAAGACAAGATATGGAGACCTACATCTACCAATTCCTGAACGTCCGAGCAGGAACCGCTGTCCCGGGAAGAATACCAGCGGGCAGAGGGTGAGAAGAGTCGAGATGGGACGGTGGTAGCGGCCAGGTAAGATAAGGTTGGCAATGGTAAGAGTCGGCACCGAGAGGACAAGATGGTCGTAGAAAGACGAGGAAACATGGCGGTATCTTCTGTCAGTGTGCAGTGAGTGATAGGGCTGCGTATTGTTCTTCCTGTTGGGCATGGCTTGTCTATTTGAATGAAAGCACAACCAATCATTTGCCCATAGTATTCTTTGCCAAGGCGGGTGCGGAAACAAGGAACGTACGGGAAACCGTCGTGAAGGGTCTCATGTTCAGAAGCTACTGTAGTGAAGCGGTTGGAGAATTCTATCAATCGAAGGGTCCACAAGATTGCATTTGGTCCCGTCTGTAAATGGGCAACCCCGAGAAGGTCGGCGCACGAGGTCAGCCGCGGTACATGGGTGAGGTTGGACTCTCACCTACCCTTCAATATCCGTCGGCTCAGTTGACCACCTTTCGCCTAATGTAGCGATTGTCATGGCAGAGTAGGAAGACAGGGCACATCGCCCGCAAGCCAGAATAACCCTGTATAGCAATTTATGACGAATTCCAGCCCAATAGGAAGGGTCTCCAGTGAAAAAATCTTCACCAGTTTGGACTTGCATGTGGGAGTTTCTCCGACCGCCAAGGAACAACATTTGCGCACCGAGGAGGATCAATAACGCCCGAGTCCTCGCGCTGCGCCCGCTGAACCTCGTGGTCCCCGCAATCCCCTTTTTATTGTTCGTTACGTGGCGTCGTGCACCTCATTGTCGGATTTCATCTTGACCGCCGACTTGTCATCACCTAGAAACATATCCTGGAGGGGAACAAGAGAAGGCTTCTTCCGGGAGTAGTTTTCTGGAGTAGCGACCCGCTGAATCCTAAAATTAGGCGCAATATGAATGGCCGCTTGCATTACTTAGGCTTCAATCAGAATGGCGGTCAAATTGATTTTGAAGTGCGGTTCCGAAGATATGGCGTCGGCGGTCAAGGCCACGTGATACGCCCAAAACCTTCTAGTATACCCCTCGTAAGAGGATGTCGCTCTTGCAAGACGAGGCATTGCTTGGTGGTTCCTTCGATTGAGATCTTCATTTCCAGGTTTCAATGGCGGGGGTATCTGACCCCCAACAACCCAGCGGGGAAATCGACGTTTGCAGAGCGGGGAAACCGACGTTCCCATTTGCCATAGGTCCTGATCTCTCCTCGCATAATTGCGATAATCGACCCTGATTTCCTCCCCCACATTCCTTTCCTAATCTGACATGGGGTGTTGGATTTCTATTGTTCAAGAGAATCACCGCGCGGAGAAAAGCTCTGCAGGAACGAAAAGAATCACCGCAAAAGCAGTAACCCCTTCAGCTTCTCCCGACGGAGCTCTTGGGCGGCTCGCCGTGAATCCGCCTTGCACTTGACCAACGTTACAAGAGCCCATGATGCAGGTATTCAACTTGACTTGAGACCCTTGCAAATATTAAGTAAACCTCTCCAGTGATAGATGAATATTATTACCGTGATACCAACGGATTTTATCAATCATTAAGTCACACGGTATAGTTTCCCGCAGCAAGAAGAGAATGCTGGAGGCTGGTGGAGACGGATGAATAGTTTCAGACTTGTCTCAAAAGCTCACCTTGACAAACTGAATTTCTCGACTGAATGTGAGGCGGAATTTGTGTCACCATAACACTTTCTTCCATCCAAACGCTCGGATTATGGGCTTGAAGAAACCGCTTGTGCATATGGTTAGCAAAGTTAGAACTGAGTCCTGTTTAAGAGACTGCTCAATATCCTTGGCTTAATGTTAGGGCTAGCAGCTACTCCCAGATGTTTCGCATCTGCGGACTGCAGAAAAGACAATGAAAGAATCATTTTCATACAATTTATATTTCACATGCAACTTTCCTTTCTATAACGTGATACGGTCTAACGGCACTTCCATTCCAAAGGGTATCGGTCATATGTCCGACTCCTTGAACGCGTCGAGTCACAAACGAGAAGGCACACTGGACGAGGGATGAGTTTGAAGTTATGACGTAACACCTAACAGGAGCATGAACCTCACGCTCGGAGTAGCTCCGCGAGCTTTCCCGCCTTGAAAGATGCCTGGGTATCATCACTCCCTGCATGACAATGTCAGTTGAATCCGAATCGGTGAGAACAACGACACACCTCCTATATGCTTGCTACCTATACAAGGAAAAGCACGCAATTAGAAGTCTTCTTTCGCCATTACCTGCGTCACGTACCAACAAATATATTGGGAACGGTCCGTTGCCCCGTCTTCTTGTACAGGTAGTCTTGGATATCAGAACCATCCGCTCTCTCGTCGAGTCTATCATGATTGTCGTGAGTTTCATGCGGCTGGGCCACAGGCGATTCTAACGCACTCAACGACCGTCGGCGTGATACCCGGGAACTCCTTGGCAAAAAGTGCCTTGGCATTGGCACAATAAGGGCAGTAACTCTTCGAAAATATGGCGACCTTGTTGCCTGAGACGGTAGACTACCATATTATCAGTAGGTGGTCCAACCAAAACCCAAACCACCAACACGTACATCTACAAATTCCTGAGCAGCCATGGTTCTACGTTGAAAGGCGGAGGGTTCAGAGGAGGAGGCGGTAGCTGTTGAGGAAAACAAGGCTGCTGAAGATGGCAAACGAGAGGTGATGGCGGTATAAAGACGAGGAAGCATATGAATGAGATTCGAATTTCGGAGCATTTGGTCAGCAAGTGATGAAAAATCATCAGAATCACGTGGGGTCACGAAATTCTTGTCAGCTTCACCCTTGCTTCACCCCAACTTCAGCCTATGATTCATCTTGACTAGGTGGGGGCGTTCGCATTTGATTTGACTTGAGCTTATTGAAGAGGCGTAGCACCTTATGCTATCACAGGTTTAAAAATACAAAATCGCCCAATAAAACCGGCGATAAATGGATAATGTGAACTCTTGAATTGCGCCATTGGGGAAACTTACTTCTCATCGTGAATGATTTGTGCTATCAGGTCCGAACTTTGAACCCCCTCGGATTTAGCTTACCTGTCAAGGGATTAGATCCAAGCTCACTTGGAAGCTAGTCGGCGAAAGTGTACGCCCATGCAAACTTGAAACTACGCCGCGATGATTTACCAACCCCCTCGTTACAAGTCCAAAATCTTGTAGTGGAAGGGCAGGCCAAGTGCTGGCAGAAGTGAAGTACAAACATATACGGTAAGCGGCTTTCATTGTACCGGCGCATATTCCATTTCGAGTGTCGCAGGTTGGCAATCATGGCTTCCCTTTCAGCATCACCACTCGGCAAAGTATCATGGCTGTTGTTGAGTCCCGGGTTCAAGGCGAGACCCATTCGTTGGTGTATGATATCGGAGGATCTCAATTCAGCTTTCAACCCCACCTAGCTGCGCTTACCATAAGGAATTCAAGTGTCAACGTTTTGTGAGCGCTGTCAAAATTGTCCCTTTGATTGAATGACCCACTCAAGATTCAGAATCCTTGATGTGCAAGTGGCGTGTGCCGCGCACTGAACTACTCCATCGGTTACCCTCTAGTACCACCAATCCACACTCACCCTTTTGGCCAATGATAGTGCTTGAACCTAATCTCGGAAAGCTTGGGTGCCCCGGAAAAACCTCGGCCAGACTCATAGACGACCGACCGTATTGGCTTGCTGCAGAATCCAGATTCGATCGAACTTGAACACTTGGACCTCAGGTTAGAAAGCGTGGTTTGGATGAAGACTCTCATTGGCTCCACAACCTCTCCAATCGCGGATAAATTAAGGATAGACCGGATCTCAAAAAAAACTTACGCACCTCGCTCAATATCTCAAGCTGTGATTTAATTCTATGGTTACACGTCCAGTTTTCTGTGTATAGTTGTGGGTCCATTTAAATTGTCTTCTCGCCAGCCTCTAGGGCTCACAGCAGTGTTATCACAAAAGCAACAAGCTCATGGGCTGTTTCGACCGTTTCGCGAGACGTTGACAAGCGAGATATATTACTGGCACTCACGTCGCGCTTGATGCCGGCATGTTTAAATTGATTCTGCTTAGGCAGGTACGCACGCCCACTCAAATTTTATACGTACAGACGTCATCCAGTATCCACCGGACCTTTGGTTCATCAAGGGTTTTTCCATGTTCAACCGTTCAAAATCAACTTTGAGTTCAAGTGTCAAAACAGGCGATCAATCCAATCAATAATCACTATGTAGCAGAACCTATCCAATGATAGATCTACACACATCACACAACCCTCATTATATTTAGTCGCTTTGCGCGCGCCCTCTCAAGGCTTCGGTTATGAACAATCAGGACCCCCGTTTTCTTATCAGACGTTTTGCCTAAATACGTCGTGAAGAGTTTGTGAGTCCTCACATTTGATCGAAGCGGTGTGTCCATTCATCTGACGTTCCCCAGGCGCGTCAGGGTCTACTTCCACTGCAGGCATATGAATCGGGATACTGTTCGGCGTCGTTCGTCATCCGAGCAGTAATCGTGTTGCCAAGAAACCAATATTCGTCCAAAGGATTGGCAGTATTATACGATACGACCAGCGCTTGGGCTTCCAACCATCCGTCCTAATGCGTTCTACGGTTGATCTCGGGGTTCTCTCATGTCAAGGCGCGGGTCGTGTATCCCGTAATATTGACATCATGCAAGTGCTTATTATTAGGGTGACTATCATACCAGGTGCGTTTTACTTATGGAGATGATCTACCGTCGAGAGCGGATTGACTAAATCTTAATCCAGCGTATGGATGCAAAAAAGTGCGGCTAGACCGGAGGCGCCCATCTTCTTCACTTGAGTTTTACCCATGTTAATCTAGTCGCTTACTCGCACTTTTCCCTGACGCTTCTTTGACAGGTTTTCGCAGCAAAGCCATTGATTCAATGACTTCTGACATCTTCACAGAGTCACTGCGTCCCACACCCTGGATCGCGACCTCCTTAACACCTACAAACTCCTGCCTGCAGGCAGGCTGGGAATATTAATGTTTGACTAAGCCTATATCCAAGGGAACGTGCTTGTCGAGCCAATTAGCCCCCTCAAGGGAATGCTGGCACGTTCTCGCCGTTTCCTGAGTAACTGTGTTTCGCTCGGCCTTAACGGTCTACCACTAACTTGCTGCCAGTAGGAGGTTGATTCGATGCGGAATATTCTGAGTGCGACTTAACAGAGCGTTCGTATGCGTCGCTCACCCCAAATCTTCAGGAGGTAAGTGGTTTCTCGAGCGTCTCTTCAAGTTGAACCCAGACTATGACAGCTGCTGAGCTCCAATCACCGAGGGTGAGTGGCTTGAACGTCAAATGGAGTTTATTCATTTAGGTTTGATTTTTTGAGACTGGGTGCAATTGACCTTATCTTTCCAGGTTTTGTTTGCGACTTAGGAGGAGCGCGTTAGTCCTTGTTGACATTCGTTGACCTGGAACGAGATGAACCAAACATTGTACCCTGCCCGACGAACACCGTCAGCAGCCACAGAAAACCGACGTAAGGCTTGTCCAATCAAGTTCTTAATTTACCCGAATTCACAATGATTAACGTAGGGGAGCGCATATCATGCCTGGACGCCTACCCTTGCTCGCCTGTCAAAACAAGAAGAACAACCTGCATCTAGAATTGTGTCGAAGGGAAACTCTCAAGGACTCTATTTTCCGTTTTCTTCGGCAATCGAAAGATCAACGAGCCGGCTTTTTATAACCCATTCCAGCAACACGAGCCGGCAAGTTGTAGTTTTGGATGACAAGCGCGCAGCGCGGCAGCCTAGTTTGGTATCCAAGTTTGCTGCAGTTGGCGCACTGCGCTTACTTATTATAGACCTTCTCCAGCCTCCTCCCCACTCAAAGATGGATCAAATATTCAGATGACCATTGAAAGCTCTACCCTTTCCTGCCAAACTCTTGGTCAATGCTTGGTCGACGCCTTCTGCGCTCAAGTTATCCATTCAGAGCAATGCGGACTTTCTCGGGGTCACGCATTTGAAGCATGGATTAACTCCACTTCTATATCTCACAGTGCACATCTCCAACCGATATGTCTAGATCTCAGAGATACTTGCAACAACTGGGTTACCAGTCTACGGATCTTCTATTTCTACGTTAAGCCTCGATCAACAACCTGATCATCTCAGTCCATTCGCAGTACAGCTTACTCTCGAGGTCATTCAATTCACTTGAGCACTGGGAACCAACTGTCTCTTCCCGCTGTGGCGGCGGGCCCATAGCAGTCTCCCTGTGTAGGATTCTTGGCTGTGTCGCAGGAAACTGGGCCGGTACAGATTCGTCTTATCATGCCAAACCCAGCTAGCTAAAGGAGTTGTAAAGACGACCCCCTTGGGCCTGGTCAGTCAGCAAAACGTTGCATCATCTGGTTTCTATGTCTGGGCAGCTAGGTGCTCCACTCTATCAATCTCCGCGGACCGCCATGGCAGAAGCATAATACAATCCTCTTATCAAGACACCGGTATGACTGATAGCTTAGCGCCATGATATTGTGTGCCTTGTCTATTTCAGCATTACCATTCTATTTCAGCGTTACCATTCGCAGCGATTACTATGACATTGGCCGATGGAGTAGGAAATTGCAAAATTTAAATTCTATCGCTTTCTGACCTACTGGGGTCGCGACATCACCGAAAGTTATCTGACCTCGGTGAATATTCTTGTCATTAGCTGTGCCAGTCCACGGAAGGGAACGAGTTGTTTCGGGGCATCTGACCCAAGTCAATGGTATGGGGATATGAGCCCGGACTTGATGTTCAGTCGATGTTCAAGAATCAGGTAGGGCTGACTGAAGGGCTCAAGAAGCCGTGTTCTAATTTTGCCGACCGCCGCATCACTCGCAGCCGCAGCTCTTGAAAAATCTGACCATGTCCCGGACTGCGCGAGCTAGGGCGAAGCTGCTAGTGGTCACCTTGATTACTCAAAGGATAAAAAAGAGCGCTAGCGTTCACGTATGCATCATAGTGGCACAATGTCACGCATTTTTTGGTTCCCCTTACAGCTAACGAGGTATCGATAGAACAGATATCAGAACGCTCCGCTTTGTGGTTTTATTTAGTTGTGGAGCATCAGGGTATATGCAAACAACCTTACTAGGAATTCATGGCTATATACGCAATGAGCAGGAAGGGTCGCCAACTCCAACTTGAGCAAATAAAATTCACTGAGCAGAAACTGGTCTATCAATTGACACCCGTTAGCAGTATACCCAGGGTACCTACACGCGTCTTCGTATTTATTACCTTTTACATGGATCGTCGGTAAAGCGACATTTTGAATGGTGTCTATTTTTACATGTGAGCCCAAAATAACTTGACTCTCCCGCAACGATGATAAATAGTAAGTGGCCCCGTTAGCCCGAGGTTGAATTGAAATGACCTCATCGAGAGTATTTTTGTGCGAGAATGCATGCGCCTTACCTTGTCGTGGCACGCAAGATTTGGGCACAGGGCCTTTGTGCTAAATTGAAGCTTTCGGAGGTCTCCAAGCCCATTAAAGGAGACAAGTGTTGAACATATCAAACATCCGAAAAGCTGAACTCCTGAATGTACGAGTCGTATTTTTCATGGACTTCACCAATCTATTTTTAACCGTGACGTATGGGTACCAACGACATAGCAGTAACATAGGATTATTTTCAAGAAATCCGCGTGTAGAAGTACAGGCACTGTAAATCTACGAGGCGGCAGCGTTATGTAGGTGTAAGGGGGAAATATACAACAACGATGGATAAGGATTGGACAAGCAAAGCGCGGGTCAGAAAGGCGTTTGCTGTAAACTATTGGAAAGTGGAAGAATGTTCGAGGGGGATTGGGCGGATATAATTCCTGTGAGAGGGTTGTCGCAAACTACAATATCTAAAAAGAAAAGGGGGTTGGTAAAAAAAAAAGGAGTCCAATGCAATGATAATGTTCTAGGATCCAATGATTAAAAACGACGCTGCAAGCATGAACGAGAGGATATCTTCTTCAAGCCGTTCAAAGGGTGACGCCAACGGCACCTGCGATCATGGAGAGGACGACAGCGGCGGAGTTGTAGCTAAAGAGTCTTGAAGCAGCAGAGAACTGAGTTGCGGCAGGAGCGGAAGAGGAGCCGGCTGAGGTAGAGGAGATGCTGGTGCTGGTGCTAGAAACGCTGCCAGAGGTGGAGGTAGAATGGGCGGACGAGGAGCTGAGAAAGCTTTCATGTTAATAGGTCAACTAAATAAAAGAAAGGAGATTTGTACCCTGAGGATGTGGTGGCTGTGCTGGCTTTGGACGTGCCGCTTGATGATGCTGCGGTTGAGGCGGACGTCGACGAAGCACTGTTTGCTCCAATGGAGAAGGATCCAGAAGTAGTGTAGACCTTGTTGATGTCGCCAATATCTACAAACTCAATGGTATACCCGGCGCTGAATTACAAAATCCTCGTCAGTTCACGCGGGTGCCAGGACGAAAGGGGTATCGTACCCTACGGGAACAACAGGAAGGGTGAGAGTGATAGATCCTGTGCTCGGATCGACGTTGTTGGCAATAGCAAAGGCATTATTGAACGATGTGTTGATCAGTTCAATGGAGAAGGAATCACTAGACTTCAAGTCAGCCGCCACAGGTAAAACGACGAGCAACGTGCACATACGGATCGCCTGCAGCTGTGGTCCAGCTGATAGTCATTTGACCGCCTGAGGTGGGGTTGGTCGGATTAGAAACCGTGAGGGCGGAAACCAATGGAGCGACGAAAGCAAGGAGGCTGAAAAGAAGTGGTTAACGTCAAGTTCGACTATGTGGCGAGATGTCCTTCTAAAGACTGCAGCGGCTCTTACCTGAGTTTTGCGAACATGTTGTGCGGTCGTAAAGTCAAAAGAGGAGAAAATGAAGAAATTGTGCGTTGTGGGTAGGGAATGATGAGGGTAACGAAGGGACTTGTTTGTAAAATTTATATGGAAATTGGAACAAACAGGAGCAATCACAAAAACACTGCTACGGATCATTTTTTTGCGATCTCCTTTTCTCCGACTCAGAAAGAAAGCTTCCATTCCGACCACCTATTCACAGTTCTCCTCTACAAGTTTGTGCTCCTCTAGCGCACCATAGCCGACCTCGGATGTTGGTCACCGATGCCAAGAACTTCCAATAGAAAAGAATAGTAGCATCCTTCAGTAAATCTAATCATAGAAACGAATCAGCGTCATAGCACGTAAGAGAGCGTGCAAGACGCGTGTACCTCATCGAATGGACGTGTATCGTTGAAACAGCTGTCCCACACCTCATTCACCGCACGTTCAGCAGCTGCCTCATTCGGACACGCTGGGTTGGCAGCAACGGAATCCACTGATCGTCTCCGTACGCAAGCCTCGATAAAGGAGTTAAATTTTCATGGTCAAAGTAAGCCGAGAACAGGACTCACTTGATGTTGTTTCGAGAAGGCGATAAAACCCCGTCGTACCTCTTGTGAGAACCTGCAATCGCCGCTCAAATTATTTGCCCGGATCTGCCAAGAAATGCATAATTAAAGGAATGAACTACGAAGTGCCAAGGTAACAGCTTACTTCACTGCAGGCATGATGCCGCAAATTACCCCAGTCAACCTTGAATTTGCAATGGTCGTACATGTGTATCAGCTCGTGCGCCAGCGTATACTCCATGTGTTTCTGACTGAAAAAGTGGCCTGAGCAGAGGACGACCGCACCCGGGTCTGGCGTGAAGCCTCCAGACTTCGTTTGATCGCAAGGAGCACACAATATGTTTGACGGAGGTACTTCACACCCTGAGAGCTTCAGATGCTTCAGCATAAAAACAACGATAGGACCTATTCCAAACGATATCCTTCAGGACTACAACCTCAACTGGGAAAACACCATGACTCACTGTAGTTCATGAAGTACTCCTTCTGCTTTTCACACTGCCGCGTCTGATGAGCGCGAAGAGCCCCCATTCGTTCATCTTCCGTGACGCCAAGGCCAGTGACCAGCATAGCCTTTCTGCGCCATTGTTCAAAGGCGGTAGGGTTTTGAGGAGGGGGGGAAGGTGACGAATCGTTGGGCGACGTAGAGTTGGTCATCGCAAATTTCTCCGAACCTGAATTTTGCCGTGTTTGACACTTTCACACGATAGGCAGCACGCGTAATGATCAACGGCAGCCACCAACCTACATACTAACCTCCTTCGATGTGCATAACAGAAGGGGCTCAGTTGGGGACCCTTTACAGTAAATTTTGGCACGCAAAACTCCTTCCTGTTTCTTAGGCTGGAAACTCACGTCCGAGCCGCGTTGACGTTGACCTGTGTTGTGCACGTCATGATCATGATGATCAACGGCGGCCTACTTACCTCCTCACCTATCAGAACTAAGGGCCCACAAGTTGCTGGAATTGGGCTTGCCCCAGAAATCGCCGTCGGCACGTAGAACTTTGTCTCAGGGTCTACCGAGGCTTGACCGACTCGGAGACCTGCTTTCAAGTGGGAGCAAATGGATGTGATGATCAATGACGGCCACCTCCCTATCAGAACCGAGAGCTCAGAAGGCGCTCAAATTGGGGATGCCTTTACAACCCTTGGTGTGCCCTACTAGGTCTACTTATCAAAGATTACTTCCAAGTCAGTTGAAACAAACGCCATTTGGTCAAACTCACCCAGCAAAAGTGTTGGTTCTTGATCCCCTCCAGGTTTGAGGTCTATCCTTGACCTAAAGCACCTAACCGACGTAACGGCGTTCTTTCGTTACTGTAACCAAACTTCCACAACGAGTTATCCAGCCTTGACCAGAAATATGTTCTTGACAGCAATCTGGTCTAAGGCAACTGTGCATTGGGCGCTTGGGATCCCTCGTTACTCAGCGTATGTATTACAAGGTCCAACTCACCTATACCTTCTACAGAACGGCATACTTTCACCTCCGTTCTAGACCTGGAGCTCGCTAGGACCTGAGCGATCTAGTCCTCATAACGACTTTCACCTTCAAGTTCCTAGCCTGCCGATCCAGGTCTACATCGGTCGCGAGCTTCATAGCGCTTCTTTGTTTTCCGCTAAGTCCTCTATAGAGCGTTCAATCACAGATTGTCAGATGACAGCTCTGGGAAATTTCTCCGATTTGGGTGGGAGACGCCTCGGAATCCGCTTCGGAAACTTGTATCGGGGGTTTGGTTCAGGTCCTCGCCCTGGATTCGTAACGGCGGTTCAAGTTTCCTTTTCCTCGATGTGGAATCTAGATTCATCTGGAAGTACATACCGCAGTGTTGTTCTTCCAGCATTCAAGAATCAGAGGTTTGTCAGAGGCCCGTGTATTTTACACCAATCACCGACCCTTGCTCATTCATCGCATCCGTAGTGGTCGCATTGCACAAAAGAAATTGCCCGCCACAAGAAGATATGGTACTTGGAAGCCTTTCATCCTCGTTCTTGGTTGGTCAATGTAATGCTTCCGTGAATATCGCCTCTATATCCACCCAATGCCTTAGCTGATATCGTGGTAACCCGTGCACTTACTCAATCTACGTATCGTTTTCACCAAGTGGAGCAACAAGCGAGTCCACAGATTTCTCTAACCCTTCTCCAAGTAGAAGCGCCCCGAACGTTCAGGCGATCTGTCAAAAACTGCGGTACGTCCCACGACGGGGTCCTTTACGTCTCTTTTCCATTAAATTCCTTCTTGGCGGTCAGAGATAGCGGGACAGCTCGTCAGCAGCTTCACTCGCGCTGGCTGTCATGCTTTGCCGCGTAGAAAGCTCCCGCTGCATCTGTCTGTTATGCTTCCTCATCTGAGATTAGCCTTGATTCGTTGACGTCCAAGTAGCTACCCTGCAGGGACGTGATCAAGGCCCTAGGCGAACGCAGATACTCATGTATTACGAGGTGAAGTTGCATATCTAATGGGCCACTTAGCAACTCGGGTGGATATCTGTATCAAGGAAGAACAAAAAATTCAGCGTAGGATTTGGACCGGTTTCCTAACAGCTTTTGGGCACTTGACTGATTTATATTCTAGGTTAAATTATAGCGGCAAGCAGAAAATCGGACAGGTAGTGACAAGAACGTGATTTGAGGATAAATTTATGGAATAATCTCTCAGTGAGTTGGTTTTTCCGATCGCAAACCCTTTACCCCAAAATTGCACATCCCGTTACAATCGCTTATTGAGAACCACGGCCATGAGATTGGCGAAGAGAATATTTCTGACAGAGCTTTCGTAAAGTGTCGACAGGTCAAGGTCAAACGACGGGAACTTCAGAAGGAGGTCAAGTTACTGGAGCAGTACTCGCTGCATAAACGGCAACTCATCACGAGGACGACCTTTCGTCAACCACTTGATTGATCTTATGCATACTCGTATGTGAGTGATTAAGGTATGCGATTAGCGTTAGCTGCCTGCGTGCTGGTCAGTGTGGGTCAGCTGAATTTCACATTTCAGGACGAATCCAACTCCTCTCTCCCCACCTTACGTGCTAAATCTCTAGAAGACTTATCTCTCCATCAGTTTAGATTTAGCCTAGTCAAACAAATTCCACCAAAACTGGTGGGAGGATCTTGTCATATCCTGCATATTCATCCGAGTTGTTAGAAGAAATCATCACACAGTGCCAGAATCCGAATGATTGCAGATTATGCAAATGTCGAAGAATACGAACTGGTTGGCTCAAAGCCGAAAGAAGACGTACGCGTCATCGCGTCAAGACTAGAGGTCATTGGGTTAGGCGACCGGACGCCGCTGAACGTCTATGACGATCTTCAACGTCATTTCGAATAAACCATGTAGAAGTATGTTCTGGGTTTTCCCGGACACCTATACGTCTTCAAGTCATGAGGCCTGGGGCTTCGAGGAACACTGGGGTCAACCGGCAACTTATGCTCCCGGGTCATTCACGCGTCAGGAACTGAGCTCCTCGCCATCCTTAAGCTTCAACTTTAGCGGAAGCATTTTTTTTTCTTCAAGGGGAAAATGCCCCACAGCCCAGGCTGGCCGCGGGGCCCGATATTTGTAGTCGCAGTTTGATTCGTTGCTCTCAGGTGACCTTTTTCGAAAGATATCCCAGCTGCTCATACTAGTCGGCATTCTAGACAGGGTTCCGAGTTAAAAGAGGTTATAAGGCATGATACGGTACCGACATCTCGCCGACTCTCTCAGGAAACGAGTCAGAGAAGTGATGATAGATGGCGCAAGGCCGCGCTGCCATCATGATTATAAAGAACACACCGTCGGTAGGTCGGTACCACAACAACTGCGATTGTGCAATTCAAGAATACTGGCTTGTTGTCACCATCACTCCCTATTAGAAATTGGGGTACCGATATCACTCAAACCCAAATACCCATTCAGTCTCGATAGATCGAAATTATCTATTGCGGTAATCATGATCTTGAATGCGAAGCTCGCGGTAAAGAGCTAATATATCCCGAACCCTCAAACTCAGCGCAATTGCCAAGAAGAACCATGCGTGAGCAGGACCTGTCTATCTGCACCACCGTATCTATCCCCACAAAATGGCCGCGATTGAGTGCCGCATGATGATCATCATGCGAACATCGCCGGAAAGCCAGCGCGAATCGCTATAGAAGGCAAGGGCAATAAGTGCATGGGATAGAGCACTTGAGCAGCTGGATTGATTCCAACTCCCGAAGTTGTCTCGTAACCTCATAAGCATGGAGCAGCCAATCAGAGAATACTTAGGAAGTGTTTCTTCTAGCCATTCGTGTAGCCAGATTTCTATCATTGCCAACTTCCCTAAAAATTGCAAGAAGGCCATAGAGAGTATTTAAAGCCAGGAGAAATAGATACATACTATTAGGGTGGGATCAACGCCAAGTTATCGGTCTGGTTAATTCGAAAGCAATGGTGGCTCCTCGGTTCGACGGACCATCCGTTGAGCTTGCAAGGAGAAAATTACAACTTCCAGTCAGCTAAAATATCTGCGCCTCTGAGCGTGACATCGCCTACGAACAGGTGGCAAAAATCTCACTTCAGTGACATGCGATGACGCCGCAATGATGTAGCCTCGATTAGTCGGGACGCTGGTGCGCCGCGTGGGGTACAAAAATTGGGGGGGTCGACCGACCCACTTCCATACGCTTCGCTCAGAACTCCGGCGTGCAACGCATTAAACGCGCGCCTCGCGCAAAAAAAAACAGGGACACCCCCAAGAGGACTGTGGCGCCTGGCGGTCCAAGTTCGCGCGTTCTTACCGCCTTCCCGGCGCCCAAAGGTGGACACTATCTCCGCTAAAATGCCCCAGCGCGCCCTGCAGGTTCGACAAGAGGCATTTTTGTCGGTCGCTTAGAGAGTTCCTAAAACACTAAAAACGAGGCCGAATTTCAAGGAAATGCGATGGGGGTCCGGATCTTGGTGGGCGCTTTGTCGTGGTCGCGATTCTTTAGCTGGCAGGGCATACCTAGGCGAAACATAGATACTCCCGCGACAGTTTCATCATAGGCCGGACCTTATGTTAAGTCAGAGCGAGCCTGTTGACATATAATAACGGCTGTAGATATTGCCATTAAATGACCGACGCCAGAGAGGCTAGGTCGATAAATCTTCTATGAAATAACGACTGCGGTTGGCAACGGGTCAATTCTTCTTGGGTGCGACATGCGCGGTATAGGCCAGATACGCTATTGGACTAGCTTCGGGGTGCATTTGAAGCCTTGAACATAGATAAGGAAATATATTAAACGCCAGGAGCTAGAGCTTTGAAGGGTTCTTCCAAACTGGAGAGCGTTTCTATGTGTAAACAACAGGGTCAGTAAACGAGTTCAGTACATTATGTCAACTAGTGCGCACCTCCGCAAAAGCCTTCAGGCCCTCCTGATCGAAATACGAAAACATCAATCAGTGAAAACAGTAAACTTAATCAGGCAGGGCTGAATAAATGCTTACTTTGATATTGTCACCTTTGTAAACACGCTTACTCTCTGGACTCCACACATGGGTGTGTAGCATCTCTTGAAAGTTATGTCTCTGGGAAAGCAAGAGGCCCTTCTTTGTAGACTGGACCGCTTCCGGGGAGTTTTGGATGATCTCCTGTGCGATTGCAACGGCCGTAGAGATGACCTCTGAAGATGGAACGACCGTGTTAACGCTATAAGGATAGATGAGCCAACATCTCTATGCGTCAGGGAGCACGGGTAGACGATCAATAACAAAGGAATAGAAAGGTTTTTGTCCAAAAATAATAGTCGAGGTGACAGGGCGATGTCAATAGAGTACTCACAATCTAAATCGGTTCTGCGCCTCTGTGGCACTGATTGTCCTTCCTGTGAGTAGCAATTCAGAAGCCACCTAAGCAAGGCGCGTCAACAACCAGAAAATTAGAAGAGCCTGGTCCAAAATGACGTACATGGTGACCTGCAATCTGAGCCAAGCGTGGTATACCTGAAATTGAAATAAGCAAGAAAAATACTCCACAGCTGCGGTCAGGGTGAATTAGATATTACATACCCCCTTGCACGGCAACGACTCCACGCTTGACCTCGGGCAAAGCAAACTTGGCATCATGGGCCGCGATGACGATATCGCAATTCAGGATCATCTCCATCCCTCCTCCGTACGCGCCTCCAATCACAGCTGCTATGATCGGCTTGTTAGACTGCCGCCGTGAGATGGAGCCAAAGCCATGCACGTTCGCGGCGACGCCTTCCTGTTCGTTGTTGGACCCGCTTTGTTGGTCTTTGTTCCACCTGCATATGTAATGTTTGAAAATCAACTGCCATTGTTTTGAAGAAGGAAGGGGCGGCATTACGCTTTCAGGTCGGCACCTGCACAGAAGGCGCGTCCGGCTCCAGTCACTATGACGACCCTAGATATCCCAAGAGTTAGGCTGAGTTAGGTTGAAGGCAACGGAAATAGATAGAAATGAAATGATGGGCGCACCACAACGAAGGCTCGTCTTCGAACCAGTCGAGAACCTTTTTCAAATCGTCACTCATTTGAGGAGTCATAGCGTTGAGTGATTTCGGTCGATTAAGAGTGAGTTGAAGGACATGATTAGAAGGGAAGGATACGAGCAGCTCGTTGGAATGTTGCGGGGGCCCTGAGGACATGGGTTCTTGTCAGTGACTTTCGAAAGTGCAATCGAATGTTTGGAGCGATGGACTCCACCGGCAAAAGGTAGGCGAAATAGCCGGCATCAGATTCCCTGCACAACTAACTATTTGAAATCGATTGTGATGACGTCTGTTGCTCCCTAGTGATGACCTATTTCCCCAGACCATACGAGAAGAAGGGGTGTGGAGAACAAAGCCCGGAAGCGGGGATGTCATACCATTCGGGTTCCTGTTGAGGCTTCTTATCTTGAAATCACACCTGGGCCCGCTTGTGCACAAATGGAGGACGGAACGAAATCCCGCGTGGAAGAATGGAGAGAAAAATATCAAGATGTGATCGATTGTTGCAACGGGCGGATTACATAGTGTACAAATGGTATGATTTCATCGTCCTTTCCTCTCCATTCTTACAACCAACGGCCGGTGTGTGGACCGACGACGCCTTGTTTCGCTCTGTCGAATAGATATATATGATGACTAGTAGGCCCGCGTCCGTGGATAGGCGGGGCAAGGGATATAGTAGCTTGCAATTGCACGAGGTCGAATGCGATATGAACATGAAAACAATGCGATGATATGCTCGACGATGACGACTGAGCAGAAAGTTTATTAGACATGCGTGACTCGAAGAATAAAGAGGGAATACGACTCACAAGTAACATATAGCGCGATCACCTGAATGGGCAGTCTGCGGCATGGGAACCGCGCCAGCCGCAATGGCAGCACTGGGGAGAACTATGGTTGACGCAAGTGTTCGAGTCTGACTCGTTGTGGGTGGTGGTTCCCGTCGGGGACGAGTGTTCGAGCGACGCGCACACGATGGTGGCGGTGGTGAACGAAGTAGAGGTGGCTGCGTTGGTAGAGTGCATGGTTGGTTGATTGGGTATGTGGGTGGGTATTCAGCGAATGCTTTAGATTGAATGCGGGGGTGTTTGGATGAGAGAAGAGAGAAAAAGTGTTGGGCCTTTTATAATGTGGAGAGGACATCGGCATTGGCCAGGATTGTCCCGAAAGCCAGGAAAGGATTTGTTGTGGCGTCCTTGTCTTTCAGGCCCCGTGGTTCCGTTCGAGCCGTTGATTTCTGACAAACAAATTGGGATGGCCATCTTGAAACTCGCTGGAATCGTAAGAACAAGTGAATAAATCTGAATGAGTTGCGATGCGGTCCCAAAAAAGGGTTGGCTACTTCACTAAGCCATATCGGGATTCGAGCCAACTCAACTCACAATCGAGCCGTCTAGTCGGGGCACAACCAAACCAATATCCTTATCCAGCTAGCCCTGATTACATCGTTTTTGATCCCGGCCTTGCCCATCCGTGCAGAAGAATTGAAAAGTATCCTGCCAACTTCTAGGTCATAGGAACACACACGTTGATGCCATGAGTTGGCGCATCCTCTGGGTATCGACTGGCAAATGCATCCTTGACCCGGATGACAACATAGCGCGCACGAAAGGGAGCCCTTTGGTTATTGTTTCCCTCTCTCTCCACTTCCACATGGAAAGCCGCCAGGCACATGAGGTGTGAAGGTACCTATCATATACGGCTCAAAGGCCAAAACCGATATGTCATACGGTGACGCGTTGTATCCGATCGTGAAAGAAAAGAAAGAAAAGCAGTGCTAAGGTTCCATCAAAATCCACAAACAAGAGGGCAGTCAAACGCGTGAAATTGTATCCAGAAACACAACATATTCTTACTATCCTCTTTGCGACTAGAGCGCATAACCAGCTCCATGGATTGGAGTGGCGCGCCTCATTTCTCAATATATTTACTGACTTCAGGGATCCCGGTCGCACCCATTTGTTATTTAAAATTCCAAGGGCGCGCGGCAAGTAACGCTTCAGGGAGGAATTTAGGAGAATAAAGATAAATTGAAAGGGAATTGCCATGTCCAAGAGAAGAATCCTGAAAAAAAAAAGTGCACTATACCTTTCATCGTCTTCGATATAACAATGTAAAATATACACCATTGACATCCAGATGGGTATCCTTCAGGTTGTGTATTCTATTGAGATCATCGACTTCCGGTGTGCTCGGAAGCAACGCGTCAGTCCTTCTCCCGTCGACGCCGCCGTTGGCCTGCCTGCCTCTGTTGCCCACATCAGGCTGGAGAACATCCCCATATACGCGGTCTTTGCGGAAATATCATTTAGCAGGGAGAGAAGGGACTTCTTCCTGATCGATCGAAAAGTCTCTGGGGGAAATAACGAAACACCGTATTTACTTCCCGAGGACACATGCTGACACATGGCAAGAAATCGAAGGCTGAAGCGCTCAGGCTTACAGATGGCCAAGACGCGTCTTCAGCGCCTGTATACCATTCAGAAATAATGTCATGGTACAACAGTTATACACAACTCACACCCCGTGGCCCATGTTCTGTCGAGAGCTCCAACACCCCAGAACTAAATCACTTCGTATCCCTGGGCAATCTCATGTTTCCCTTTCTTCCCTTTCCCGTCTCCTGGGTGCTTCTTTGTACCACTCCGGCACCTCATGCGCCTTCGGCACAGCTCTCTTCCGTAACTCTCGAACTTCTTTCTCCTCCTGCTCTTCACGTTCCCTCCGCCGCTGCTCCCTTTCCACCTCCCTCTCCCTCTCCTTCTCTCTCACCCTCTCATCAAACTTTTGCCGCTCCTTCACCCTGAAATCCGTCTCAAACCTCATGGGCAGCGGCACGGTCGGGCAAATATTCTCCTTCCGCAGGGCAAACTCTGCTTCTTGAGCAGCGTGTATAGTTCTAAAATCGGGGATAGATACGCCCTGCCGATGTTGCTTATCATTATCGAGTTGTTGCGTGCGTTCTTTTTGTGACGACGATGAAAGTTTCTTTGAATCTTCATTATCGAGTTTACTCCAACGCGCTTCTAGCCTCGCATCAGAGTGAAACGTGAAGGCCGTGGGCCTGGTGGCGTTTGCAGGGCGACTCGCAACCTTCACAAAGAAATTATGAGTTACATAAGGAAAGATTGAATGTCGTACGACCAAGAACGTGCCGTGAAAAGAAGAAAGGTGATTGACTTACATGTTCGCCGGACAAAGAGGTTGTCGCTGAGAAACGGATCTGACTCCCTTCTGAGTGTAATGAAGGCCCTGTACTGCTCTTACCCTGCACCTCAACGGAATTGCCCACCACCGTGGTGCCCTGACGCAATTTTCGCGAATCAGTTGGAACTGCGTCTGTCGAGGTTTTTGGATTTGATCTCGTCTTTGCCTCTATCTTATCGCCAGGTTTGGTGACCGGTGGTAAGCGCTTTCGTTTCGCCCTGATCGGCCTGGCCTTTGTGATTGTCTCTTCGCGGGCCCTTGTCCCTTTGAACCTAGAACCAGAACCTGAGGCCTCAGGCCGCAGCTCTTGGTGCGATGGCCGCGCGCGCAACGATGCCAAGGGCTCCTTAACAGTCGAGTTTGATGTATTACCAGCTCGCGATGACACACTTCTAACTTTTTTCCGGCCTTGATCTAAGTGCGCCTGTGCTGATGCCGGTCTCTTGCTTGACGGCCGAAGTGGTGACATCGGGGCAGCGGCCGAAGGGAATTTGGGCTCTTGTAAAGATGTAGGTTTTTGAGGGGAAAGCTGCGATACCGTCAATGATTTGTTGTGGTCTTCGCTGAATTCGTTCCCTGCGCCGGTGATGGCACTCGAGATCTCCTCTGTGGGAGCGTGGCTAGGCATCGGCGGCTCTGGATCGTGTCCTGGCCCCGAAAATTGGTTCGCATTGGAGAGTCTGGATGGTCAAGCAACTCTGTTTTAGATCGCTCATAGAGGTGAATGAACATACCCAAAGGAGCTGATAAGTTTCTGGCTGTACATCAATAGTCGCTCCGCAACCCCGCCTAGAGCGACGGAGTCCATGCTGGTGTCGGCAGTTACATCGCCTAGATCTCCATTTGGTTCTGGGATGTGCGTTGGCTGGGCCGATGAATCTGATGGTGAAGTAGAAACGAAGGCACTTTGAGTAGAAGTTATTACTGATGGCGGTAAGATAGATTTGTGCTTTCGGGCCTTCGTTATTGCTCCTGAGATCACAGTCTAAGCAAGTCGCACGTCAGTCAATCATCGACAGATCAAAATCACGGGCCAGGGCGATAAGGAAAAAAGAGACATACCTGCTTGCCTGGCACGGCCACTTCCTTTCTACGTCTCTTTCGCAGCGACTGCGGTTCCCCTTTGTCGATTGATTGACGCTTCGATCCTTTCGGACTTCGCAGACGCGATTGAAGGGGTGGCGCCAATTTTGAGGTTGATGTGCCCGTTCCTAAGCCTTCAGCCAGCAAATCTACCTCGGCCCTGAGGCTGTCTAGACGTGCACCAGCGGGCGACCCTTCGTTAGGAAGGAGGCGAAGTGCTGGCTTCTTGATCGCCTTTGGCCGCGCTGATGTCACCCCCTTGACCAGCATGGGAAGGTCCTGGGTCTCCTCGTTCAATCTGGGTTTATGGGATAAATTCCGTGACAGAGATGGTAATGAAGGAAGCGGTGAACGGAGATGAATTGAGCGGTGAGTTTCTGATGGTCTAGGCGTGAGTTGGCTGAGGGTAAGTGGTTCGTGTTGGGTAGGTCTAGACAGGGCGACGGGGGTGGCAAGAACGTCGTTAACACCCTTGAAGAAGTCGTCATCACCGTCGTCCGCTAGAAGGTAATCTTCCCGAGCTGGAACGGGGATTTGGAAGGAGAAAGATGCATCGATGTCCGACACATCTGGCAAATGCCTCAAACTCAATTCCTGTCCTCCCGATAGCGGCATTGTCAGTTATTCCACCGAGTTCCTGCTGTAGCTTTGGAATACTTGTGAGCTTTAACCGCATTGTGTTGAAGAAAATACTTACTTTGAGAGTCCGATGTTGAGAACAACGATGAGTTCGGAAGGAACAACTTGAAGACGCGTCTCGCCACGTGATCGAGGTCGCGTGCGGCGTTGATAGCTGAATTCAAACTCAGCTTGAATCAGGACTCGTGCAAATGCATTTGACCACAACTCACCTGGTACCTAGACTCATATTGTTTACCGGCAACGGAATACCCCACACCTCCCCAATTTCAAATTTTACAACCCAAGTCCTCCAGAGTCCTCGCAAGTCCTGATAATCATCGGTGAGCTCAACAAACCACAGCAAAGCCCCATTCATCCGAGTCTGCTGATTTGATTTACGCGTGATCCCCGGGCTCACTACGTATGCGCCTCACTATCACCTTCTCCGCCTGTTCCGATGGCCGGCATCTCAGTGACCTATACTTTTTGGCCCCGTGCCGCTACAGGTAGTAAATTTCGCTTTCACTCGTTTTCATCCTCAATTCGAGTAAACAAGACGTTGCGCCCCTCCGCCGTCTCTTAAGTGGAATTCTTTTGTCTTTCATTGAGCCTGGTACGCACTTCTTTCCTCCAGTTGCAAGTGTTGTAAAAATCGATCAGTCACGCTGTCAAGATCATCACAGGAAACTTAGCTGTGTCGTCCTCAGAAGAGGGTCGCTGAAGTTCAGTTCGAGTAGGACAACCCGGGCGTTCCGAGCCACTACCTCTGGGTCGAGTTGTCGATATCCGGGCCATCCGCGACGACACCCTCAAGTTTTTCTTCTTTGATGGAATTCTCAAATCAGGATCTTGAGCCTGGCCTTCCTCTTCCAAGTCGCAATTTTTGAGGATCAATCAAACATGCTTTCATATCATCACGGCCAGTCGAATGCACTGCTGTCAGCAGGCCAGGAGCAATACTATTCTAGACCATTGGTTCTGGATTCTTCCAAAAACAAACCCCTCACATGCTGGAATACGTGGGATGAGTTAACCAGGATGAGCGCAGAAGAACTCCAAGACCCTGAAAACGGTACCACGACCTTCAACAGTCTCCACTAATGAATTAAACCAATGCAATAACTAGATGTTAACGGGAATGTGCTGTGTTCCCGGACTCACGCATTATTAATTATGAAGCCGAGATACTCGCGGAAGCTCTTCATGACTTCGAGTTCGGTCGGAACACTCAGGTTCTGGCTCTTCATTGGTAAGTTCCTCCTTCTCTGATTGAATTCTCCTTCCATGGTCCTTCTTACCTCATCTGACGCAATTTTTCGATCAGCTCAACAGGAATTCGTAGGACACTGCACGTCATGTTCTCAAATTTTCAGTACGCCACGAAGCCGAGACGGTCGGGAAAGGCAAGTTGGTTCGGTCAGAACCACAGTTGTTGTATTCATGTCCGATAGCCAAGCAGATTCACTCCAATCCATCATTCTTCAATTCTCTAAAAATTTCTAGGGACATTCGAGACGGTAAACTCTCGTATCTTCCTGCGTTCATGCCCGATAGCCAAGCAGATGCACTTCCATCCATCATTCTTCAATTCTCTAAAATTTCGAGGGACGTTCGAGACGGTAAACTCTCGTATTTGTTCTACATGCTTTTACGTCGGCAGAAGGATTCAACGCCTCATCTTTGACGACCCTCAATTTTTATTCTTGGCGCACGCCGCACATTCAGCAAGCAAACAATCTCGACCTCAGGTATCCCCCAATAAAGTTGAGGATCAACTCAACGCGTTTCAGCGCATAGAAGTCCATTCCAGTGAAATCGGTTTCGTCGATGCTATCTGTCATACCCGCGGGCGACTTCATAGCCTGAATTCGCTCAGCGCACCACTCTCGGTTCAATTTCTGGCTCTTCCTACATCATCAGTAATCTTTTCAATGAACTCCCTTCGCTTCCTTCTTTTTTGAAGCGGCAAAATGTTGATCAGTCCGACACCTGCCCGCTTCGGGGTTTCATTGTTTCATCGGTTTGGCCAGGAAGAACAAGTTGGTCCAGTCATGACAAGCTCTGACCGCCACACTCTTTAATCAAAAAATCTCACCCAGGTGGCTCCGTCGGAGGTCTCATTTCCTCTTTTACAATCGACGGAAGGCAGCAGAAGGACCCTCACGTTGAGGCCTGACGACCCTCAAATCAAATCCTCGCGTATGACGCTTATAAATCGACTTATTAGAGCAAGTGACCTACTAGAACTGGACTGCGCCATCAGGATCGCCCACCAATTTGGCGGGCACCACTGTTCTGGCCTTATCGACGGCCACCATCCTCCAGAACTTCGCGTCTCGCCCTCGGAGCGCCTCAATAATTATTAGGACCGCCAGTTTGGCGAGCTCGAACGCCGTTTTACCTTTGAAATAATTTTTTTTAGAGCCCCATATGAGTCGCGACCCCCTCCCGAAACTTGTTCAATAATTGTTATGATCGCCCACCAGCTTGGCGAGCGCGCCTTCTAGGTGATGCCGCTGTTCTAGCTTTGATTCTAAGCGTCCAATGACGCACTTTACATCAGTTGGCCCTCGGAAGGCAGATTTCCTTTTGTTATCAGACACGTGGAAAACGGATAATTCTCTTTTCCTTTGGAACAGCTTGACTCTCTAATACGCCTCTTCCTATCTCTCCGAGAAGTCCTCCTTCGTGATAGGAAATCTAAGCGCGTTGTGCTGAATCGGCCTCTAGATCCCGCCGCTCCGGTCAAATTTCGTACACCGGCCTGCGCCACCTTGTGTTCAATTATCAAGGCGCCCTGGCCGGTCTACCAAAATTTCCTCAAAAAAGATATTTCAAGCGCTAGAGCTTTGACCTTTATATCCTTTAAGTCGTTTCCCTAGGTTCCCCTACGCCGCACAATTTGGAATAGGGAGAAGCGTTCCGCTTCCCGCGGCGCACATGACCCTCCTCGATCTCTTATTCTGGCTTTGATCTTGTTCCTTCCTACTTGCGGTCCTTGCATCGTCGCCATGGTCATGACCACGCGTTTCGGCTGTGCGCATGGCGCTCGTGTGGGTTTCATCTCGTTTTCACTCCTGGGTTCAGGTCGTCCATTCATCATCTAGGAGATTAACCAAAATTTTTCTTGATCGGCAAGAGGGGCTGGAGTATATGCATGTACTCCAAACAATATAGTTACACGTCTCCCTCTGGTATACAATATTCAAGTGGAGGCTTGGAGCATCATTTCAAGGACCCCTTCGGCCGAAGGAGTGGAATATGGAGCCTCAGTTCCGACGGTTCAGCTAAACTGATTCGTTCTGGTTTGTCGGCATCCCACTCCCACTCCCTTTCCCGCCGCCAAGGAATATTATCATATAGCATATCGTCTCTTCTTTATTTTTGCCGCGCCCTGATAGCCTTCTGTTTTTCAACTCCGTCCAAATCAGCGCCGGCACGGATCTTGAAAAAAATGGAGTCGCCCATATCCACCCACATCTATACGTCTGGCGTATTGCGGACACGATGGAACAGCGATAGAATCACCAAAAAAAGATTTATTATAAGAACAAGACGCATAGTCGTGTATGAGTTGGAATGAATGTGAACGGCCCTCTCCGAATTCCAACACCGCGACGACCAGGGATAGGTATTAGATGAGAGGAATCGCACCTTTTAGATAGTGTTGCGTGCTATCGATGGTTTAATCAAATTTAATCGCAGGCGTGTAACCGAGGGTTGCTTGAAGTTGGAAATATTCTGTGCGACCCTCTTGTTATTTCAACACCGCGACGAGCTTCATAACGAATTCACGAAAAATCATCAATCTTTGGTGGCGTAGAGCGCTATCGATGAACCATCGATAAGATATTCGGAAGTTGTTACACAATATCGAGCGGATGTTGATCCTTTTGGCTCACTACCACCTCCACGTCTTCTGCACCTTCACCAGCGGTTCGGAGTTCCTGGAGCAGTTTTGCAGCAAGAAGGGGTAAGTATCCGCGTTCGGTATTTGTGTGTCCGCCTGGGGCAAGGTTGAGTTCGTCATGAGGTCAAAATTAGCTCAGGACTTACACAGAATAACGTTGGTGCCTGCGGCGAGAGCAGCTAGAACTTCGTGCTGTGGTCACGACGGTATGCTTGAGTCTGAGTAGGGGTTGCGAGGGGAGGTACATACATGTGACATTTCTCCCGTAAGATAGACGTCAGCCTTCTTGCCAGCCAGCATGGATCCTCCGGATCCTGCGGAAATGGCGATTGTCCGGACGGACGAAGACCGGGATTCATCCAGTGAATTGATTCCTACTTGGACTGATTGTGCGCATGAAGCCAGGTGGGTGAGGGAGAAGCAGGAGGTAAAGTCAAGGTCAGGTCATGTGGGAAAGAGATCAGGAACAAGAAACGCACGGTGGGTTAGACGCAGATGCGACTTTACTCTGTGTGCCAGCACGGCCATGGGAATCGCTTCCTTTAGCGTGACCAATCTACCTTCCGCGCCTTCGCTCACTCCATTGGCACCTATCTTCTCTGCAACGAGCGCACTGATAACATCGTCTTGCTTTTTGCTCAACAATCCCTCTGCGAGCCAATCATTAATGCCTCCCCACACCGAATCCAATGCCGTATGTGGAGAATAAATTGATATTCCTTTAGCCGCACATTGAAGAAGCGAAGATTGAAGTGGGTTCGATAGCGTCAAGGACTTCAATCCACTAAAGATAGGCGGATGATAGGCAACAATAACCGACGTATCCTTTGCCAACGCTTCGGAAACTACTTTCGTAGTAAGACTAAAGATATGAGGAAGTCATGGTGTTCAATATTTGTGCAAGGACTGTACGTACTCGATGGTCAGCAGAACACGATTCTCCCCGCCTGCGCGTTGATTGGGTGATTCTAAAGCAAGCTTGAGTTCAATGTTATCAGGTAGAACGATTGCGGTCCACGTACCCAGCAACAATCCAACCTGCCAAGCAGTTGTGAGCAATCATGATGGACGTTCAACGTTGGAAAGCTCTGCGCTGACATTGTCCCACTTTTCTGCCAATCGAAGAGGAGCGATTCTCTCCATAGCCTTGCATACCGATTGCAGTATCGACATTGTCGGGTTGTCCTTTAGGCGTCGAGACAGTTGTTCTCGACGTTGTTGGACGCGATGAGGACCGTGACTGCAATTAGACGCCCATGAACGTGATCAAAAAATAAATACAAAAATATCTACAAGAAATACGAGAAACCGGAAGCACAACAGGGATACAGTGCACCAGCACATCTACGACGAGTAGAGTCTCAAGTTTCAACCATATACTCCCACCGTCTACGCCAAGCCCCGGGTCAAGATATGGCGCGAACTCATGGTGTGCCATAGAGGTTTTCTCCACCGCCGTCAGGCGTGAATGTTCGCCGGAAGACGCTGAATCCCGCCCCTGACTGGACATTGGAAGACAGGTGTCGAGCTGCGAATCCCGCCGCCTGGGAAGCTTCATTAACCAGTAGGTTGGTCAAACCGGCGGATGTATCAAACTAGCGATGAATATCGATTATTGCTTCGGGTTCCTTGACATTTACATCTTTCTTTTTCATGGGCCGATAAGTGCACAGGCAGGCGCAAGTCTGACCTGGCATGAGATAAGGAGGTAAGTTTTGGGATGAGCATGGGGCCTGAGCAGATGAGACAGATAGGTAACTCGAACCCCTGGTTCGAGAAGTGGTGAAACCACGGTTCGACCTAAGTGCTCCTTATGCGGAGAAAGTCAGGGCAACCCCACATATGTGTCTGAATTTGACGAGAAGCTTCTTCTATAAAGGTATCCTCGTCCTGCAGGCACAAGAAGGAAGCGCCTAAGTCGTCTCTATGTTCCCAAGTGCTCTGGATCATTTGTAAATGCGAGGCGAAATCCAACCCCGTTCTCGCCCCGCAATGTCGAGGTTGTGCCATAGAAGCTCTGGCCCTATCAGCGCAACATGGCACACTGCTAATCCAATCACCACATACCAACAGCGCCGGCGGAGGAGGGGATTAAAAGCATGAGGACCACCGGTGACCAATGACCAGCCAAACATAGAGAAAGTATATCTGTTGCTCCAGGCGTCACATCGAACAAGCTCTGGTTTAGACGCCTGTTTTGAAACGAGGCGCGTTCAATGACCGCCACCTCGGGAAGGAAGAAGATCCATCATGTTGCAACTATAGATGGGTGTCCTTCCTATCGCTCTCGCATGACCCCCCCTCCAATCGGGCTACGCTGAGCTTGCTCACACGAGCAGGCGCCATATTCGCATCCGTAGAGGGAATGCCGAGGAGTGGCAATTGCGACAAAAGGCACGACGGAGTGGGGTAATGACACTAGTCTGAAGGTCAACATCCGTGGAGGCAAGATTTGGAGCAATGTCGAAAGGTCTTTGCACGATTCCGACGAGTCTGACATTGAATACCAGGGTTGGGGATCACAAAGACCAAATCCAGATGACGTCTACCATCACTTTCAGGTTCTTCTCCCGTCGAAAGAGATCAATTACAAACATACATGGGAGGTGAATTTTGACATGCGATTGCGGCGGTTTGTGTGAGGCACCATACGGTGGAGTATGGTGAAGCGATTCCAATGGAAGGAGATGCGGAGACAGCAGCGATTGACAACTTGATCGGCGTCATCCCCGAAGTTTTGACTAGGCACTTTCCATCAAGGCATGCGTAGCTGTCATCCCACCTATTCTTATCCACTTAGAAAGAATCTCCGAGAGGCGTGTGAATGTTCACAATTCTTAAGTCTGACATCACCTCGAGGCTGAGCGTTGAACATTCGGAACGACACGGATGCTTCCAATCGCGGTCGCGATCATGTCCGACATTTGGACTAGGTGGTTTTGTCACAGGGTTATCAACAGCTAAGGAAGCTGAGGTGAACGCATGCAACTCAAAAGGAGAAACCGTCTCACTTTGATGTCCATTGGAGGAATCAGCTCGTTGCGGGACTGGTTTCCTGGCTATCGGTTGCATGAAATATCATGTGGGGCCACTCTTTGGCGTCAACGGTCGGTGGTGATTGTACTGTGCGGTTTCGTAGATGATGATCCCTTCTGATGAAGAGATGGGAAAGCACTTTGAAAACTCTCAGTAGCTTGATTTCAAGAATCAATGTCTCGACATCAAGAATCAGATCGTGAAATTCAAGGCAAGAGAGGCAAGACACTCGCAAGCTACTTGCAAAAGGCACGAAAGACCAAGACTCAGCCAGGCAAAGTGATGTCACAGAAACGCCCTGTCATAAAACCAACTCGTGAAGATTGAAGCTTGAAGACCTGCGGCCAGCCTGCAGGAATAGCGTAAAGTCGCGGATGGCTGTACATGACGTTAGAATACCTTGAAAATAGAGTTGGAAAGCAAATTTATCTGCGATTAGCGTCCATCTAAATGATCGTTGACAACGGTGATAAGGAGAGCGACGAACGGGGCTCCGTAGGAAGAGAACCGATAACCCGCAGCTCTAACTCCTCCTGAGGTCCCGTGGCACATGAAAGGCTCAGCAGCCGAACACATCCAAACTCAAGATCCTACAGGGGGTGGGTGTAAGTCAAAGCTTCGACGGGGGGAGATGACTGACCAACATGCCGATGATACTGACAGCGTTCGCGAGCATGTGATGCAATGAAGGTAACGGAGGGATATCGGAACTCAGAAGCCTAAATATTGGCAAAAGAAGAAAGAGCTGACATCTAACGGTCCCGTATCCGCCTGAGAGAGGGAGGGAAGGAGGGAACAACTATGAGAAGATTAGCACCGAGGACGCTGGCAGGAAGACCTTTCCTTCGTTGGTGGCTTGATATTTGAGTAGCTGGTGAACAGCAACGCCATGGAGTAGCCAATGTCGGCACTGAGATGAAAGGATCATCCTTTGGCGTCAAGTCGAAGCTTGAACGAACATCTTAAGTGAAGCAAACAAGAGTAGAAAGCAAACAAAAGTAGATTTCGCAGGTTTTTTTCTAGTTCCAAGAAATCTATCTATCAACCTCTCTGAAAGAAACGCGTGGTCAGCTCAAACTCCATAGATAGGGAAGGCTGAACGTACCCAAACACCAGATCCTACAAGGAAAGGAACGTTCTTTAGTCAAACCACTTTCGGAAAAACATGGGAGAGATGACTGACCATAGTACCAATGATAGCAACGGCGTCCGCGAGCATGTGCTAGAAAGAAGGAAGGAAGAATTCATTAACCAAGGGGCAGAGATAGTTGGAAGAACAAATGGCTGACGTCTGTGATTACGTCAGCATGTAGTTGAAGAGGGGACAAGGGGTAACACATACGTCTCATCATGAAATCTGAACCAGCAAGATGAGCGAACCCAGGGGCGCGTATACTACACCTGTATGGGCGGTTGGAGCCGTCGCTGGATTGGGTTAACACGTCAAGTCATAGAAGAAACGGATAAAGGGAGAGGGTCACTCACGAAACGAGGTAGACGCCCATCTCTCCCTTGGGAGCCTCGATAGCGCTGTAAGTCTCGCCTGGGGGGACAGAGTACCCTTCACTGAAGATCTAGAACCGATATAGATTATCAAAGGTTTCGTATGGGACAAAGACGAGAACTTTACTTTGAAATGGTGGATGAGTGACTCCATGCTTTCTTTCATCATAGCACGGGGTGGAGGCACAAGCTTGTGGTCGTCGACCTTCACAGCACCAGGGGTAATCTTGTTGAGCGCCTGGCTAATAATCCGCAAGCTCTCTCGCATCTCCTGGACACGGCACAAGTAGCGGTCATAGCAGTCACCGTTCTTGCCTACAGGAATGTCGAACTCAACCTATCGAATCTCCTTTAGCCTCCTCTCATGCGATGAGAGCAAAGAAACAGGCCACACACCTCATCGTACTTATCATATGGGGCCACCTTCCTCAAATCCCACGCAATCCCACTGCCACGCAGCATAACCCCACTGAAACTATAATCCAAAGCCTGCTTGGCAGTGACAGGTCCAATCCCAATCGTCCGCTCTTTCCAAATACGGTTACCCGTAACGACCTCCTCAATCTCGTCAACCCTACTGCTGAATTGGGTTCCCCATTTGAAGATGTCGTCAAGGAGTCCGTGGGGGAGGTCGAAGGCTACACCTCCCGGACGGACGTAGGCGGCGTGCAAACGCGCGCCGGAAACGCGTTCGTAGAACTCCATGAGCTTTTCGCGCTCTTCGAAGCCCCAGAGGAAGGGGGTGAGACCACCGACGTCCATGACGTGTGTGAGGATGGCCATGAGATCTTTTAGGTGGGGTAAGGTTGGTTTGAGGTGAGGCAAGGGTAGGTGATGGCTTACGGTTAAGAATACGCGTTATTTCGCCGAAGAGAACTCGGATCCATTGAGCACGGGCGGGCACCTCGATGTTCAGAAGCTTTTCTACCGCTAGAGAGTAGCAGAGCTCGTTCGTCACTGTTGTGGGTACAGGTAAGTTGGTGAAAGAAGAGAAGAGGTGATAGCATACTCATTGAAACGTAGTCAAGACGGTCAAAGTAGGGTAGGGCTTGGATGTACGTCTTGTATTCAATTAGTTTCTCCGTGCCACGATGAAGCAGACCGATGTGCTGAAAATGAAGTAAGCCTAGGGATGCCGAGGTAGAGAAGTTGTACGTACTGGGTCCGCGCGCAGAATCTCTTCTCCATTGAGTTCCAAAATCATACGCAGCACACCGTGAGCAGCTGGATGCTGAGGACTATCCGCGGCGTTCAGTCCTCAACCTCCTTTTCGCAAGATGGTTTGCTTACCCGAAGTTAACTGTAGCAAACCTCAGTAACGTCTTGAGCAATAAACCCAATACTTACCTGTGAAATGCCTCATTTTCGCATCCTCTTTACTTCCTGGCGTTGGCAAGATCTCCGAAGCGTCCAAATGCTGCAAATCCTCCACGGTATGATAGTCGAAAGCAGTTTTTGCCCCCTCCTCAAGAGACGGTTCAGCAGCCCGCCGAGCAACGGGGGTTGCACATATATTCCTGCGCAAAAGCCTCGACGCGGGTGTTGTCCTCGTCGTTGTTCGGGCCAACGAGCGCAATAGCACGGAAGACATTGGTCGCTGTTCAAGGCAACGTCAACGATGTCGATTCCTCGTCGGAGTTGGGCGGGAAGGTGTGACAGAGCGTGACAACAACTTGTGTCCCTGCCTAAACGTGTCGACATCCAGTGGCAATTCAAAATAATGTTGTCAAGAACATGCTTTAAGGCAAACCTCGTCATTCTAGGTCTGATTACCATCGCCATAGCCGACGCCGACAAACCGTGCACAATTCATGATGACGGGAAATTCTATGACTTGAATACTTTAAAGGCGAGGTACGCAGGCGCAGTCATGTCTCGTAGTTTTCGTATTCATCGAGGTTCTGTCTAGCAAAGATTATGAGGTCAAGTGGCCGGGGGGAAGAACATTTGCGATAAATGTCTGCCAGGCTGTAAAGACAGAAACATTTGGTTTGAAGGATGAGATAGCTCAAGCGGACGTCGCTGCTTTCATACGGAGAGGCCATGGCGACTTTGCTCTCGGGTCAGTCACAGTCTTTTATTGACATTGAACACAGAAACTAATGTATGCTGTCAATCCCACAGAAAGGTTAACACCACACTCAGTGTATTCGACTCCAAACCCCGCATCACTATCTCAGAAGGCTCGCATTGCACAACGAAAGACGAAAAACCTACGGACGTTCGGGCCTCAGCAGTCATTGACTTCATATGCGACTTGTCCGTCTTTGGTTCAGGGGAACCCCTCCTCGTAGCGCAGCTGCCTCCTGGTAATGATGACATCGGTTGCGGGTACATGATTGAATGGAGAACCCATGTAAGCCGACTCGACTTTCTCAATCCTGTTAAAGCTAACAAGCTCTCCTCACAGTTAGCTTGCCCAACCAGCGAAAGCAGTGGGTTCTGGGGTTTCATCGCAATCACAGCAGTCATGTTTGTATATCTACCTCATATCAATACCAAGTGACTTACAACAGGCACAGTTTCCTCGTCCTCCTTATGACGTATACCGTCCTGGGCACCCTTTACAATCGCTACGTCCTCCAGCTCCGCGGCTTCGATCAAATACCACAATTTTCTGTGGAGAGCATGAAGTACCACGGGAGCGAAGCATGGATCTGGATCAGCGACATCATCGCTGATCTAGACATCGGTGGTGGAGGACACAATCGTCCTGGCCCCAACTCTGCTTCTTCATCATCGGGGCTCCCATTCTCGGCAAACAGCGTTATAACGCCAAACCCCGTTAGCCATCACGCACAAGCACAAGTGACAAACATCGACCCAGAGGATGTTATTGGACCTGCTCCCATAGGACGTGGGCTGGGAGGTGCAGCAGGCGCAGGTGGTTTCATCCGACCTCAATTGCAGACGCGCGGCAGCAGCTTCTCACGAAAACCAGAAACCAACCCTGTATCACACCAAACACAGGTGAACGCCGCTATTGCAGCCCAGTCACTGTCGTATACAGCATCCAAGTCGCCTCCACCTAAATCACCTCCACCTCCAAGACAACAACAACCTCTCCCATCATCTGCATCATCGTCCTCAACGACACCGAGAGCTGCTGTGAGGCCAGGGCCGACGACGGGGGAGGAGCGTCAGTTCATGCTTGGGGATGACCAAGAGGGCGACGAGGCTGATGTTGGGCAGGAAATGGACTTTGTCAAGCCTGTACCGTCGGAAGATGACACTGCCGCCGGCAGCCCCAGTGCTTCGAACTCGAGCATGGCGGTGCTGCGTGGCAGAGATCTGGGAGGCGGTGAAATGACAAGGCTGTAGTAAAAAGGGTTGTTCGCTGGGTGTTATGGGGTAATTATACCACATGGGTTTCTTCTCGAGTAGTGTACATATCTTTGGACGTTATCAGCGTTAACCCGCTTTGTATTTTCTAAATTACATGCTTCACTTTCGGCCTGGTACAATTATGTTCACGTGCGATTGGGGGTTCGAGCTAAAAATAACCTCTGTTTTCGAACAACTATGCACCTTCAAAGCTTCACCGTTGATGCCGAGTTGGCAAACCCCGCGCCTCTGAACACAAGAAAGAAATGACCGAAAAAACGCGGGGTCGATTTTACCATTGCAAGCCCTTGACAGCACAGCTTCAGGCCCAAGTAAGTACAATCTGGAATGACCTGAGCTTTCAATGTCATGTTGACAGCGGAACTCTCCGATTTCTCCCTTGCGCCCAAGCCATGTTCGAACCAGTAACAACTGACAGGTGGGTCGCTCCATATTTATTCAGCCTTTCAGGTCGTTCACACTTGGTTCAGTCTTCAAATCCACCACAACTCGGACATCAGGACTCGGAAGTTGAAAGGTACCTAGCCTAACCTAAGCAATCTACATAGACCAGGTCTATGTAGGTTGTACAGTCGAAACCCTCGTAACCCATACCCTTCCGTGGACAGTCCAGCCTATGGGTTTTCAGAGGTTATGGGTTGGAGGGGGTGGGAAAAAAATAAGCGCTCAAAAAATCATGGAAATCTCGAGAAAATCTAATTTTCTTTGTTTGCTGGACTGGAAGTAAAACAATCAGCACCATTGGGGCAAGTCATCATTGATGTATTTCTATTCAACAGTGTTGACTTCGTGATCGAGTGAAGCTTGATCTGGGGAGGAGGGGCATTGCAAGTTGATTTCAGAGAATTTGGTGATCAGCAGGTCAATAAATTTGGTGTTGTGGTGGATTTTATTAATGTAGATAAAAATTTTATTGAGTGTCATGAAAAAACAGTGAAAAATGCGGGGTTCTATGACCATTTTTGGTAGGTATGACCCTAACTTAGGGTCCAAAAACCTATGGGTTTTGCCCACGAAGGGCTATGGGTTATGGATTATCACGGACTTATGGGTTATGGTATGCAAATCCCCGCCCACCAACTTGGTGGATCCAAAATGGCATGGGATTTCAGGGGTTATGGGTTATCTGATGCATGGGTTACGAGGGTTTCGACTGTAATAGGTACCCTCGGGCTCGGGCAACGCTCGGGAGTTCCTGATGGACGGAGACTTGCGACTCGCTGAAAACGCTCCATTGACTTCAATTTCACCACTTTTCACTGGCTGGAGTTTGGCGTGGCTCTTTTTCGCCTTTTCTGGCACAATGCGAAGTCTGGGCTCGGGAACTCCCCCTTCGACTTCGCTCGATTCCGTGCCGTTGTGATGCCCAGTCCGTTACAACCGTCATCTCGTCTCCCGTGTCCTGTGCTAACGTATTTTGGAGTCCGAGCAAAGCGCAGTAGCTTGACTTGGGCCTTGAACCTCCTCAAGGCTCCTACCATCCAAAGGATAAAACCTTTAGCCCACTGGGCGTACCTCCGGGAGGCTCCGTCGCTTGACATCCCGCCCCTTTCTGCCCTTTCAAAGATGGAAAAAAGTTGCGTAGAGCATGGCGCACATTGACAGCTCTGGTTCATCGCAGTTGATCGAGGGAGTGGCAGCGGAGATGGCCGTTACAAGTTGAAATTCAGGTGCCTACCGGTCTCCACACTGCCACCCACTGACACATCTGAGTCTTTTCTGATCTTAGCGTTCTGTAGACGCTCGACTTGATCATTACGGCTACATTATCGACTATTATCAACTTCCGGAGTTCGGACTTGTTTTTTTGTTTTTTCACGTTCAAGGTGAGCTGGGCGGATTCCGAAGTCGATTGATTCATCAAATACTAGGCTGCTTAGGTTCTGAAACCCATAGCAATTTATGGGAAAATTTTACAGGAGCGGCCGCTCCAGGCGCTTATTTTTTTTGTGTTATGTAGACATGTGATTCTGGGAACAAGAGGTCAGTGACTATCATAATTTTTTTCCGTTCTAAAAAACCGAGTTACATCACTTAGCTATAGAAAGGCGACGTGATTTTAGACTTCCTTGCATGAACATGCCACTAAGAATCAGGCGAAATATCTTTTTTATATTTTGAACAGGTAATCATCGGTTGAAGTCTGTTGTTGTGCTAATAAATTCATTTTCAACCTACAGCGGAGACCAACCACTGGGTCTGAACTTTTGAGTGCGTAAGCAAATAATAACGAGGGTTTTTGAACTGGGAATGCTTTACTAAAGCTGCGATAAGCAGCGCAACTAGGAGGATCAAAGAGTTGTACTCGAGAAGCCGACTTTGCTCCTACGACCGTTCAATAAATTTTAGCTGGACGCAATAACTTGGACGAAGTTCAGCGTAAACCGGGAGTTCAGTTCTCAATTTGACTTGTGCCTCGTTCCATGGGCAGGGTACCGTTCCTACAATCACAACTCAAACTCAGAATCTTATATCCGCGGTCCGATTCAAGTCATCACCATGACCGCGAATATTGCATCCCAAATGAACCCTGTTCGGATCCTAAGGTCGAGGTTCTCACTGCCCTTTCAATTCGTTGAGATAAATAATTTGCACGTCGTCAACTTCGGAACTTTGATTCAAACCGGGGCCGCTCTGCCAGCGGTTGTACATGTCACCCTACTCTCATCAATGACATCTTCACCAACTTCATCAGGACTGCAAGGCACCTTCTCATTTTGCAAATTTCCCCCATACGGTTCTCTTCGCTGTGGAGACGGCGAGTTCGTGAATCATGTTCCTGTTTCGAACACGTTGTATAACCTGAACTCCACAGACTCACCCTGATAGTTCGGAACGGCGACAACTTTCCATGGTCCGGTCCCTTTGGTGTCTTCTTCTATGACGCCATGAATATTATTGACCGAGTTGTGCTGCCTGTTGGCACAAAATCACTTCTTCGGGCCGATTTCCGATTGCGACGATGGCTTACACCTCCGTATTGCCTCTGTAACGCGACTGACTAGGATACTCCCACCTTCATTTCGCCCTCGGAAACCCTTCGCGACGTCAAAGTTAGACGCCGTCTATTTTGGTGGTTCAGTAGTAGCGCCCTAGTAGCTCCGTGGGCGTCAAGAAATATTTATCTTGGAATAGCTGCGGCATCCATCGCCAGCAACCCTTGATGACTTACCTGATGCTCCGATAATGTGAAGCTTGTAGGCTATGTGGTAACTGGAGATGACGCTTTTTGTGCGGTCCGGGTCCCGAACATTTCCAGGAAGCTCACAAAGTTAAGATGGACCAGGGAAGCACGCATACCTGTAGCTGGCGCTTCACGGCGCGGTATTTCAAATCAGCGAACCGGAAAACCGAAACAGACAATAGGAAAGAAAAACGGGGATATGTGGTAAAATCCTGATATCTCCACATGAAGGATCAGAGTCGGGTGGTCAGGTGGGCTCAGTGGGAGGCTTCACTGGGTGGGTTCAGTGGGCTGCTGAGCTGCCACTTGTTTCGTGTTTCGAATTTGGCCTTCAACTTCACGGCAAACTGAGCCGGTGATTTTATTTGGTGCCTCAGCCTGCCTTAACGCCATGATTCCACGCGAGCGGATCTGGTTACTTGAAATCGTCAATGGACCTTGGTCCTTGAGCTTGATCCCGCCAAGCTCAAGTTTCAACCTACTCACAATTCTAGACCAGTCGATGCGCTTACAAAATATAAGGGCTTGCTCCTTCTCACCCCTGCGTGTTGGCGGTAATTTATCATGAAGTGGATTGAAGACAGGAATGCTTAAGGTGCCCGACGTGTCGATGCCAACAACTTCCTCCCATCTTGAAGTCAAATGATGTAACCTAGAACACTCCATAGACTCAATAAAAAAGATCTCGTAATGCAAGTCGACTTCGGATTTGATATTACATATAGTCGAGCCAGAGTTTTAAATATCCAGAGCGGACATACTTTCGGTGGAACCTAATTTTTCTGCAATGCTCGGGTTCTTGAAAGAGGATTATTAGTGCAGCGGAGAGGACTAAAAAACCACTCTTGTAAATCCTTTTGGTCAAGTTCCTTGGGGATAGAATTATGTAAATGCTGCAGCAGTTGAAGGGGACATCTCCTCATGTACCAAGCCTTGCTATTTAAGTACCGATATGCTAGCAATATATGAGATTTGTAGATATCATTTTCAAGGGAAAATTACTTGCTTATACTAGATCTGGACGCCATTCTTCAACTTGAAGAAGTGCGTCAATATGGAATTTTAGCTTCAAGTTCTTGAGAACGTTTGAGAACTTGATGGGCACATTTGTGACTTAGATATTTCATTCATTAGAGATGGGAAGGGAACTTAGCGCAGGGGGTTAGTTCAAAAATATTGAGGGGGGGGGATCGTGGAAGAATTTTGTGACACATGTGGAATGTGTGTTTTCATAAAAAGGTCGCGCTATGACTTAAATAAAATCACTGTGCGTACGAGAGAATAAAAATTGATTGGACGGAGGTACTTAGCAGAGAACAGCGTGATCTATGGAGTGCAAGAAAATAAAGGAAAAGGGAGTACACAAACCTAGTCGAGGAGGCGGATGCCGGGGAAGACCTCCTTGATGCGCTTCTCGAGCTCACAGTATACAGTAGCAAAGGAAACGTCGGTGGAGTCGGCGACGCCGCTGCGGCCGCCGCCAGCAGTGAGCAAGCCAACAACACGGCCACTCCGCTCAACGATGACAGAACCTGAGTCACCGTCACCAGAATAGCCGGCACTGCGCAAAGGATCACCGTCATAAGGAACAATGGTGAGGTCGCGGGATGTGAACTGAATATCGGTATCCTTGCAGTAGTAGCGCACAAGGGACTTCAAGCCGCTCACATAACCAACGGTGGTGCCTGTAGACCTCCCATTCTTGATGACCGCCATCGCAGGTTCGCCCATCTCGTTGAGCTGCTTGGGGTAGCGAATCTCATCCATGGGAACGACGCCGCTGATGTGGAGGAGGCCCCACTCTGGGTATTCGTAGCCCTCTTGGTCGTTGGGGTTGGGAAACATCAGGTCCAGGAAGGTTTGCTCTTCGAGTTTGTTCTGTGCGCATACCAACATACATGATGTTACCCAGGAAATTAGCACTGAATGCGTCCTTCCTCATTGCAATGAGAGCCCAATCCAAAGTGCATGCATTTTGGATGAAGTTCTGATGGGGTCAGCGAACACCACCCGTCCAATGCTGCGATTACTGGGGATGGACATAGTCAGCGTGACCCAGCTGTAGAGCTTGTAGAGTTGCCTGATGGTCAGCTTGCAAATTGACTCTTGCCTCTGGGCAGTTCTCATAGCAGTGCGGATTCTCCCGTCAGCATCAGCCTCGCCGTTATCTAGACGAGTTTGGAGCGAAGGGACCCTCATCGATCCTGTTGGAATTCTATTCTTGAGGCTTCTGACCTTGTGTTGAATGTCCGTGATTGCACGGGCGTAGGCGTCATCCCCAAGCACAATTATTTCCTCCCAGCACCTTTTGGCTGCCTTCAATGACATGCCCTTGTTATCAGGAAACATTGTGGGGGGACGCGCAACGTGGGCAGCGGTTAAAACCAAGAGTTCAGTGCCATCACCGCGCGTAAGGAACAGGCCAAGCGTGCCCTCACATTTGGGATGCTTGAGGGGGGCCACGGGGATGCAGAGGGTGGATGTGAATGGGTGATGAAATTTTGTGAGACTGCCGTCAAACACGGGGTCGAGAGCTGGGAGATTGACGCCGGAGAGGAAGGTCTCAAATTCCCAGATAGCGACGTCGACGTTGTCGAAGCCAGCCTCGACGAGGATGAGTTCGACGGACTCTGCAACAGCCTTTGCATCCTTGAACGCCACCTTTTTGGGCTCGACACCGATCGCCACCACAAGAGGGCAAAGGGGCTCTCCCTCTCCTACTGTGGCGAATGTCAGTGGCATGACGGCGGTAAATGGCAGCTTATCATCTTTAAGGCGTGTCTCTATACGTGTGAGGATGTCGTCCCAGACAGGCGTGATTGGGTGAGCGTTGACGGGGCGCAACTCGTGCGGCACGGGGCGGCCATAGGGTATTTCGCCCTTAGGCCAGGCTGGACCAGTTTTGAAGATGAAGCCTCGGCCGCTGCGCAAACCATAGGTGTCGGAATATGCATTGGGGTAGTTATCGGTGAGGCGGGCTCGGTCATCTTTGTCAAAGCCGGAGGTGGTGAGCGAGGCAAAGGTGTCCGTTTCAAGGGAGTCCGTTGGGAAGATGGGTGAATTATATAGCTCCTCGCTATAAACATCAAAAACGGGGTCGCAAACTTCAAGAAAGGATTGGGAGACGTCATCGATAATCAAGGGAGGGTCTAAGAGGGGAAAGTCAGTGACGACGACAGATATACCTGGGGGCTCACTTGTAGATTCCATGGTTGATGGATAGGCGTTGGAATGTTCGAAAAACCAGTATGCTTCAGAAAGTTTCACGACACGAGAGGCGCAACACCTAAAAAAGGGAATTTTTGTTCTGTTTGGTTCCCATCCAAAAACGGTGTTGGGCACATCGTCAACGTTCGACACCGACATCGCGGATTCCCCCTCGTCTTGCCAACTTTGTTGTGCAGGCTTGACTACGGTAATCATTGGGCGCAGGCACACTTCGGTTGGAGTCAGTCTCCTGTGTTGATGGACGAGCGCCTCGATGTGGAACTGGGTGGCGGGCGCGGTGTGAAGAAGAACTGGCCTTGGCCCCAGTGTCGGAAATGTGTTCGTGAACCCTCGCCTTGTTGCAAATAGAGCTGCTCTAGGGATAGGCAGGGTTAAAGGTAAGTCAGTATGTTCGCCGCTGGATGTCTTGATGGGACGACCAAGATGTTAGTCCGACATGCAAGAATAATGATTAGGATCTATGATAGATATAATTTTGTACAGGTTGCAAAGAGCTAACCTCCAAGTTAGCACCGTCGGCCCTTCGTCAATGACAGCAAACATACCGTTCATCCAATGATATCATAATCGTTACTCCTCGATCCCGGGTCCTTTGCCTTCTGCTCCTTTATCCGCTGATACATAACAAACTTTCCATCATCGTCCTCTCCAACCGCCTCCTCCACCAAATCCGCCAAATCAATAATAGCCCCATCCAAAGTCCGAATCACATCAACCGCAGTATCCCAAGCCTCCGCACCCTTGCTCTTCACTAAAATCTCATGCACCTTCTCCGACACCTCCCTCAGCACTGTATGCGCCTTGACAGCAGGCTCCCCTTGAGACCGAACGAGACGCGTCACATCCTGGAAAAAGTTGTCAATCACGTCTGGGGGAACGTCCGTGAATGAAGAGCAGAGTTCTCGGAAGTATGACAAGGCAGCGGACGGCTCTAGAAGATCTACAGCGCCAAAATCGCCGTCGGCTCGTTGGATGTGGATGAGGCACGTTAAGAGGTAGTTCGTTTGGTCGTACTCGTGGATCAAGTCCAGCATGGCGTACATCAACGTGAGCGTTGAAAAGGCTGCGGCACCTAAATTCACGAGTTACCCCCAAATTTGAAACTTCTAAGTAACCGCCGAGTAGCAATGCGATGCACGTACCGATGACCAGACCTTTTACTTTAGACCTCGGAGTTCCATCCTTCCTGAAGAAAAATTTTGAAGCTAAACCGGCTGGCCTGGCGCTGAAGGACGCGTTGTGTATTATCCGTCGCCTTGGGGCTTGGAAATTGCGGCTAAGAGAGCTTGTTGGCCTTGTGGCGGCCCTCCACGCAAGCATTGAACAGCGGAGTGAACGAAAGGAGTATTGTTTACTATTGTTGCAAGTTTGTCTTCATATGACAAAGTAAACAACCACTTCATCGACAAACGCCACCTTCACTTGGGGCGCTTCAACCAAGCTTCAACTCAACTTCAACTTGGACTCTGGAGAATAAATGTCAGACTCCAGCAGACTTTTAGTGCGATGTCATGGAAGTGGTTCCGCTTCAAACCTGCTAAAAATTGAAGTCCGATCTCACAATTCAAATTCTAGTAGGCATCCTGAACCAATCCTGTCGGAGATTTAATTCTCTCGTCACAACCAGCTGACAAGCCTGACATTGGGACGGCATTGAATCGGCGTTCTAAACAGTGCTAACTGTTGAAAGTTGCCTATTTTTCTATTTTTTAGCCCAAAATTGGCTACAATCATGCAACAATCATGTCACAAGCTCTGTTGCAACCAGTTGTCACCCTGGATGGGACCAAAATTGTGACTAAAAACTCTTTGGTTGTTTCTGTTTATAACGGCCATTTTGATAGGAACATCCACAACAAGTTAGAACCAGTTGTGATGCCTAATTAGAAAACTCCGACAAATCCTGAACAACAACTTTTTTTTGTTTTGGTTGGGAAGTAAAGCTGCGAACAGCGAAAAAGATGATCTGAAGTGGGGCGTCACAGGCCAAAAATTTCGACCAAAAAACTGCAACATTTAAGGAGAAAAACAGGTTGAAACTGGCCAGAAATTATTGAAAGTTGTCACCTGTGCTGGGCTTCGGCTGGAAGCTACTCAGAAAGGGCAAAGATTCTATCAGAAAGGGATTTCCCTGTTGTTTCCCTGCATTGAGAAAGCCTAGTGTGATGGAATTTCTTAGTCCTGTGATAGATGTCACATCAAAAGTGACTAAGTGCCCAATTTGGGTCAATGTTTGGCAATTTGTTCCAGAAGAACCACTTGATAAATTGTTTCGAAATTTGATGGGCAGATTGTTCTCCATGAAAGGAAGCGATTCCACTATTTTTCATATTTTTCTTGGCACTTTTTGGTGTCTGGCCAAAATTTTAGGGTCTATTTCTGTATATGGCCATTTTCTCCAAAACAGCTTGTGAGACTTGGCTGAAATTTGGCCAGAAGCTTCCCTCAACGTATCTGCACGTTTTCTGGGCACTTTGGTAGCCATTAATACATTTCCATTTTTATTAGTGGGCTTTGCTTGTCCACGACTGTAATTGTGACAAAGACCCTGCAGTGCCCTGGACTGAACTGTCCTGTGGGAGCTTTGAATTGTCTTTTTTGCCTTGAGAAGGTCCCCACTGGGTGGTCAATTTTAGCGTAGAAATGCGTGAGTTGCCAGCGAAAACCATACAGAAACATTGGTGAACCTGAAAAAAGACGATCCAGTCCCATCCAAGAGACAGTTCAGACCTGTCCCTGCTTTTTTGATATGTAGCCAATCTTCCAGAATTAAAGGCTAAACGATTACAGGTATGTAGCAGCACATGTTACTTATCACTACTGTGGTTTTATTTGTCCATACTCTTCTGAAAAGTATTTGAAATTTACAGTAATATATAAACATGTCAATGAGGAACGTTGAACTTGGAATGACACATCCGTGTTGGACAGACGCAACGATGCAACTGACATGTTTGGATGGTGGCAGTTATCAACACACCTAAACAAAGCCACAGCATCAATGTGAACCATCAATGTTTCAATGTCAACACATCAATGCCGACCTGCTTGTTTCTCCAGCAGTTGAGAAACTACACGGCTTGTCAGGCACCTTGGTTTTGCCAGGCCTCTGCAAGGGTGTAGCTCTCAACTGCCTATGCCTACCTTCTCCAGCTGTCTGCTCCCTCCCACCCTCAATACCAAATGGCTGACAGGCTGCCTTTTGTTCCCAATGTGTCGCCTCCGTTTCGAAGAGGTGTGTATGATACTTTTGCATTTGATTTTGTGCCTCACTAATGTTGTTGCAGCCCCATTTTCCTTGGTCGTTCTGCATCCCCTCCACCCGCCTCTTGCCCTTCACTGGCATGCAAATACTTGAAGCCTCGGGAATACACATGACTAACTGAGGGCAAGAATGCCCCAACAACCCACTTATCAACGAAATGAGATACCTCCATCCTGCCGTCCCACGACTTTCACGTGGCGATACTCAGAACAACTCCCACAACCAATTTATCGACTGCACAACATCCCGAGTTTTTATGATATGCCAGACCCAACCATCCACTTATCACATGCATGACAGCATCCTCTCGCTGTCCTGGTGTTCTTCCCACTTTCGCTGACTACAACAACTCCTGGGCGCCAGCTTGCATCTCCACAAATTTTCATTCGACCACTGGCAAATCACAATGCAGATTTACTTACATTGGTGCGGCCTTGGAGTCTACCTGTTGGGTTCTTGTCTACCAAGTGGCGCAGGTCGGAAGGCACCACAAGTGTGCAGGAATTGCGTATCTGCAATGTATGCAAGCTCATTTCCTCTAGATGTTAGTTGCTGATGCCTTGGCGTAGTACATGCCAAGAAGGCTGAGGCTCAGGCTTTCAGTGCCTCATCCCCTGGCCATCTATACACCCCACACAATGGTGCTGCCATTTCCCTGCCATTGCTCACTTACCCCTTGAGTGCTGGTGAGCTGTCCTCCGATTGCATGGCCTCTGGCAGACATAGCCATGGGAGCGGATCACATTCACCCCCCTCCACCATTCCCTATCCCGTGATCGTTCCCAGGTCGCATCACTTCAACCCAATTGTCGCACCCACGACTCAGGCCAGCATTAGGGCACACTGGTGGAGATCAAGCAGGAGCAACGACGACAGTGATGAAGAGGACAACAACTTCCAGCCAGCCAACCTCTCTGCCGATTTGTAAGTTCAAATTTCCTTTGATACCACTTTATCTTACCCTTCATCTTCATAGGTGCCATGAGACCATTCGTAAGCAGTGCATTGGAACAAAGGGGAAGAGATGAGCTCAGGGACAGCTATGTGCACCACAAGGATACCCCTCCTGTGTCCAACCAGAAATCCAGCAAGGTATCTTTGCTTGACCAAGGTTCATTTATCTTTTTTCTCCTTCACCTTCACTTGCTGACAGTCCTACAGCACCTGGACACATTAGGTATCTTGAGACCACCAAAGAGCAGTTGGAACTCTGCCTCCAAGGATGCCCACCTTTTCAACTGTGCACAGTGCAAGTGACATAACTTTTTACGCCTTCATACATTCATATTGTCTAATGCTTTTCCTGCACTAGATGCCCATCAGAACACACTGGAGAATTTTTGAGTGTACCTACATATTAGTAGTTTGCCAGTTGTAATGACTACTTGTAGTTCTCCATATTCCACCACCTACATATGTAGCTTTTCATGTTGCGTGACTCACACACATCAACGTGATGGGGATAAACACTACGTAGCGCCTATCAATGATGGGCCTACTTGAACCCAGCACATCCTTGTCGTTTGTTGAGGATTAGAACCCTACGCTATGTACGCTCTTTATCTCTATTTACCAACTCCTTCGTTTACTTCCGTACTTACAATTTTCTCGCTACTTCCATACCTCACACCTCAGTCGTTTACCACTACGTGTAACCGTCTGAGGTGTGTATTCTTTTACTTATATATCTTCCGATACTTTACTTACTATCTCTACCTTAGCTACCACTAACGGTCTTATCCTAACAGGTAGAGATTGACAATACAGTCGTTTACCACTACGTGTAACCGTCTGAGCTACCACTAACGGTCTTATCCTAACAGGTTATGGGCCCCGCACGCTCCTAAATTATCAGAAGATTATCGGTTACACACATATCCCCTCGACTCAATAAAAAAGGCTTATTACCATGTCTGGAAGTCACAATATTTCGATTCCTTTCTCCTTGCCCGAGGATCAGCGCTGCCGTGGATATGAAAACTTCGCGAGCTGGAAAACACTTATGATCGCTCATGGGAAACCCCGAGGATACCTAAAATACTGGGAGAACAAAATCGTCGTCCCCCAGGAGATACTGGACGCAGAAAATACGTCTACTGATCCAAAGACATCACCCTCCGGCTCTACAACCGATAAACCACCAGGTCCTACTCCAGCCCACTCCATAACTCCATCAGAACTCGAATACGAACTCTGCGAGAGTGCCTCGATGTCGTCGATCTTGATCAATCTGGTAGATATTGCTGGATCCGGCGTTGACTCAAACGGGAAGTTGCATGAGGCCTGGACCCTACTAGCCAAGCAGTATGGTGGCGCAAGCGATAGGGCTAGGAATATGCAGGAGAGAGCGTTAGCAAACTGCAAGTTTGAAGAGGGAATGAAAGTTGCAGGAGAGAACGGACATATCGAGAAAATGCGCGCACTACGCAAGGCCGCTAATGACGCCAGTGCTGAAATCACCAACATACGCTTCATCACGAAACTCCTCGACTCCTTCCCCAAGTCTTGGGACCCTATCATATCGAATCTTTACGATAAAGAGGATTTGAGTGAAGTCATCATGAAACTCACCTCACACGGGGAACGTCTCGCCAATCGCGCATCCGAAACCACCAAAACAACTAACAACACGTTCGATTCCGTCAAAGCCCTGGAAGCAACTGTTCATGCACTCCAGGCTGAGGTGAAAACCCTCCGAACGAGGCCCGGAGGATCATCGAACCCAAATAAGTCTCACCTCGTATGCACCAACCCTTCATGTGGAAAGACTGGACACTTGATCCCCGACTGTTTCCAAATGGGAGGCGGGAAGCAAGGACAATACCCCCCATGGTGGAAAGGGAAGCGAACCATTTCTCCTATCGCAAACTTAGCATCCTCGTCCTCGACAATTGATGGTACAATTAATACTGGTGGACACTTCGCCTTATCGGCTACGTTCAATGACGATGTCGCTAAACTCCTGGAGGAAAATGAATCAGTCCTTCAGAAGGTCGCCTTAGCCGCTAGCCAAGTCTTACCTTCCATTTCCTCATGTTCATTTGCGGATTCAGGGTATACTACACACTTCTTCAAAAGTCGAGACGTATTCTCAATGTATAAACCTTTGGAGAGGATGGCCGGACAGTCCTCTAAGGAAGGCGCGAGTTTCTCGATACTGGGGGGAGGCGACATTGAGATCAAGGTGGTGTTCAATAATGTGGAACATACCTTAACCTTTCGCGATGCTCTTCATGCACCTGACATCACCGCCAATCTCTTGTCAATTAGCAAAATGGACATTGCTGGGTGGCATGCTGTGTTCGGAGACCAGAGAGTTCGTTTCTACAAAGGGAAATCAGAGATCTTTGATGGAATCCTGAAGAATGGACTGTACCTTGTCAATGGATCCTTCTCACTGGCTATACCGACTGCCCTCACAGCCCAATCCCTTCGGAGTCCTACTGACCTCGCTACCTGGCATCGCCGATTCGCTCATTTCGGAGTCACTCGTGTGAAACAAGCATTAAAGCTTGTTGACGGCCTCGAAGTTACTTCTGAGGACGCTATTGGACAATGTGAAGACTGTATCTTGGGGAATCAGAAACGTCGACCATATGACGACGATGTCCAAATCAAAAATAGGATCTTAAGACTCACCAACATCGACATCTGGGGGCCATCTCGTGTCAAATCTCATGGTGGATCGTTATACGGAATGAAATTCCATGATAGTGGATCCGCTCACCGTAAAACATTCTTCCTCGCCAACCGCCAAGACGAGACAACCTTAACTGCCTTGAAAACCTATCGAAGCGAAAGTGAAAAGGTCACTGAAAAGCTAATGGTTTTCATCAGAGTCGATAACGCACCGGAATTCAAAGGCAAGCTATGGGCCGAATACTTTCGTGAGACTGGACTCATCATGCTACCAACCCCCCCCTATTCCTCCTCCTCGAATGGTACTGCGGAACGCTCTATTGGAGTGACGACTGGCGCCGTACGAATCATGCTCTTGGACGCTGGATTGTCGGCAAAATGGTGGGCCGAGGCATGGGCATTCGCGGATTATGTGGAGAATAGGTTGCCGTCCAGTCGACACCCAGGTGTGATCCCTGAAGAGGGATGGACAGGAAAGAGACAAGATGTGGGACACATAAGGGTCTGGGGTTGTATCGCATATGTGCACATCCCCTTTGAGAAGGGCGGAAGCAAATTAGCCGCACGGGGGCAAAAGGGCAGATTGATCGGAATTGAGGGCTGAGGCGTTTACAGGATCTTGATCCCGGAGACCGGCCAAATCATCCGTTCCCGAAACGTCAAATTTGAGGAAGGTCTTGGACACCGTACCCTCACGACTGAGCGGGAGTACTTCCACCAGGACAACGGCGATACTGACTACGACTTCCTTGTAGAACCCATAGTCACTGAAAAACCTATCACAGTCCCCGCTGTTCCTGGCAACCCAATCATTCCGGATACTCTCAACCATCCTCAAACACGTCCCAGAATTGTCTATCCCCCTGCATCACGTCAATCAGCAAGAATTGCTGCGAAAAATAACCCTCCACCAGCTGAAACTGACGATGACGCTTCAATTCCAATTTTGGAAGATCCTGATGAAGATGACGACTCCACACACACCGCGCTAAATGCCGAATTCCCCCCGGAACCACAAAATCGATTCGTCCCGGTGACATTTGACGACGCGTTCAATTTGTCCCGACGTCATCTATGGTTCCCAGCCATGGAGAGAGAAATTGCTCAATGGGATGAGCGTGGCGTCGTAACGGCAGTTCCTCATCCCCCTGGTGTAAAAACCATCAAAGGAAAGTGGGTCTATGACTTGAAGGTCGATGGCCTAGGGAGCCTCATTAGACGTCGTGCCCGTGGGGTAGTAAAAGGTTTTTCTCAGAGGCTTGGGGAGAATTACTATGAGTCCTTTGCCGCAGTGGCCAGGTACGAATCAGTCCGAATGTTGTTTGCGCTCATTGCGAGTTTGAAGCTCCATTTTTGGCTTATCGACTTCGTTGGGGCGTACCTTAACTCCAAACCCCAGGGAACCAATTACCTCGAAATTCCCCAGGGCTTCGAAAATCATTACAAAATCCCCAATATCGACACTGTTCTTATCATGAACTTTACTATATACGGCACCATGGACGGCGCCAACAACTGGTTTCGTCTACTCAACAAAACATTCACCGAACTCGGTCACCGCCAGTCTCGAGCAGACCCTTGCATACGCATTCAACATACTACTGAAGGGTATACCATCTCGTCGACTTACACCGATGACGTATCTGCAGGATCTTCTTCAGTTGACGCAATGGATCGAGCAAAATGAGAACTCGCGGCAAAATTCGAAATCACCGATTTAGGCACTCCTAACAAAGTACTTGGCATGTCGATCGTAAACCATGCCTCTGGCGACATATCTATCCATCAAAAACCGCTTATCACGAAGGCTTTAGTTACATTCGGAATGGAGAACGCTAATCCAAAGTATACCCCTCTCCCTCCGGGCGTTACCCTCGTCGAATCTCAGCCTATGCCCATCCCTCCTCACGACTCCGAATTCATGCGCGATAAGGATTATAGAAGCGCATTAGGGATGCTAAACCACGTTGCGAATGGTACACAGCCCGACATCGCATTCTCTGTCATGGTACTGATGCGCTACGCATCTGATCCTCGCCCTATGCATTGGAAGCTTGTTCAACACCTCCTCGCTTACCTGAAAACAACCAGCAACCTCGTTATCACATACCGAAAGGACGGGGTTATCAAACCCTTCGGCTATTCCGACTCTTCCTATGCGGATGAATCCGACAGCCGAAAATCATCTGCTGGGTTCGTTTTTATATCCTCTGGAGGCCCAGTTAGCTGGAAAGCAAAAACTCAAAGGTGTGTCAGCACCTCGACTGGAGAAGCTGAATATGTGGGCATTTTCGAGGCTGGGAAACAAGCAAAATGGATAAGTGCTTGGTTCTTCGAAGTTGACCAATTCTTCGATCTCCCCATCACCGTCTACTGCGATAACGACGCCGCCGTCGCTCTCACCAAAAACTTTGGAGGTCATACCAAAATAAAGCACGTCGATGTCAAGACCCACTGGATCCGTGAGGCCGTCAACCTTGAAGACATCATCGTTGTCCCGATTGATACAACTCAAAACGTCGCTGATATCTTTACAAAATCACTTTCTCGACCAACGCTGGAATACCTCATCAAACTTATGGGAATGGAATACATCGATATTTAGGAGCTACGGTTTCAGGGGGAGTGTTGAGGATTAGAACCCTACGCTACGTACGCTCTTTATCTCTATTTACCAACTCCTTCATTTACTTCCGTACTTACAATTTTCTCGCTACTTCCGTACCTCGCACCTCAGTCGTTTACCACTACGTGTAACCGTCTGAGGTGTGTATTCTTTTACTTATATATCTTCCGATACTTTACTTACTATCTCTACCTTAGCTACCACTAACGGTCTTATCCTAACAGGTAGAGATTGACAATACAGTCGTTTACCACTACGTGTAACCGTCTGAGCTACCACTAACGGTCTTATCCTAACATCGTTGCTTCATGCTGCACATCCCCCTTATTTGGTGGACAGTGTATCCCCCCACAATATACGTCACAGTATTGTGGGGGGCTATCAGCTGCAGCCAGCTGACAATCACCAAACCTTTTGCAATGCACTTTGATTGTGTCCTTCTAGACAGATTCCTGCCTATCGGGTAAGCCACTGGTACAATATCAGCAAACCCAGTGCGCCAAACCCTCCAACAACCAAACACAAATTATCTCTTTACCCCCTCACTCGCTCTTGCCGGCTCGGCTCCTCCTTCTGATGCCCCCTCAACGTCCTCTCCTTCTGCCAACCACGCTCCCCAATGCCATGTACCTCTTTCTTGTGGCAATACTCCAAACACTCCAACAACGCCACTGAGCAGTGTTATTTCCAGTATCCCCACTTATTTGCCCCTTTCGCAGACTCTGCTTTTGAGGATGGCGCTGCATGGTAGACCAGTGTCTCACTGTGTTTTTCTTCTGAACTACCCTCTCCCTCAATATTTGAGCCATTGAAAGTTATGGGCATTTCTCATCTTTGGGAGGTGTGTCATGTGTAAAAATGGGGAATGTTGGCTGACCTGATCCTAGATTGTGCAGCCAGCTCATCAAGTACGATCCCTCTCGCAGCTGACCCTAAGTGAGGGATTCAAGAAGAATGGGAATGGTCATCGTACTATCATGCTTGGGGTTGATGCAAGGTCTGTCTGCTGCCCACTCTGCATGGCCCTGCTATAAAACTGATGTGGCTTGGTAGCATCTGGTTACACCAAACTCAAGCTGTCTTCCACCATCCTCGCCATTCCCAAACAGGCAAAAACCCAGAGCTCTGGACTCTTTTCCACAAGCTCAATCGCTTCCTCAATCAATCCGTCAGCGTTGTCTTTGTTTTCGATGGTAGTGAATGGCCTTCAATGAAGCACAGAAAGCATGTTAGACCGAGAGAACATTGGCTTGCAAAGTGGTTCAGAGAATTTGCCAAAGCGTTTGGATTCAGCACTCATATTGTAAGTAAATAGTGCCTTCTCTGTCCTCAGAAGACTAACCATGGGCAAATAGGCTCCCGGCAAAGCCAAGGCAGAGCTGGCCTTGCTCAACAAGTTGGGCATCATCGACATTGTCGTCACTGATGATAGTGATGCCTTGATTTTTGGCGCTACTTGTGTGATGCGCAAGTGAGTTCTAATCCTCTGCCTATCCGATTGCTCGCTCATGGTCCCATTTTAGTTGGAACATCAAGAAAAATAAGGATGATGTGAAGCTTTACACATCAGAAGGCATTCAAACCATAGCCAGTGTTCGTTTAACACAGGGTGGGATGCTCTTAATTGCTATCCTTTGTGGAGGGGATTATGATAAGGTTGGTTTTATTTTGAGATACCCTATTCTAGCAACCACATTGAATATGCCATTTACAGATTGGGCTAGCAGGCTGCGGCAAAGCTGTAGCACATGGCCTTGCACGAACTACCCTGGGTGACTAGCTTCTGGGGGCCACCAAGGATTCTTCTGAGGAAGATTTGGCAACTTTTTTAGTCCCATGGCGCCAACAACTTCGGGATGAGTTGTCTTCGAATGTGCAAGGCTTTTTAAAGTGCCAGTGCCCCACTCTCGCCAATGTGGTTCACTCTGACTTTCCACAGCCATCTGTCATTCTCAAGTACACCCAGCCCATCACATCATGGGCCGGTGGTCGGCCACTCCCTCTGTTCTCAGCATGGGTCCACCGTGAGCCTGACCTTGCCGAAATGGCATCACTTGCGGAGCGCTCATTCTCTTGGTCTCCTGATGAGATCATGGAGAAATTTCAGACACACATGTGGCTGGGCCTTTGCCTTTGTCGCCTTCTAAAAGTTTGTGTCTCTCTTTTTGTTTCTCCACTGCTTTTACTCAGAATTTCTCTGCCTGCAGGTAAAGAGTCCCCTCCTTGAACTTGTTGATCATGTGGTTCATGGAGTGGTTGTGGATGACCTCCCATGCCTTTCCTCTTTCCTCCGCATCAACTGCGCCAGCCAAGGCACTCTTGCATTGCCAGTTCCTTTCTTTGATATCAAGTTTTTAGAGCAAGGTCTTGTTAACGAAGCTAGGTCGAAACTTCTGAACCATGCTGATATAAGGGCCAAAAAGATGATGGTGTGAATTCCTGCTGCCATCATCAAGCTTGTGCTCCCTTCTCTCTGCCAGGAAAAGCTATCATCCACTGAACATAATAAGTCAAACAATGTATGTTTTCTCTCTATAACAATCTCTTCTTTTGTATTGAACCTCAACTCCAGATCCCGAAGTACGTAGAGCCAGAGCCTCTTCTTAAAGTTGAAGAGGAGGATTTTGCAGGGGGATTCAGCTCTCCCCAGCCTCAGCCAGTTATCCTTGATTATCTCGACCTCACAGTGGATGATGATGCACCATCTGGTGTTCCTAATTGTCGCCACCTCTTCGATGGTGAAGTCATTGATCTTACTTTAGATTAATTGATACAGATCTTTCTTTCCCGTTTCTGCCTGTACAACCGCCATCTATGTAACTCATCGTATGCATTAGTCCCTTTGTGTACTCTATTTAAAATTGTTTGTGGGCCTCCATCTCAAATCCCTCCTATTCCATCACAGATATATATACACAGGCAAGTCTGTCTAACCCATTTCTCTATCATGTCTTTTAAGATCACACTCCCTGCATTTGCTGGGGTGCAGCGCTTTGTCGCCCCTCCAGAGTCTGACAGCGTCGAGGAGCAGGAAGCTCAGGATGATCTGGAGGGAGAGAAAGACTTAATCTTTCCAACCACACATCTAGACATGCCAGGCGAAGACAAAAATCTCAGTTCATCAAGCAAACCAAGTCCATCATTTGCAAAGCTACAGGAGATGGTTTTACAAGCCTCAAAGGGGGTTACAGAGGGCACTGACAATTAGTGTTTAAAGGTCCAGTCCATGGGACCGAAAAAAACCGGTGGACCGAACTGAACCAGACCATGGTCCGGTCTTTTTTTCGGTTGCAGTTGCCCAAATTTGGGGTTGGTCCGGTTGCTGGTTGCCTCATTTCAAAAATCTGTTAAAACCGTTCAAAGACCGGTTTAAATCGGTTGCAACCGGTTAAACGGTCACGTGCGTTACATAGCCTTGTAACCACGTTTTTTTACCTTTAATTGGGTTTTTGGTTCATCAAAAATGGTTAAGAACTGAGAAAGATATAACCAAATCCATTTTGGCACAAATACTTGTTTGTGCAACTTGTACCAGAATGACTTTAATTCTAACTCACTCAAACTTTCATCATTTTGCTTGATTAAAATTTTGGATATTGACATTTTAACTATGAAAATATACTCACCATCTATCAATATATGGTATGCATCAAATAATTTACAGTTGCCACATTACATTTTGCCCAAGTCTTTAGGAGATGTAATTCGGTTTCAGTCATAGCTATGTCAAACCTTCATTAAATTTCTTAAGAATTGGTGGAATGATGGGTATTTATATGTTTTACTATGATATATAACCAGTTTATTTTTTAGAGTAATAATAATTGAGATACAAATGGTTTATATTGGTATGACAAATTTTACGCAAAAAGACCGGTCTGAATCGGTTTGAACACGGTCCATGGACCGCAAAAGACCGGTCCTAGGTGGTCCGGTTCGGTTCCCTCAATATCTGGGTCAGTCCTGGACCGGTTGCGGTCCACGGTTGCGCGTTTTCGGGGCAAAAAACCAGACTGAACTGGACCTGCGAACACTACTGACAATGAATACATGAGGTGAGTATAGTTCTAGCTCAGCTATGTGTCTCAAGGTGTAGATACCATTTTTTGTTCTGTCACTAGGCTAAAAGTCCAGTGCCATGCCTTCTTGGTGGGCAAGGGACTCATTGAAGCTAGCGATCCATTCTTCAGTGCAATGCCACATGAGAATGCACCGCTTTATATAACCACCTGGATTATGCATCAGTAAGCAATATTGATTGGCACTTTTATATATTGAGTTACCAACTTGACAATGGATACCAGATGTGATTCAGTCAACCTGGATGGCTCAGAGAAAGATGTAAATCAAGAGCGATCAACATATGCACATGCCCAGAAGATGTGGGCAGCAATGACCTATGTCTTTGGGCGTATCCATGGACTTGGTACACTTCCTTGGCATAAGGATTCCACAGGAAAAATGGTTGGGAACCCCTCTGTGTCTGTTGCCATTTCAAGTTATATGGTTAGCCTTCACAGAAGAAAAGTGATGTATGAACTTCCAGAACTATTAGAAATTCTAATCCATTTTATCAGGTCCAAGCAGGAGAAACAGCAACAAGTGCACAGGCAATCGCATCTGTGTGTTCACTGGAGACTGAGTCATTACCTGCATTGGTACTCATGATTTGCACTGCCAGAAAATGCTTTATGATCTGCACCACTTCAATCACCGCAAGGAAAATTGGAAAATCCGCAAGACGGCTTCCCACAAAAAATCGGAGGCAACTGAGGATTGGTGTGGTGGTCAAACCCGATGACTGTTGCAATTTGCATACACAATCTCATTCCTCTGTCTTCTCCGATTTGATGAGGTGTTAAAAATTCAAGTGCATGATATTGAGTTCAAGTCCAATACGTGTATCAAACTTACACTGCCATTTAGAAAAATTGCTCAGAATGGAGGCAAGGAAATTATTTCATTCAATGTCTAGCTGAACTAATAATCGAATCATCATATACAGACATCAAGCCATTTTTTTGGCACCAACTCTCCGAAGCAGAGTGGCACTTGTGTCCAGTAACAGCACTTGCAGAGTGGCTTGCATACTCCAAGATTAAGCGAGGCCCTCTTTTCCCTAAAATGAATAAACACGAGCAAATCCTCCAAAATCAGTGCATCTCCATGGTATGTGCAACATATACTTTTTATAGCTCCATAGTTAGTCATTTTGGCCTTGTTGCAGAGCACAGAGAAATTCCTGGAATGCTTCAGGAATAATTTAATCAACATTGGTGTTGATCCCTCTCCATATGGTACTCACTCATTCCAGCAAGGAGGCTGTCAATACCTTTCATCAGAGAGGCACTGGACAATCCGTTGCATTTGTGAATGGGGTGGGTGGAGCACCGACTTCACACACATGACAATCGTCAAATATTTGATGTCATGGAATGATGTCCCCACAGAGGGACAGGAAGACTTCTTCAACCCAATGGTTAAGCCTAGATCAAAACTTGTATTAAAGGTTGTGGAAGGAACAAGAGTATGTAAATGTAAATTAAATATCAACAAGTTATTCAAGATCCTCATCGAAATCCCCCTCTTCATCCTGCTGGAGCTCTCCCCAGAGGTGACGGTAGTGATGAGTGATAGTCGAGTCCTTGCTCATGATGATCTTGGCACCATCATGGGTTCGCCAATACAAAAAAACTTGGTTAAAGTCCACCCCATACTCCATACGTGCTTTTGCAGCAACTGCCTGATCGTCAGCAACACGAGCTTGAGTGATTGCCTTTTCAATGGCCATGTATGACTGCAGTTTGCCGTTGACTGTAAAGGCCAATTTGAACTCCTCACGGGTTCCCTGAAGGTATCACTGAGCAACTGTCTTCAAGTGTTGTGTAAGCTTGGTATATGAAAGCCCAACACAAAAGTTCAGCTTACCTTCCACTTAAACCATTCGCCCTTCTTCGCCTTCCAAGCTGCAGGCTTCCAGTACCGGTAGAGCTTGGGCCAGAATTTGAGTGCGACATAATGACCTTGGATGGTGGTGACAGAGACTCCGCTCCAAGCAGACGAGGAGTCATCCCACATTGAAGCCAGAAGAGGGATGTCCTTGTTGATTCTGATGTAGGCCAGCTCTGGAATGTCGTCTGCAGTGAATATGAGCACCGTGCCACTAGTGAGGGTCAAGGATTGAGTTTCAACAGATCGGGCACCAGATACTACCAAGGAAAGGGCAAGCAACAGCGGGAATATTGTGAAAGAACCCGCTTCCATGAGGTTCCCTCCACTGGGTGCAGCTGTGACACTCATGTCTTGAGTGAGCAGGTTAGAGGGGGGCTGCATGTCGGTATCAGAGGGCTCCCAAACATCACTTGAGGGAGTGCGCATGTCAAAGCTGCTGAATGATGTGGAAGGGAGGGCCAGGGATGGATACACACTGACAGATGTGGCAGGGGCAGAGATGCCTGGGGAAGAAGGGGATTGGACAGACATACTGCTCCCCCCAGACATACTCAATCGTGGGCAGGAGGAAGGAGGAACCACATCTGGCTGGCATGGTTTGTATGGAAGGTGCTTAACATAATTTTTGGCCTGAAGTTTCATTGTCAAGCTACATTGTGGTGTTGAAATGGTGGGGACTTACCCAAGGGATTACCATTGCCACTTGTTGAGCCATCTGAAGATCCCTTGACTGCTCTATAGGCAAGGCATGTATGATGAGAGCCTGAGAGGGAGGGACAGCTGGATCACTCTTGAACAATGCTGCCTGTCGAATTTGGGACTGCTTCTGGTACCACTGAGATTTTGCATTGGGCCTGGGGCCTTTGTGGGAGTGCATCTTGACTGGGCTGAGGCTGAAAGATGTGGAGCAAAGGTTAGAGACAGCTAAGTGAGGGACATCCCATTGAGCTCACCTTTTCCATTTCTCATCATCCCTGCTGTATTCATGAAGCCTGTCGATCAATTGTGGGACATTTCTGGATACAGGGAGTTTGAACTTGTGGCACCACTCCTTGAGAGTGGACTTGGGTTGGCCGTCCCTGCAGTTTAAATCAGACATTTTGTTTCTTTGCAGTGCGAATGCACTGCATGTACTTACAGTGTTAGATACCATATGTCTCAAGTTCCGTCAGGGCCCAACGATCCAGGAAAGGGAAGCTGTTGTTCTTTGTTCATTGCGCTCACCTGCTGGTGGATCTGAGCGACGCGGAGGGGAAGGAGAGGGGCACAAGACTCTTGCTAAGACACCTCCATCATGTCCAAGACCATCCTGATCACATTGGCGATCATGATGCAGAGGAGGAGCTGGAGATCGGGGATGATCAAGAGGCAGAGATAGAGGCAGAGCAGGACTTGGGAGACCTTCCCAAGCTCAAAGACAAGCACGAGGACAGGAAGGAACATGTTCGCAACATGACGAGTAGCCACATGCACCAGCTGAGCGGCAAACTCGTAAATGCAGTGGTGGAGGCCAGGGAGGAAGAGGGCACTAAGTGGTGAAATGTGAAACGGCATGATCAGCAATCGTGAACCGAAAGAGGGACAAGGCTGTGTGCAGGGAGACGATCCAGGGCGCAGGAAAGATGGGAAAGGGACAGTCCAGGGTCATGATGGTGTGACTGGAATGTCTTTCTCTTGAGAGAAGCATGCTTCAACCTTTTCAAATCTTCTATTGTCCACACCATTCTCCTTTTCCTTTTTGACCTGGTGTTGCCTGGCATTTTCCATTGGTTACATTACTATTGCCACTCTGGTAATTCTTTCTATTATATACTCTATATAAACCCCTCCAACCTTGAATCCATGTTGTGTCAACCACCCCTATGCCTTTTTTCTGTTGCTTGGCCATCTCATCCTCCTTATGTTTTTTTGAACACCACACAATGCAATACTTTCTCAAAAACCAATGTTCCTTGGCACCGTCATGTCGACTCTCCTCCCCTCAACCTCCCCTGTCCACCTGCACAACCACCACTGTGGTATCAGTGAATTTGCATGGACATGCGACAACTGTTAAAAGGTTAATCCTGTCTATGCCTCTGAGTGCATCAATGGTTAGGAGTAAAAAATCGTCATGGTTTCCAATTAAATAATGGACCATGGGTATGCTTAGGGCTATTTGATTTAAATAACAATTTAAATGAAAACTCACTATCAGTAGGCACTATCTAAACAGTCTAATTAAATGGTGGTCAAAGCTTTGAGTACATAACCGAAACCCAAGAGAGCTATTTAAATTGTCATGAAGTTTTAGATACATGAGAGGTCTATTTAACTAGAGGCTGACACTTAGCAGCAGGCACCTTGCTTGCTGACAAATACACTGCTTTGCACCAATACAATGTGACTTTTTTCATAACAAAGGAAACAGTGTTCAAGAGCTGGTTAACTGGAAAGATGTATGTAAACATTGGAGCTGGCACTAAGAAAGAGACAACAATATTATGTTTTGAAAAGACCAGTTGTTTGCACTGGTTTGCTCGCTCGTGTGTAGGAAGTTTGTTTGTTCATGCTTGCCCACTTGTGTGTGCGATATGCAAGAAAAGACCCCCATGGCCGCTGGGTAGTTTGTTTGTACCTATTTGGTATTTATGACCTTGGGAGACCTTGACAAGCAAGGTGATCTGTGTTTAAGTGCATAGATATTGGAAGAGAATTTAAATCAATACTAAAAGCGTTAACTGCTGTTTAAAGTGGTCAGAGGTATCTATTTAATTACCGTTGAGATGATGACCATTCTTGTCAACAGGATTGTTGTCCTGGTCAAAATAGCTGTTGGTAGTTGGGTTGTGCCAAAACCAACTACCCCTGGATAGGGAATTATTGAAAGGGACAATGCAAATGTAAGTGAGATGCTTACTTCGTCTTCCTCTTCTTCATCGTGAGTGGCTCTTCTGGCTTTTTCAGGTCTGGTTCTGGTTCTGGTTGCTTGCGTTTCCGGCTGCTAGTCCATGGCTCAGAAAGTGTGTCTGATTTCTTTGCACGTGTTTTGGCTTTCATTTTCCTGCACACTCTTCTGTAGAGCATCTGAAATGGTTTTTTGTCGTGAATCAGATGGTCCCTCAACTGTTCCTTGTGTTGTATTGGATGGCCTCCTCATAATGTTTGCTGGGGTGGTGGTTTCCGAAGCAGTTAGAGGTGGGATGATGGGTGGTGGAAGAGTAGATGCATCAGTTGCAGGTTCAGACAGCCCCTTCACAATGGCTGGGGTGGCAGTCACCAATGTCACTGTTGGAGGTGATGGGGTGGCTGTTGAAGTGGATGGGGTGGCTGTAGAAGCAGATGGGGTGGCTGTAGAAGCGGATGGGGTGGCTGTAGAAGTGGATGGGGTGGCTGTCAAAGCGGTTAGTGGCCCTGGGGTGGTTGTCAAAGTGGTTAGTGGCCCCTTAATAACAGTGGTTAGTGTGGTCGTTGATCCCAGGCCACTGGTTGGAGGAGACATGGATTTGAGTGGGCCCTTAGCAATGGTGGTTGGGGTCATCATCATCAATATGCAAGGTGGCTGTGGGACAACAGGTGCAGGAGGAATGGTGGTCCTGACTGCAATTTCCTCCTTGGATCGAAAACGGAAGGGTGTGTCTGTCACAATAAAGAGGTGAAGTATCCAATAAAAGAAGCAGCATCAGATAATGGATTGAGGTAAAGTTCTGGTATGATCAAAAGAATCAGAGAATTGAACTGCTTGGTATCATAGTAATTGTGGGGATTTGGAGGTCTTTACCTTCCCCGGTATAATCCATATGGAATCCATGTGGAATCCATGAAGAATTCCATATGGAATCCATGGAATCAATGTTGGTTGAGGACACAGCCAGTTTCTGATTCCCTGGACATCATGGATTCCATATGGAATGATGCTGGAATGGTCATGGAATGATTAATTCCATATGGACTCCAACACCATTCCATATGGATTCCATCAGATTCCATATGGAATGCAGGCATATCCACATGTATTCCATGGAGCAGTCCATATGGATTCCATGGAAGGAATTAATGACTATTATACCATTAGAATACAGTGTCCTTACTATATTTAAGTAAAATAATTTTTTTACATCTTGAGGAATTGAACTCTTGACCTCATGAATGTAAGCAGCGCTCAAGCCAACTGAGCCATGAAGGCATTATTATATGAGAAACTAAAGGTATGTATATACCGCTTTTAGGCACGTGCCGCGTCAAACGTGACAGCTGTGGCTGAAGCATTGCCACGTCGTTCCTTCCTTCCTACCACCACCATCACCAACCACCACCACCGTTTCAAACCATGACCGCCTGCGACATCGACAACGATGACGACGACGACGCTGACGATGCGTGACGAGGGCCCAGCCCAGGTAAGTGGGAACAACCACCCCACCCACTCTCCTTTTTAACACAAACCACAGGTGCCACGTCGCGACGTGGCAACCAGACGGCGAACGACGACATCGGTCATCCACCGACGAAAACGAGCGCCCACCAACGTCAACGACCCCACACCAATGACGACCAGTGCCCACGAAAACGACCACCCACGGACGTCCAGCGACTGCAAACGACGTCCCTGCCCACGAAAACGATGTCCACCGCCCATGAACGACGCCCACCCACCCTTGGCTGTAGTCCTATGCCTTATAAACTGGAAGGATGCACTTTATTCATTTCCATAGGGAGCGCATCTGACCACTTGGTCTGGATGTGGATTAATGCACAGCTTGCTGTAGGGTGGGTGGGAAGAGGTATTGTTGATGTTATATGGGTACATATTTATTGATATACTATATATGTGTGATATTGACAGCACTCCGTCATTCCTGTTTCATATTCTGGTTTTGTGATCTCTGATCCTAACAGAACCAAATAATAAATCATGTATTTCTGATGGGCAACCATGTTTCACCATCCTGACTATGTTTCACGTAGAATGAAGCAGGGGAGAACATTTTAAACAAATCTCACAATATATTTCCAATGAATCTGACACTTTCCTCCATGTCAATATGTCACAAGAGGATGGATTGAACATGTTCAATTTGGATGACATTCACAAATTGCCGCTGCTGGTAAATACGTGCAAATACGCTCTCACCCAAGATTCCCGATGCAGCAAAAAGTGGTATATTGCTACCCCTCGTCCTCCTCCACCAGCTCCTCAAGTACAGGGTCTAAGATAAATGAGGGCACCTCCCCACTATCATCCTGGCTAACCAACGGCATCATGGGCTTGTCCCACAAACGGCAAAATCGAGCATGAAGTGCACGCTGCATATTGGCCTGCCTGACTGCATACGCCTGGATGCCCTCCTGTCCAGCATCATCCAGCCCCTCCCACCCCAGCTGTCGCTCCTCCCACCACGCCGCCTTCCACTCCAGGCTCTGCCACACACGTCTCATCTCCTCCTTCAACAAACACACCTCCTCCCACCATCGTAGATGCCTTGCACGCGCTTTTGCCCATTCGACCATGACGGTTGTACATGTATCTCAGTTTGATCACAGGTAAGGGCAAAAGACTTACCCTCATGCAAATCATCCTCACTGCCGCTCACAATGGACTGTGCCATGGTCCATATCCACGACACGACCTTTTTGCCTTGACCCAGGCCCTTCTTGATATTCGCCCGTTTCTTCTTTGAAAGTGCTCGCCCGTCTGCTCTGAACAGATGATCTGGATCGTCAATGTTGATCTCATGCCCATCAGGTGTCGTCAGGTCTCCGTGGTTTAACTCTCGGAGCTGATTTTCCCAATCGCCAGGGCCCACAAGTTCAAATAATGCCGCTCGGGCCATCCTATATTTTACGGCGAGGGCCTTCGACTTTTCTTCCAAACGGTTGAGAGTGTCTTGAGCCCGTGTATTTGGGTTCTGATGCCAGATGTTGCGGTTGCGGAAGCTGATAAAGGAGAGACGGCCACGTTGAAGGCTGCGGATCTTGTCCAAGGTATCCTCGCACTGGGCTCGACGGAGACTCGACTCGATCATGATGAGATTTTTGTCGCAGTTGTGTTTTTGATGGTTTTCGGGAAGGGAGGACGGGAGCCACAACGGCTCATGCTCGACATCAGTCCCAGAATGCATATCATTGACCTCTGCCTCACTGGACTCTGCCTCCCGTTGGCCTTCCTCCTGCTGTGACAGCATTAAAGATGCCGCCGGCATGTAAACAGCTTGTAGGTTATGGAAATGTTTTAACTGGCGAAGTAGAAGCAACCGTCGGTGTTGAATTTCGTTATCTTGACTTGTTGTAAGGGAATTTGGGTGCCGTGAGTCCCAGCGGATTCTCCGCCTAGATACTACCTGTCAGTAACGAGCATCACAAACAAGTAAATCATTGCTTACTGATTTTCTTCCACCAACAACCCAAGTGAGATGAATGCCGTTGGACCTGTGACGTGTAGCTGAGGGATGCCTGCTTTCACCGCAGCAATTTCCTCTTGAAGGAGCCACTTCTTCACTTCATCCTGAGAAGCATCTAAGTACGAAAATTAAGCAGGTGTTATGGCATCGATGAACAAAATGCACTCACGGCTCACAATAGCCACGTAAGGGTTCGGTTTCTTTGGATCCTTTTCCCACTCCAATATCCTGGTCGTCCACAATTCCTCGACCTCGGAGGTGAGTGAAGCCGTGAAGTCATCGAAAATTTGCTTTTGCCGCTTTTGCTCCGCCATCGCCAGGATAAGCTGTGAATGGAGAGACCGTCCTGAACGAGGTTCAGTTCAATTGAGCAACCAGCGAAGAGGAGGCGTGACTCACCAAGTCCGACATACTTTCTAAAATTATGATGACCTATGTGATCATCGAGGGTGTCGTGACGCAAACCCAGGCCCATCTCTTTGGTACTGTTAGCCACGCGATTCAATTCTGACCAGCTCCTCTCAATTCCCTCGCCGTCTGTCCGACCAACGCCCATCTTGAAGTTCAACGAGTGAGGAGCCTGACACGACACCTTGTGCATCGGACAATGGCATTTAGGAATGTCCCAATCGCAGTCGACATTGGGAGGAAGCTGGATTTCCGAGGGAAGCTTTGCCGCCCATTCTTCAAATTTGAGCTTAAACTGACATGCGATGTCGTACGAAATGAAGACGGAGGCGACGAGGAGCAGTGCCAGTGCCGAAAGCAATATATAATCCATATTGCAATACCTTTTCAAGGTGGGTTAGTTAAATGTTGGTCTCCGTTGCAGTTGAACAACTTACCTCTCGCCTTTTTGGAGATCGGCCACCCCACCTCCCCGAATGATCTCATGACGAGCGCAGAGAGCCATGCTGACTCCGGTGGAGCGCAATCCAGCAGAGAATTTGGTTTCGGCATGTGCCAAGGTCTTGAACCCGCTGCATGTGCTGATCTACAAATTTTCTAGGTTAAACATTCTTCAGAGGTGCAACAAAGACTTACATCCTTCTGACTTGCATACTTGAGGATATGTTCGCAGTATGGTTGATCTGCGGGGAAATAGGAAGATTTTTAAGCGAAAGTTTGCGTCCATCACAATGATCAGTAGATACAAAAACCTATACACCTTAAGATTCCGTAAAGTACCCCAAAGTCATAATACTCACTTCCATTCCACGTCAACTTCTTGCCAGTTATCCGGCAGGTTTACGCCAGGTAAGGGACAAGCCGGACAACCGAGTGCAAGATCACTGGCGCCCGTCAAGAGGAGTCCTCCAGCGATGTTCCCCCGCCCTGCACGTTTCATCAATTTGAGATGGCGGAACATTCGGACTATCCGCATTAGCGATTTATATCATGTCTTCATAAAAGAGGATCAGATGAGTGAAGAGACAAAGAAGGGAGACAAACCTTGGGGATGTTCAACTCCGTGTTGTCCGTCATGTACTCCAAGCCTTTGTAAAACTCGTGCGCAGAGAGTTTACCTGCCAAAGTGATCGTGTGGAAGACCTCCAGCACGCGGAATGTGGCACAGGTCTGCGGTTGGTGAACTGTCGCGGGAAACCATTCACTCCGAAGTAGTTGCAGGCGGTTGCTGACACGGTGTTCGCACCCACAGAAGTCGACTGCGACCCAGTGGAGACCATTTGTATGAATGACCGTGAAATCCTTGTGGCCAGGTTGAGGAAGTACGCAGGGCATGTTCACTGGATGGCCCAGCTGAACCCGGAGGCCAAGGTCTTTGAGCGACGTCTTGTCATAACAGGCGCCGTTCCATTTCTAGGAAAAGTCAGACAACTAGATTGAATTGGAACAAATAGACGAACCTTGATTATATGCAGTGGAAGATGACGATGCCATTTGAGGCAGCAAGTCATGCATTCAGCTAGAGGGCCCAGACAGTCCTCACACCGATAGAGACCCTGGTCAGAGGAACACGACATGCACGAATGGCACCGAGGTCCCCCCTGTCCTTCGAGCCTGATAAACTCCCGAAGATACTCCTCTCGGTAGCCAGGGTCATCTCTATTCCTCCCAGCCCACTCTTGTAAAGGGGCATCCTATCGCAGCATTTGTAAGATTGCGATCACAGTTTTCTAAGTCA